TACGCCCATGACAAAAGATCTTCGTGGCAATATTTTTTAAAGCAGAGAAAGAATAATATAAAGATGTGATGTTGCAGAGTGTTGGTGAGCGTCGACGCAGACTTTTTTTTTTATCCCTGTGTTTTTTTTTTCGTTTTGACACGTCTACCTTTTGTCGTAGTTCTGAACACTGAAATCTATTTCATGAATAAATTTAATTCATGTCCTCTAGTTTTCTTTAAGATATTAGAATTTTATTTGAGATCGGTTTCTTTCCTATAGGATCTGCATCTAAGAATCGATATTCATTTCCTAGAAGCTTCAGACGGCGTGATTTTCTCAGTGATTATAATGAATATAGGCCTACATGGATGGACAGATAAATGAATGCGATTTTCATATATACGTGTATAGACCAGTTTGAGGCCGCATGCTGGACATGAACGTATTTTTAAAAATATCGCAGAGGAAATTGTCTTCCTCTGTAAGATCTTCTCTATAGCATTTTCAACTCTTACATTGACCATGTAAACATTGAATCGTCGGCACATTATTGCGTAAACATTTAATTGTTGTGGTAAAATGTTTTATTCGTCGTATTCGGTAAAAATTTGAAACTTAACACACTTCTTCTGACAGAAAAGAAAAATTTCTTTTTGCAAGTTTTCACAAATCTAGCAAAAAATACGCGTGTAAGAATGACAGACGAAACTAAGAGAGGTTAATTCTGACAATCGAGGTACTACGGAGGTACCAGGTATACCAGAGAGAGAAAATTATTTTGAGCATATTACATTTATTAAAAAAAAATTTCAACTCATCATGCTCACGGGAATATATTTGAAAAATGAATTTGATTTTTTAAAATTCACGAGGACACAAACAAAGACGTTTCACCTCAGCATATTTCATGAACCGCGTGAGCATGAAGCGCAAATTTATATATTTACATTTGCAAATGTTTTCCCTTATATAACACTATTTGAACAAGGCGTTTTTACACCTGTGTAAAACACGTTCGTCATGTGACCATAAATTGATTGTTTAGTCATAAACGATCTACGTAATTTCATAGTGACGTCATAAGTGATCGACGTGTTCAACACATTTAAGTTATACCGTTGAGTTTTGAAAAAAAAATAAATCATTTATGGGTTTAAAACTTTAGTACCTTACTATCTGTTATAAATCAGTCACAAATGTAAATATAAGTAATAAGGTATCATTTTAAAAGTTTTATCGGGATGTAAATACGGGTTGGCATGTGATCAAATCTACCATAAAGCCCTTCGGGCTTTATGGGATTTGATCACATGACCAACCCGTATTTACATCCCGATAAAACTTTTCGGGCTTTATGGGATTTGATCACATGACCAACCCGTATTTACATCCCGATAAAACTTTTAAAATGATACCTTATTTCTTAAATAAATGTCATTCAATGATTATTTTTGAAACAAAACAGTTTGCACTATAGTTTTGACGTCAAGTGTGGCATTATGACGTCACAATGGAGATATTTAGGCTTACCTAGTTCATGAAAAATTGAATTGTTTTCTAACTTGCAATGAATCTGAAGGAAAAATATTTGCAAAATGTGAATATTAAATAGCAAATCATAAAATTTGTCAAATAAGATAATAGTTAGGATTTTTATATACGGTATATATTGCAGGTACAAGTTCTCTGAAATAACCTATTCATTCAATGTGTTCAAGTGACTCCCCCCCCCCCCCCCCAACCCCCCTTTCCGATTCCAAGTCACAGTGCAGAGAACTCGATTAGTGTTCAGAGCATGAACAATTTGGCCCTTAGACCACTGTGCATTGGTTTAGAATGCATATACATGTACTTATGTTGATATAATAACGGAATGAATATTTTGGAAATGGGGAAATAAAAAAAAAATATGCATATTGTTGTTTTTTGTGTACATTATACTTATATCATTCTGCTATCATTCTGCTCTACGTATAAAATGAGCAACCACTACAAGATTTTCAGGAAAAATATTTATTAATCTATACGTATTTTCTATAGTTTTTAACAGATTATGCATATTAAAGGTTCAGCAACAAACCATCAGATTAAAATTTATGAAATCTTTTAATATTTTAGGAAGGGGGGGGGGTATTGAAATGCATGTAGCTTAAAAAAGAATGTGATGACCCCACTTCATATTCTAACCATAAGTCACTTATTATAATTGTTACAAAATATATTAATTTTAGGAAAATTCATTGGGCAATTTTTTGTCAAGACGTTGAAAACTGCTCTTGGGGTGAAAATATTACTGAAAATTTACAATGACTACTCCCCAAAGCAACTGTGGCATTAGTACATCTATCAATAGTTTCCGATACAATTTTCATTTCCGATGAATATAAAGCATATTATTTAATATCTGGTGAAAATTATTTAATTTGTTTCAATTTTGATAACTGTATGGCATAATTAAAATTCACTACATAAATATCAAAATATTGAAAAACGGTGGTTACCATGGCAACCATATCTTCCTTATAACCCTGATGACCATGGTTGACATTTTCATATTATGATATCATTAACGTAAGGCAAATTATATGTAAAAATGAGAAAAATTCATTGAGCGGATTTTTTTCATGTACCCTTGCAATCTACTCCTTAAGCAAACAAACTAACTACATGGGTTTTATGAGCAAGGGTGCCTCTTCCAAATCTGTGAAATTCATGCTCCCTTGATCTAAGGTTCTGGTGTTGGGATTTGGACTCTATAGATTTTTTTTAGTGAAAATTCATATTATTATTTTTAAATCTTCTGCCTCTTGGTATTTAATAGAAAAATAGTTGCATAGTTATGATAAACAAAGATGCCAGACCTCTTCCAAAACTGTAAAATTCATGGTCTCTGGGTTAGAGATTCTGGTGGTGGGGTTTGGGATCTATTGATTATATAGTGAAAATGCATAATTTCTTTGAAATAAAAAAAAATGTTCTAATGCTTTGAAAATCGTCATCTCTGCTTTTGGGCATCAGACAGAGTACAAAGATGTAATGAGCTTGGGTATTTTTTACCAGATTTATGACATTCTGGACCATTGGGTAAAGTGTTCTTGTGCTAGACAGGGCTTCGTTGGTCTTGTAAGGACTCTGCTAAGAGAAGTTATTCCCCTTTGCTATTCACCTGTGATAATTAATCACTGTGACTAAACAATTTAATTGATAAGTGAATTGTATAAAAGAATTATATACGAAATTTTAATGTGTAATGCAAAAATCACTTTCATAAATATAAATTCTGTGGAAGATTACGCCAGGCGATGGGCCAAACATGAAAAAGAAGACCTTGACACTTTGTCAGAATGGATTAAAAGTATCAGATGGATGTTGAACCAAGCGAGTGAAAACCATCTATCCTTCAATAATTCAGAAGTAAAAAAAAAAGAATTAAATAGACCTATACCAGATTCTTATAATAGGGGTATATAAAAATCCTTACATAAAAAACGTACCGGGTACCACATCTAGTGAAGGAGTGAAGGAGAAACTTCAAGAGTACTGAGCAACAATATGTCCGAGAAGTGGTGTAAATCAGATGTGGATACTTAAAAATTCCAAGGAACTTTTGGAAAATTTGAAATCACAAGATTTTACCAAAACCAACAGCTTAAAAACTTACGACTTTTCAACTTTATACACCATTCCCCAGGATAAATTTAAGTCCAGACTTTTTGATATCATTGACAGCTGCTTTTTCAATAAAAATGGAACTCGTAAATTTACTTACCTTGTCATTGGTCATTTGCAAAATTATTTTGTTATAAAACATTCTGATTGTACACACAAGTACTCTGAAGTTGACATTAAAAAGGTGCTTGAGTTTCTGATTGACAATATCTATGTGGTTTTTGGAGACCAGGTCTTCCAACAATCTATTGGAATTCCCATGGGTACCAATTGCGCCCCGTTATTAGCAGACCTTTTTTTGTATTCATATGAAGCAGAATTTGTCCAAAATCTTGTACGTGAAAAGAAGAAAACACTTGCTGTGGCCTTCAACTCGACATTTAGATATATCGACGACGTTTTGTCAATTAACAATCATTATGGTTATTTCCATTCTTATGTCGACAGGTAATATACCGGTGAGCTTGAGATAAAAGATACCACAGAGTCTGACACATCTGTTTCATATTTGGATATTTTATTAGAAAAAAACATTAATGATCATCTAACAACAAAACTTTATGACAAACGTGATGACTTTAACTTTTCAATCGTCAACTTCCCTTACTTATGCAGCAATATACCTTCATCAACTGCATACGGGGTATATATCTCTCAGTTGATTCGATACGCAAGAGCATGCTCTACGTATGTACAATTTCTAAAATGAAGTAAATTATTGACAAACAAGTTGATGAAACAAGAATATCAGCTGTCTCGTTTAAAGTAATCATTTCGTAAGTTCTTTGGTCGATACAATGACCTTGTCAGCAAATACAATTTATCATTGAGTCAAATGCTGACTGACGTTTTTCATAGAAATTGTTAGGCCATTATTTACACACTGAATTGTCGACGGATTTTTCCGTTATTTCCTGATCATGACAAGGAGCACACGGCGGGTGTGACCGGTCGGCAGGGTATGCTCACTCCTCCATGGCACCTGATCCCACCTCTGATGTTTGGAGGTCCGTGTTTGCTCTGCTCTTATTTTGTATTGTTTGATGGACTTTTGAGCCTGAATACTGTTCGTTATCTACATATATTTTATCTAGTTATATACATAGTTTATTTAGGTGTTTTACGTATTTTTTAAACATGGTATTTCTTGTCTGGAAGTGTAAGAATTTTTATTGTAACAGTTTTTAAGTGAATTTTAAGTAGATTCAAAATTTCATTTTTTTATTTTACATTTAAGAATCCGGAAAACAAGTCCCCATGGTGTTCCAGTTTTTCCGGAACTTATTAAGTTATCAAAGATGGACTTACAATTAGCGTCAAAATAATACTTCCTGTTAAAATTTAACCCGAATTTTTGGTGACTTTCATTTTGACACAGGTTTTTTGATCTTCTAGATTTTACCAATGAAGGTATTTACATTTATCACAAAGAAATTTATTTAGTTAAGTGTCAATATAGTGTTTTACAGTTCGTTGCAAATACATCTTACGGTATTTTCCTAAAGTTATTAAAACCGGTTTGTCCTTGGTGTCGAAGAGGATTGTCTCTGCCCAGGGCATCAGATCAATGGAAATCGTACACATAAAAATTTACATTTGAGATTTTAAAATGTATATCTATACACCAAATTAGCCCGTCAATAGCTATCTACTGATATCACTTGGGAATAAATTACGGATATTTCGACCATCGACCACTTCTCCAAAGAATATATTTTGGTTGAAAACTACGTATCAATGTTCATTTAGGGTTTTAACTTAATACTTGAAGACAATATGACAAATATTTTTGATGCCATTCTCATACTTTACTATTTGATTTTCTTGTCATTTTAGGGGATGGTGATAGACGATTCACCCCTTGGTGAAATCCCTGTAAGTATCAAAACCATGGTTTAATTTGAGGCTAATTTTTAATTATTTTTCAAAATTAGTTTTATCTGTCTCTATCTCTCAATACTATACGCCCTCAAATATTGAGTATTCTGAATAGGGTGCGCAGCTGGTTAAAAGATATAAAAAAGTAGAGGAAAGTAAATTTCAATAGGGTGAAAAGGAAATACTATCATTCCAATAACAGCGTGTCACTTTGTTTGATCAAGTGTGCTAAAGTTTCACAAATTGATTACCATATTACTCATCGATTGGATGCTTGATTTGAATGAAATCAAAGCCACTTTGCATAAGAAACACAGAATCCAACAATACCCCGATAACACTGGCCAATCATATTGAATGATTGTTTACCAGTGCGGCAGTCAGCAGCAACACATGGTCAGTCAAAGCCCGTTTTCTGTCCTCAAAATAGTATGTGTCATATTTGTTGTGATTTGAACGAATGGAGTTAATACATGTACGTATGAGAAAATTTAAAGCATGAAATAAGTAAGGCTATACTCTGCTACTATATACTACATGTATATAGCGATCAATGTCGTCATTATAAGGATTAAAACTTGCTTTGCCTGTCCACATGTGATTATTGTTTACTGCATTCTCGTGAACAATCATTCAATACGATTGGTCAGTATAGCTGGGTTCTGTATTTCATATGCAAAGTAGTATTGCTTTCATTGAAATCAAACATCCAATTGATGAGTAATATGGTAATCAACATGTTAAACTTTATCAAGCTTGATTAAACAAAGTGACACGCTGTTACTAGAATGATAGTAGTATTATGTTATTAGTGAAGATAAAAGTTTAGAAAAACAGTATTCACAATTTAAAGAAATAAAAGCACTTTTATATACCTTTTATATGGTGCCAAGGTCTACTTTTTTAAAAATGAAATTTTAAAATTAAACAAACATAATTTTTCGTTGATTTTACAATTTGATCCAAGACGGCATACCATTATTGGCAATTAATGTTTGGTAAAAGTCGGCAATAAAAGTTTGGTAAACATGGTAAATGTCCACCTAATATCTTAATCAAATCTAGATATTTATTAGATTTTTCTCAGAGGACTTCAGCTTTTCCATTGTCAACTTCTCCTGTATATGTAGGTAATGTAGTAATATTCCACTATTACTTGCATATCATGGTTTTTATATATGTCTCACAACTGATTTGGTAAACATTTGCAAGACCAAGCTCTGAGTTCATTCAACTTTTAAATGGTGAAAGACTGCTGACGAATGAGTTGATATTACTGTGCTTTCAGTTTCAACAGATTCCCATAAGGTCAGGACATTGGCATACACTGTGGTTGTTTTAATGAACTATTTTGCAAATACAGCCTATAAATGAGACAAAATTTGACTTGCAGGTTTCATACCAATTGTTAGGCCATTGTTTTTATGCTAATTTGGACTATGGATTACTCCTTTTACCATATTGTAAATACAGAGGGCTGATAGCATATTTGACAGGGATTCTTATGCCTAGTCACCTGATCATACCTCTAGTGTTTCCAGTGTTTCTGCCCGAGCTGTTTACAATACATTTTATATATAGGATTTATGAGATTGATTGTTGTTTATTATCTTTACTTTTTTCATGCTAAAGTTCATATTTATTTGTTGTTAGAATGCACTTTTATCTGACAAAGCTGCACATTGTACAACCCCCAGGATCATCTATGCCCCATTTACAAATTAAAGGTCCATAATAATTAAATTGGTGAAGCTGCCTTTGACATCTCAACACCTGATGTGCACATCTTAATCATTTCCATTGGCATACATGTAATTCATTTATTGTCATGTTTTTCTTTTCTTTCAGGCCCGTGTTAATAAAATTATTGTACAAGGCCTTAACAAGACAAAGGATGAATTTGTTAAGAAGAAATTAGCAAATATTTTTCAAGCAGAAAATGTTGCAGAGGTAAAATAAATAATAGAAATTACAAATTCACTTGTAAGTAAATTTTCTCTTATCAAGGATTCAGTAGCAGTAAAACACACTTTTCATAAAGTGACAGGAACAAAAAATTTTGATTTGTTATGAAAGTAATTCATTATATTCAATAATGATAACAATAATGTACCATGTTTTAAAACTACATAAACCATTTTACAATAAGCGTGAATTCATTCATTAAAAGCATTTAACTGGAGTTTTACTGTACTTATAACTTCATTTAAAATCTTTTTATTTTGTGCACTGATATTTGCTGCATTGTTGGTTTTTTTTCTCATGAATGTTTATGTTATTCTTTCGTAATTTGAAAGTTCAATTTGAATGTAATTCATTCCCGGAAAATAAATTTTAAGGACCATTTCCTAAAAACAGGATAAAAAAACAAGTTTCTGATACTTAAAAGTTCTTACCCTAAAAGTCTAAACTATGATCTTCTGACCTGTTTGTAGATGCTGGTTTTGTGTCAGGCTGCCAAGATTGACCTTAGAAGACTAGACATCTTCAGATCAGTTCAAGTCAACATAGATACAGCTAAAAATGGTACACTCACGTCTTCAGTTTTCTGTAGTGTTTTGTATTAAGCTGCTTCAAGTCTTTTCAGTTTATTTCTTTAGTGGTTAAAAGAAATATGGAAAGACAGAGTTGATGAGTGAATTATTTGTTTAATGTATGTAAACCAACTTTTATTCACGTCGTCTTTTATTCGCGATTCGTCAGTTTGAAATCAGTCTGCGACGATTAATTTTCACGAATTAGGGAACATTCTCTATAAATACAAAGCAAAATAAATGGTTGATGATGATTAATATTTGTGAGTTAAAGTAGGTTGCGAAACTCGTGAATATTTCTCGCACGCGAATAAATGTTGGTTTTTAATATATAATTTACATCTACATATATTTGTTGGCTGATTAAGAAGGAAATATCTTTGATCACAGTGGATGGAGATGACAAATACAATGTGGTTTTTGATGTGAAGGAGAAGCGGTGGTTTGGTGGTGGTGTACATGCCACATTTGGTGGTGACAACAATGCCACAATGGTAGGATTATCATATTTATTATGCTTTAAACATAAAAGTTTATTTCTTGTACCAATAAACTTTGAAAATAAAACTTTATTCAAGAGTCTGAGGCACTGAATCAGTCAATTTACAAATGTGTGTTTGACCCTTGGCCTATCTCAGAGCAAATGAGACATTTATCAAGTTCATTTGTCATTGATGTATTTCTTGATTTATGTAGTTGTAATGGAAAACCCATGAATGTATACTAGCAAGACAAGGCTCTAATGGACTCTTATATTTCCAGGTGGGCAGTTTACAGATGCCCAACACCTTTGGCCGAGCTGAGAATGTGAGGTTGGAATACAACAAAAGTCTTAAAGGGGACCATGGTGGGGTTTTCCGCTTCAGCAAACCATTGAATGGTAACCCTGATGTCAGGTAAGGGATCCCCACACTATAATTAGACACACTGAATGGTAACCCTGATATCAGGTAAGGGATCCCCACACTATAATTAGACTCACTGAATGGTAACCCTGATATCAGGTAAGGGATCCCCACACTATAATTAGACTCACTGAATGGTAACCCTGATATCAGGTATGGGATCTGCACACTATAATTAGACTCACTGAATGGTAACCCTGATATCAGGTAAGGGATCCCCACACTATAATTAGACTCACTGAATGGTAACCCTGATATCAGGTAAGGGATCCCCACACTATAATTAGACACACTGAATGGTAACCCTGATATCAGGTATGGGATCCCCACACTAAATTTTACATGACGCTGGCAAGGAATCCCCAGAATAAAATTAAATGGCACAAAAAAATCTTGAGCCTGTTTGAAATGTGTTCATAATTTTCAAAGTAAGACAGTTGTTTATACTTGTGTTAATATTCAGTCAAATCAGTTCATCATCTTCTATCCTTGTTTATGATTTTTATTGTGTACAGTACTGCATTATTTACAGGTTTTCTTCATCTGTGTATAAAATGAACCTGGAGTATCCGTGGAGTGGATTCAAAGAAACCTGTAGAGGTCTAAATATGGACTTCACAGTGAGTGAATTAAAGCACCTGTACTTAGTAGTGTGTAAGAGTCATTCAAGTATATGTAGAGAAATTAAACTTACCCACTGTACATCAGTAATAATTCTCGCGGCTGTTTCTGTGAGACAAAAGCCTTGTATCAAATATTCTTGAGACATGACTTTGCTCCTCCCTTTCAGGAAAAATTTCACTTTTGCAGCTAGAGAATCTTACAATTGAATAATTCCTGGCTCTCTGATTGGTGAGATCAACAGTGTAGTAAAAATACTATGTTATTTTCACCTGCACTTGACTTTCCAGGTGAACATAAGGATTTATTTTTTCTACATTGGACTAAAAATAACTGGAATTTGGGGGACTAGAACTGGAGACTCTGGGCTATGTTGTAGGCTGTGTTGTATACTAAGTGTGCTATGCCTCTCTAACTATCAAAAGTTTTGTAAATAAAATTTTATATAATTTTATATATAAAATATTAAGAACAATAAAATATCTGTCGTAGGTGTTCTTCAAAAAATGTTTCCCTTATAATCTTCAAAACTTTTCTGATAACAATCTTTAATTATAAAATTTTCTGCAGTTGTGCCATTTATATTTTCTTGTTTCTGTAGTTTCCCTCCAATCTAGGGGACCACTGTCTGCGATGGGAGGGGGTTTGGAGGGACCTGAGAGCGCTCAACAGAACAACATCCTTTACCGTCAGAGAACAGGCCGGCCACTCACTAAAGTCTAGCATAAAAGTAAGATAGCTCTGGTCACTCTGTCTGAGGAATGCATACAAAGTCAGTGCATATAAAGCCCAAATTATGATTTAACCATGCTGTGTATTACATAATATAATTTTATTTTCTGCCTTGAATTTCTATCAAAATTATCATCTCTGATGTTATTAATAGTGTCTATACTGTTACCAGTGTCTCGTTTGTGTTTAGCACCAATGATGATTTGATACAAATTTGATATGTATGTATACTTTTACAAGTGTTTTGTTTCTGTTTAGCACCAGCTGACACGAGATGAGAGAGACAGCCCTATCTTACCCAGCCAAGGTTCTCTCTTTAAAATGGAACAGGTATTGGTGTATTTTAATCAAGATTATCAAAATTACATCTATCCATCTATCCATTCAGATGTTTCAGCTTGAGTAAATATACAAAAAAAATTTTTTCCTAATTAGAAGTGATTATATCATTAATGTCTAAGACAGAAAACTGATATTTGTAGTACAAAACTGCAAAATAAGAAGGTTTTATCCATGGTCAGTGTCAATAATACCTTGGATGAAAACAGAATCATTATTTAATAATTACATATATACTATTCCTCATGTGGAGACTTAGTGGGGTAATAGGGATATATATGAGGTCCTTGAAAAAATGCATTTTAGGCAAGGAGTAGACCATGCAATCCCAATATTTCTTTTTTTTAAGGACCAAATATGTTTCCCTATTAAACCTCTGAGTGTTTACTTCAAAAATTATCCTGTCAGTGATTTGTTAACAAAGTTTCAGCCTGTTCTGTAGCCATGGCTCACATCCTGATGTCAACTGATGCTCATTTGACATACTGAAAGATGATAGCATAACTGCTGAAAATCATTTACAAATATATCTCCTAATGTTATCAAATGACATTAAACAAATTAAGCCAAGGTATTGTCAACTCAAAATTATGGATAAAAAACTCAAACTGCAGACATTTTAATTACTGCAAAATAGGGTAAACACCTCTGGAACAATTTCATGTCAGGAGGCAACATGATATGGTTTTATGTACAGTATTCTTCTCGACCAATGAAATTTCAAGATTTTTATAAGGGACATGATCAAGTGCATTGTCAGGGACACTTTTAAACATGTTTTTTTCATTAGAAGGTATTGGTGTACTTTTAGGAATTTGCAGGTCTGGGAGGAAATGTAGAATTCTTCAAACATGATATGGAACTTCAGCTCAACAAGAAACTTATACTAGACACAGTAAGAAAACAAACATGAAAGAGACCCATAAACTTGTTTGTGATTGAGATTTTAACTTTTACATGGGCACTTGATATTCTTATTTCTAATTATCATTTAACTTTAAAAATAAGAAAATTTGAAATTAAAACTATGGACAACTAGTTCTTTTTTGTATCTTCCTTGATCAAGCACACAGAGTTTGTTTTCACATAACATTTTTGCAATGATGAAACAATGATAAGCTATAAAAATCTGATATTACTTCTTTTTTCTTTTAAAGGATATTATTATTTATCATTCATCTAACTTTTGACCTCAATTCAGGTCATACAGTTATCATTATTGGAAGTAATTTTTGACCTCTATTCAGGTCATGCAGTTATCATTATTGGGAGTAATTTTTGACCGCTATTCAGGTCATACAGTTATCATTATTGGGAGTAATCTTTGACCTCTTTTCAGGTCATGCAGTTATCATTATAGGGAGTAATTTTTGACCTCTATTCAGGTCATACAGTCATCATTATTGGGAGTAATTTTTGACCTCAATTCAGGTCATACAGTCATCATGATTGGGAGTAATTTTTGACCACTATTCAGGTCATACAGTTCTCATTAGTGTGAGTAATTTTTGACCTCTATTCAGGTCATACAGTCATCATTATTGGGAGTAATTTTTGACCGCTATTCAGGTCATACAGTTATCATTATTGGGAGTAATCTTTGACCTCTTTTCAGGTCATGCAGTTATCATTATAGGGAGTAATTTTTGACCTCTATTCAGGTCATACAGTCATCATTATTGGGAGTAATTTTTGACCTCAATTCAGGTCATACAGTCATCATGATTGGGAGTAATTTTTGACCTCAATTCAGGTCATACAGTCATCATGATTGGGAGTAATTTTTGACCACTATTCAGGTCATACAGTTCTCATTAGTGTGAGTAATTTTTGACCTCTATTCAGGTCATACAGTCATCATTATTGGGAGTGATTTTTGACCTCTATTCAGGTCGTACAATTATCATTATTGTGAGTAATTTTTGACCTCTATTCAGGTCATACAGTTATCATTATTGGGAGTTATCTTTGACCTCTATTCAGGTTGTACAGTTATTATTGTGAGTAATTTTTTACCTCTACTCAGGTCGTACAGTTATCATTATTGGGAGGAATTATGAAGAACCCCAATCCAAACACAGAAATACGCATCAATGACCGGTTCTTCCTAGGGGGGCCTTTAACCCTCCGAGGATTCAACGCAAAGGGTGTCGGTCCTCACAGTGAAGGTAGGGTTCATAAGGAACTTAATAATTGTATGTGTGAGTTAGTATGATTAGGTACTGTAGATTTCTAAACTTACTCAAGAAATTAATTATTGCTTAACTTCACGAGAAGCACCACCCCAAAATAAAATAAATTGCTTTTATTTTAATGGTGCTGAAATATATGTAAAATCTATTGATCAAATGCCCATTTGCATTTTCATGAACTCGCGATTTGACATGTATAAGTCATTTCGCGATATTAAGTATTCCCTTAAAATGAGGAATCTACAGTATTTCAGAATGCCCAGCTGTAAATTATCTAAAGCTGTAAATTATCTATCTAAGGCTTTAAATTATCTATCTAAGATTGTAAATTATCTGTCTGAGGCTGTAAATTATCTATCTAAGATTGTAAATTATCTATCTAAGATTGTACATTATCTGTCTAAGATTGTAAATTATCTGTCTAAGGCTCTATATTATCTACCTAAGGATGTTAATTATCTAAGGCTGTAATTATCTATCTAAGATTGTAAATTATCTACCTAAGGCTGTAAATTATCTATCTAAGATTGTAAATTATCTCCCTAAGGCTGTAAATTATCTATCTAAAGCTGTATATTATCTATCTAAGGCTGTAATTATCTATTTAAGGCTGTAATTACATGTATCTATCTAAGGCTGTTTATTATTCATGTAAGGCTGTAAATTATCTATCTAAGGCTGTAATTATCTATCTAAGGCTGTTTATTACATGTATTTATCTAAGGCTGTGCAATGAAATAAAGATCTGTCCACAATTTTGTTTAAAATTCTGCATAAAATTTGTATCACAGAAAAGATTAACATGTTATTAAATTTGTAGAGATACAATGAAAATAAACATCGATAATGAAATGCTAAGTAGGTCTGCAAATTGAAAAAATCATGAATTAGTGGGTACTTGCAATATACCTTATGAATAGTTATTTATTCTCATTTTCGTCTGAATTTTTTTTTCTTGCCTTTTGTCCGGGTTCAGTATGGTCATCTTAGCATTAATTATTATTTTCTCTGTAATTAACAGGAAATGCCCTTGGTGGCGACACTTACTGGGCTGCCGGACTCCACCTGTACACACCGCTACCATTCAGACCTGGAAAAGGGGGATTTGGGGACTTTTTCCGTACACATTTCTTTATCAATGCCGGAAACGTCTATAACATACAAACAGGTCAGGAATACATGTATATTTGAGGCTCTTGTAGAACACTTTATACATGTACATGAGTTCATTGCTTGTAATAAATCCTGGTTACAGATAAGTCTTTCCTGGAGAACATTAAGGGTTTGTCAGAGGAGTTCCGATTAGCCTACGGAGCAGGGATTGTGCTGATGATGGGGAACGTGGCACGACTGGAACTGAATTATGTAGTACCACTACGGGCCCAGAGCGGAGATAGGTAATAGAGTCAATAACAATTAGTTTTACAATTAGGCAAAACATACATAAATCAAGCCTCATCATGTAGTTTAAGTGGTCAACTTTGTACAAACACTGACCCCAAGAGCCAATAGGGACCACATTAGTTTCATAAAAGTAGGCAGCATGACCTTGTGGTGACTGTCAAGGCTAGCGAATATTTTCATCTCGATGTTCACCAGTATTTTATGCAGAAACTTCTTCCTAATTATTTCTAATCTATAACTACTGACAGTTAATACATTTTTTTGTAGGACAATCAATATTTTGGATTGATTAATTTTTTTTTTTTATTAATTTTTAGTGTAAATCCAGGCCTGCAGTTTGGAATAGGAGTTACCTTTATGTGATAACTTGTGATCATGTGACCTACAAAACATCATGTGACATGACAGCATACTGTGTGTTAACATTATTGTGTGTGATTGAGTACCACAGAAGAAAAAAATAAAATAAATACTTCATACATGTTCTTTTGATGGCTAAATCAAAATTGCTGAAAAAAAATCGTCTCTTCTAACCCTAACCCTTACCCAATAGTACAGATATGTTGCTTTTAATGACTATCAGATTTTTATCCCAAAACCAACAGATTTTTATCCCAAAACCAAAATGGATTTAGGGCATGCATCCTCTCACTCTCCTCCCCATTCTCTCTCAACAGAAAATACACCAGTAGACTACCTCAATAAACATAGGTATTTATCATGGATTATGTTGACATAGTAAATAGAAATAGATAATAGGGCTGAGCATCAGTTGGAAATTTTGTATTGCGATACATTGCGATATTTGGAACTGTATTGTAATATGTATTGCAATATTTTTAATAACAGTAAAATGCTCTTTTCTTATTTTATTAACCTCTATTTATGAGCAGAGTGTATGAAACTGTTATAAATATGTTGTGACAAAAAAACTCTAGTTGAATTCACTACAGTTTGGCAACGAAATGCAACCATACCACAGAAACCTTTACCGTTTTGTAGTGTTTGGCACGATTGAAAACGTTTCTGACATCTTAAATTTCATATTTTTCTTCATAAATCTAAAGCCCAATCATTTTGCCGGTATATCGGTACTGGAAAAACGTATAGCAATACGATATTTTTTGCTAACGATTCGCAATATACCGGAATATCGATATTATTGTGCAGCCTTAATAGATAATGTTTTATTCTGATTTTAAAAAAGGTTAAAAACTGGTAAAAAAAAATTAGGAGATTGTCCTTACTTTATTACCTTGCAACGAAGTTAGAGAGATGCTTGTGTGTGTATGTGCATAAAGGAAATTATGGAAGTATCAGGATTGATGTGGTCTTTTGCGAGGGGATGCTCTGCTTCGACTTTCCTGAAAGACTATTTCAGGCACTTAAGACTTTATTCAGGTATCACTCACAGTACCTACCATGTTTGGCTCATCTGTTCTTATCATCAACAGATTGGCTACAACGGAACAACGCAAAGAAATAGAAATTCATCACAATGTAGCTACTGAGAAACAAAGGGATAGTTTGATCTTGATTACAATTTTGCTTTACTAAGAAGGACTTGTGTATGAAATATGGAGATAACAAACAGTATTCAAGCTCAAAGTCCATTAAAACAATACAAATCAAGAGCAGAGCAAACACGGACCTCTAAAATGATCAGAGGTGGGATCAGGTACTCACAGGAGTGAGCATCCCCTGCCGACCTGTCACACTGGCCGTGTGCTCCTTGTCATGATCGAGAATAATGGAAAAATCCATTGACAATTATTATCAATTATTCGTATACGGTTGGTGAAAGTATGTAAATTGTTTAGATGTATTATTGGTTCATATGTTACAACATTGATGGAAGAGCAAAACGGTTCACACTAGTTAATTGTTACATTTGATCTTGGATACCAGTATTCTGCTTTCATAAGAATCAAATATGGAGATACCGAACAGATATCCAGCTCAAATGTCCATTGAAACAGTACAAAATTGAAATATTAAGTCAATCCAAACAATACAGATCGGGAGCAGGTGCCACGAAGGATTAACCATTCCCTGCCGACCGGACACACCCGCCTTGTGATCCTTGTCATGATCGGGTAATAACGGAAAAATCCGTAGACAATTCAATGTGCAAATAATGGCCTCACAATTAGCATGAAAAACGTCAGATAGCATTCGACTTAACGATATATTGTATTTGCTGACAAGGTCATTGTATCGACCATAGAACTTGCCAAATGATGACTTTGAATAAGGCTGTTGATATTCTTGTTTTATCAACTTGTTTGTCTGTAGCTTGCCTCTTTTTAGAAATTGTTAGTACGTACAGTTTGCTCTAGCGTGTCGAATCAACTGGGAGACATAAATCCCATATGCAGGTGATAATTGTATATTGCTACACAAGTAAGGGAAGTTGAAGATAGAAAAGTTGAAGTCATCATGTTTATCATAAAGTTTTGTTGTCTTTTTCTAGTAAAATATCCAAATATGAAACAGATGTGTCAGACTCTGTGAATGAAAGTAAATATTATTAATTGATAAAACGTCGTCGATATATCTAAATTTCGAGTTGAAGGCCACAGCAAGTGTTTTCTCCTTCTCATGTATAAGATTTTGAATAAATTCTGCTTCATATGAATGCAAAAATAGTCCTGCTTATAATAGGGCGAAGTTGGTATCATGGGGATTCCAACAGATTGTTGGAAGACCTGATCTCCAAAAACTACATACATGTAGATATTGTCAATCAGAAACTCAAGCATCTTTTTAATGTGTGTGTACAATAAGAATGTTTGTTCACAAAATAATTTTTCAAATGATAAGTGATAAGGTAAGTAAATTTACGAGTTCCATTTTTTTTCGAAAATGCAGTTGTCTGTGATGTCAAAAAGCACGGGTTTCAATTTATTGTGGTGAATTGCTGTATGAAGTGTTTTAAAAAAAGTCGTACGTTTTGATGTTATTGATTTTGGTAAAATTTTGTGATTTCAAATTTTCCAAGAGTTCCTTGAAGTTTTTAAGTATCCACATTTACACCACTTCTCAAATATATTGTTGCACAGTACTCCTGAAGTTTTTCCTTCATAACAGTTAATATTTTAGTGAGGAGTAAAGAAAGAGGCTTGTAGAACATCTACTGGAACCCATATGTATCCTTGTTTGTAAGGATTTATTTGAAGTTTAGAAATCCAGTACAGGTATGGTAATTCAAATTCATTTTAGTTGTTGGGATTATTAAAAATATTTAAAACCGACATATTATTTTGAAGATTTTCCTCCTTTAAAAGGGAGCTATGGGTACAAATTGGGTTACCAATTGTAAAATTAAATCCCAGTTCCACTAAAATACAAAGACAATATTGTTACCTGCTTTGTCTGCTGGAACCAGTACATACAGATCGTGTAATATCTTAAACATTTTTCACTTCTGAATTATTGAAGACAGAAGGATAGATGATTTTTATATTGCCCCTCAGTCGCTTAATGCGAGAGTTTAACACCCATCTGATACTTTTATTCCATTCTGACAATGTGTCAAGGTCTTCATTTTTATGTTTGTCCAATGACCTGGCGTAATCTTCCATTCTGACAAAGTGTCAAGTTCTTCATTTTCATGTTTGTCCAATGACCTGGCGTAATCTTCCATTCTGACAAAGTGTCAAGGTCTTCCTTTTCATGTTTGTCCAATGGCCTGGCGTAATATTCCATTCTGACAAAGTGTCAAGGTCTTCATTTTCATGTTTGTCCAATGGCCTGACGTAATCTTCCATTCTGACAAAGTGTCAAGGTCTTCATTTTCATGTTTGTCCAATGACCTGGCGTAATCTTCCATTCTGACAAAGTGTCAAGTTCTTCCTTTTCATGTTTGTCCAATGGCCTGGCGTAATCTTCCATTCTGACAAAGTGTCAAGGTGTTCATTTTCATGTTTGTACAATGACCTGGCGTAATCTTCCATTCTGACAAAGTGTCAAGGTCTTCATTTTTATGTCTGTCCAATGGCCTGGCGTAATCTTTCATTCTGACATAGGTCAAGGTCTTCCTTTTCATGTTTGTCCAATGACCTGGCGTAATCTTCCATTCTGACAAAGTGTCAAGGTCTTCATTTTCGTGTTTGTACAATGACCTGGCGTAATCTTCCATTCTGACAAAGTGTCAAGTTCTTCCTGTTCATGTTTGTCCAATGGCCTGGCGTAATCTTCCATTCTGACATAGCGTCAAGGTCTTCATTTTCATGTTTGTCCAATGGCCTGGCGTAATCTTCCATTCTGACATAGCGTCAAGGTCTTCATTTTTATGTTTGTCCAATGGCCTGGCGTAATCTTTCATTTTGACAAAGTGTCAAGGTCTTCACTTTTATGTTTGTCCAATGACCTGGCGTAATCTTTCATTTTGACAAAGTGTCAAGGTCTTCAGTTTTATGTTTGTCCAATTTAATGGCCTGGCGTAAATTTCCACAGAATTCATAATACTAATAAAATTATGACGCTAGTGAACAATCGGGATTCCCTAAATTTAGACCCTTTTAAAATAAATGATTTATAATAAATGAGTTAAATGAAGACTGAGCCATATTTCATTTTAAAGTCGCAGGAATAGAAGAGATACCTCTGATCATGCATGGTCAGGCGCGTAGCTGCCTATACGCAAGTACGCAAGTGCGTACATATCATTTTCAGAAAAAAGAAAAAAAGATAAGAAAAAAGAGAGAATTATTCGGAGAAAAAAATCTCAGTACCATCCAACAAATATTCGTGTTTTAAATTATTCTGTGTCATACTGTGTCGATTTAAATTTTAAATTATCATGGCTGTATGATAAAATTTGAAATCTTTTATTTACTAACTGACAAATCCAAATAAATCATTCATTATTTTCTCATTGTTCTATCATACATTGATATTTTTTTAAAAAGATCTTTGAAAAAATAAATTTCAGCCACATCGTAGAATGATACAATGTATGATCTACTAGTATGATTTACAATACGATATTTTAAAAAAAAAAATTGTATACGTGTTTTTAAACGTTAAGAATGATTATATGATACCAATTAGTATATCGGTTAAATTTTAGCCTCAATTATATGTACAGTAAGTTTTCATGGAATATTAATTTTCGTTAAAACAATAAATATTACTAAGTCTTTTATTTCCTAAACAAAAACTTAATGGCATAATTTTTATATTTCAAGAACATGAATGAAATATTTGGTAAAACTCCGGAGCTTCTGGGCCCTCACCAGCAGGCACGTAATATCAGAGGAGCCTCCCCACTATTTATTCCCAAAACCTAACCTTTTACTATTGAAAAAATGTACATTGAAAGGGTGGACCCCCACTGTTTGTTGCACCATTGTTAAATCATGGTAATTTGGTTATGTATGAATAAAAATTTGGTTTGTGAAAGATGGACACACCTCCTCCCCCCCCCCACCTTCAACACACACACACACTCACCCTCACACACACACCCTCACACACACACACACACACACCCTCACACACAAGAAATAGGACTTCGAATTTTGACAATCTTCCTTTTTCGTCCTTGCTTGAAAAAAATTTTAAAGTTGTAATTTTTTCCTGACTGGCAAAAGCTATATTACGTGCCTGATCAGAGCCCTTAAACACTGGGGGAGGGGGGGTCAAACCCCCCCCCCACCCCCACCCCCCCAACCAACCCCCTGCCGTTCTCTGCGTACACATCATTTCTATTCTGGCTACGCGCCTGATGGTGCAAACTTTGAAAAGCTTAGCCAATTTATATCATATATTTTCATTTGGAAATAATCAAGAATTTTCAATACTATTGATTTAGACAAAAATATAGTTTTTGATATTGTTAGGCAATTGAATTAATTTGGTATTGTTTTTCTTGTAATAGCATTTACTTTCTAAATTTAAAGTTAAATTTTAAGTTTGTTAAGGATTATAAATTACAATGTACTATTTTTATATCATCATGACAATGAAGTGTTCTCTCACTTGTTAAAAAAAATGCTTTCCTGCCCCATTAATACCCCCCAAAAAGTACCTGTCCCATCATACTTTGCACCAGTTCAAGCCTGGTAATAAAAATTACCTGGTCCCTACTGAGGAAAATACATGTTTATGTAAATAATAATAGTGATTTTAGACAGCTTTTAATTATCAAACCATATGTGACTCTTTGGAATATTCGCAAGATGAGTTATCATATGCATAGAAGGAATAAACTTTGATCGGTCATCCTCATGTAATTGATCTGGTAAACAGGGCTATTTGTAGCTAAAATTAGTATTAATTATGACTTTTCTAACAATGGGTATGAAATACGACCCAACGACAGTTGACTTTGTGAAAAACGCTTTTTTAAACTATCATAGAAATCAAATACTTAGAGAACATGTCTAAGTAAAGCCCGAGAAATTATTTTGTAGTCTTTACAACCTTTAACATCGAGTGTCATTTCTAAGGTAACTGTAAACAAAAACACATGACAAGTGAATTCATGATAAAAGGATTAATAAAACATGCGAAAGTCGTACGAAAAATGAAGAACATATGAAAATAGCTAGACCACGTACGTATTATAAATGTTTCATCAAGATGCTTGACAATCTCTGTACTTACTAGATTTCTTTCCCTTCCCATTCAAGGATTTGCTTATTTGAATTATTTCAATCTTCATGACGATATTTTGTTGGTGTTTCTGGTGCGGTTTTCTTTTAAGAAAAAAGATGAGAAAAGATAATTAAATTATTCTAGCAAAATCTGTTTAAATCGAACCATACAATCCGATTTATATGTTGAAACCAAGGAATAATTTTAATGTTGTGAACATGTCAAAAAATAAAATTATCAATGAAATATCAATAACTAACATACTTATCAAGGTTTTTTTGTACGTTTATTGGCAGCATTTTTCATTAAATAAACGAAAATTGATGAGATGTTAAAAAAAAATTCAATGGCTTCCTGAAAATTAAAGCGTCCCTGTTTACCCAGAACTCAGTATAGCTGTCAAATGTGTACTGTTATACATATTAAAAATGATAATTATTGAAAAATATATTTTACTACGCTATATTTATACATTGTAGACATAAAATGGCCACTGCGACCATTCAGACAAAGAAATTCATAACCTGTGACATTTGTGTTAAACCTGTCCAGCAATTCTGTAACAGCTGCCAAGTCGGCCTGTGTGAAGACTGCATCAACAAACATGTCAACAGCCTCAAGTCCATGAAGCATAATATTGTTCCTTTCACAGACTGTACAGTACAGCTTGTTTTCCCTCAGTGTACATCTCATTCCCACCAGAGATGTGAGACCCACTGTCAACAGTGTGATGTACCGGTCTGCATCAAATGTCTGACTGGTCAACATAAAGGTCATGACATTGTGGACACTTCAGATATTGTAGCTTCAAAAAGAGGAAAAATTAAGGAAGAAACTGAAGAAATTGAGGGCATTATTCAAAAGAACACAGCACAGGACATAGACACTGAAAACAAAATTTCCAAATCCACGGCCCATTATGCAGATTTACAGAAACAGACCAATGATCATAGAAAACAATGGCGTCTAGAGGTAGACAACATTTTTAACAAAATTGGATCATTGACCATGTCACTAAGAGACCATCATATTACTTCTTTAAAATCATGCCAGTCCGAACTCAGACACCAGAACTCCAGTATAAATCAATGTGTTCAAGAAAACAAAGACCTTTTAAAGTCCAACATTGTGTCTGATGTCAACAACTGACGGAATGCAGGAGCATTCCACAAATACCTGATTTATCATTACCATCTCTTCTAACAAACACAGACCAAGGGAATGAACTCAGCATAGAATTAGGAGAATACAAGGCTTCACTGAAACAGACATTACTAACCACTCTGACAAATAAAAAAATTTCATTTCTTAAAGAACTATCAAAAGAATTCAAAGTTATTTCAAAAAATTCCAACAAATGTTAAGACATTACTTAATTTAGCCTGTGTAGGATCCGATAAAGTTTGGATTAATGGACTGGACAAAGTGATAACTTTTGTGGACATACAGGGAGCTGTACAAGATATTGTCACCAGTACATGTGTGGAATGTCCTGGTGACATTGCAGTGACTTTACAGAAAGAACTAATATACAGTGATGCTATCAGTAGAACTGTGAACATTGTCAGAGATGGGAAGACAGAGACACTGATCACCACCCCGGAGGGCTGGCATCCATCAGGACTCTGTTGTACCAGATCAGGGGACATCTTAGTTAGTATGTGCACTACTGATTATAATTATCGTAAAATTGTTCGTTACCAGGGTCAGAGAGTGATACAGGAAATAGATAAAGACGAACATGGTGGTCCAATCTATCAAGGAGGAAGATATAGAGTGTGTGTGGTGGAGAACAACAATGGAGACATAGTGGCCTCTGATATGAATGTTGACACAGTGGTAGTGGTGGAAAGGACAGGAAAAGTAAGATTCCGATACAACGACAAACCTCCAGGAGGAAAGAAACCATTTAGTCCAAGGCAAATAGTGACAGACTCCATGGGTCACATCATTGTGACAGATTTGATGAATAACTGTATACATTTTCTAGATCACAATGGACAGATTATGAAATTTGCAAGTAATATCAATTGTGGAATATATTTTCCTGTAATTGGACTAAGTGTGGACAGTGAGGGGAGATTGTGGGTAGGGTTACATTTATCAGGGGAAGTGAAAGTCATCGAATACATGAAATAAACATTTAACATTTTTTTATGGATAAATGTATTGATCATGCTTTCATTACATGAATTAAGGTATGTTACTAGTGAAATTAGCTTTATCAAGGATTTTTTTTTTTTGAGAAGTATATTTTAGATAAGTACTCATAAAGCATGACTCAAAATCAGAAGGAAAATTGGGAGTCAGTGTGCATTTTATTGAGCAACGGTACAATGAACTTGACCTTTTTGTCTACCTCTAGATGCCATTGTATCTCTTAGGTTAATCAATTTAAACTTTATCATATTTTACCAAATATAATCATGGCAATAAATATAATCTTATATTACGTAAAATAGTTTAAATAATATTTATCATTGGAAAAATCATGCAAGTTGATGCGCATAAATTATTGTGTGACCTTTTTGGGGGTATTAAAAATCTAAGTAGGCAATAAAATATTTTCTTTAATAAAGCTTTTTAGCTCACCTCCACGAAATTGGAAGAAGCTTATGTGATACCGTCGGCGTTGGCGTCCCAGGTTAAAAATTTTGGTGCAGTTTTCTGTGCCCTACGTTAATCAGAGATGCATTGAAGACGCTTTTAGTGTTTCAATATACCAGTCAAGATTTCAGATGCTGCAATTTCAGCTTAGGAATGACCAGGTTAATGTCTTGGGAGCAGGTTAAATTTTTTTGTGCAGGTTAAAGTTTTTGGTGCAGGTCTTATTTCCGAGTAACTATAAGCCCTATAATATTCACCAAACTTGCATGGATAATACATCCAAGGATGCACACTATATCAGGCTTACTTTGGATGCTGGATCTGACTTGCATTTTTCGGATGAGTGAACAGGTTAAAGTTTTTGGAGCAGGTTCATTCTAAAGTAACTATAAGTCCTATGTTGACCAAACTTGCATGGATGATACATCTAAGGATGCTCACTACCAGGCTTGTTCGGATGCTGGATCTGGCCTACATTTTCCAGATGAATGAACAGGTTAAAGTTTTTGGAGCAGGTTCATTCTAAAGTAACTTTCAGCCCTATGTTAACCAAACTTGCATGGGTGATGCATCTAAGGATGCGCACTACCAGACTTGCTTCAGATGCTGGATCTGACCTACATTTTCCGGATGAGTGAACAGGTTAATGTTTTTGGAGCAGGTTCATTCTAAAGTAATTGTAAGCTCGATGTTGACCAAACTTGCATGGAAGATACATACAGGTGTATAAGGATGCACACTAATGGACTTGCTTCGGATGCTGGATATAATTTTCCAGATATGGACCAGGTTAATGTTTTGGGTGCAGGTCTATTACAAAGAAACTATAAGGCCTTTCTGAACAAAACTTGCATGGATGATGCATCAAGGAATGAGCACTCTCTAACTCGTCAAGTAAGCAACACTTACATGCAGATAACTTTTATGTCATTTATTTGATAAAGTGCTCGTTTATTAGTGAAGACATTTCAAGAGCAATGCAAACAAGAATATGATAAGGACACCAAGAACCTTTAGACATTAAATACTCCCATTAATAATACATGAAGCAAAGTGTGAATACAGCTAAAGTTAAACAGCCATACCTGTTCTTTCTACTATTCTTTTTAATAAAAGAGATTCCTAAGTAAAGGATAGAGGAGAACTGTTATAACTAATTACTTTTATAACTATAATTGCTATCATAGGTAATTGCTATCAAAGCTAATTACTGTTATAATCAAATAATTTAATTTTATTGTAAGACGTCATTGATTGGATAAAAGATTTCGTTTATATTGTATAACATAAGTTGCCTACGTCACAATGAGTTATGTCAAAAACGTTTTACTCCGCTTGACGTTACTTTAAAAATATGCTCAATTTGGAGGAAAAATTGTCTTATTGTCTACAATGAAATAAAATTATAAGGAATGAAGCTTATTTTAACCTATGTTTATACGATATAACATAACTTGGGCAGTTTACGCTATTTTATAAACCGCTTCGCAGTTTGTAAAACGTAAACTGTCCCAAGTCATATTATATCGTATAACATAGGATAAAATAAGCTTTATTCCTTAATTACTGTTAATTTATGATCAATTTCATTATAGTAAAGGAAAAAAAAAAACATACCACATGCAGCCTTCACCGTGTAGTAAGAAATGTTAATAGTTATGACTGTTGTATAACCTATATATAATAATACTGCAGTGTTGAAGTTGAGTTGTAGAGATAGATGATATTCAATGTTTTGTAGATGAATATGGAATCAATTTCACGAGTGGGACAGGATATTTTGATATTTTCACGAGTGCAAAGCACGAGTAAAAATATCAAAAAACCTGTCTTTTCGTAACACAGTGTCATAGGCTGTGACGTCATAGTTGAGCGGTTGTGACGTCATAGCAAAGAGACTGCGAGATTGAAACATGGATTTTAACGACATATTTGGAAAAACTTTGGCAGTATAACTATTAGTCTCCGTCAGGATGGCTTATTAACTCTATCTTATAACAGACCAGGGATTATTAGTCCCTACCGGTGAAACCGGAGGGGACTATAGGTTTCCTCTGAGTTTGTCCGTCCGTCTAGCTGTCTGTCTGTCCCTCTGTCTAACTGTCAGTCTGTCCCACTTAGTTTTCCGCACTTTTTTTTCTAAATGCTTGCATATATTGAGCTGATTTTTAGTATGTGACTTTACCTTGATGAATTATAGATCAAGTTTGCATATCATTCCACTTCATTGATTTTTGACAGAATTATGGCATTTTCAATTTTAAAGGGAAGCAGATTATACCTGCCGATAGGCTAATGCTATTGCTAATGCAATACTCTCAGAATGCTTGTTTTAAAAACACTCATCGTGAAGGGAAGGAAAATTGTAAGTTTTGCCGCACTTCTGATATTCTCACACATCAGTGGTTCGACGAATTGCGTATTCTTAGACTAGTAAGCAAATAAAACACATTATAACATTTTCAACAGTGAAATACTGTAATTTATTCACTGAATAAAAGTGATATTCTGATACAGTATGACAGGATATCAAAATGGTATTCTCACAGTGCCCAATTGTCATACAGAAAGAGAAAACTGAAAGTCTAAGTACAATTAAAAGGAGATAGTTCACTTTTAAATCAACTACCATGATAGACAATTTTATAACGCACAAACAAATAAAAAAAAAATAAACAATTCAACAATAAAACTGAAAAACGATAATATAATCATGGAATTCGAGGAAAACCGAACAAACAAAAACAAATAGAAAAAAAACCTCAGCTGTCCGTATTTTCTACAATAATTCATTCAGGGTTCAATAAGATATAGAATACCGTTTGAAGTACAACATTGAAAAGTTTTAGCAGAATCTGAGAAACGGTTCGAAAAGTATACATACATATGGTAAAGAAATGACACGGAGGTGACCAAGCAATTATTACAACTTTTGGTTTAAATATGTGTGCCCAAGTTTCGGTATACGAAGGTCATTCAATAAATAATGCAAAAGGTCATATAAAAATAGGAAGAGCGTATAAAGCAGATTCTTAATACCTTCAATCCCTCAAAGCATTCCCTGTTATCATTTACACATGTCTAAAATCTTTGTACCCATGACCAGAAAACCTCAGCATACTCATCTTTAGGGATGCCCTAAAGACACTGATGAATAGCACTTTCCATGATATACCTGAAATTGTTAAATCTTCCTTTGATTGCTTTCATATGTTTTTGGAAGAAAAAGATCTCACAATGACTGAGATCTAGCTAATATGGGGGATGCCCAAGCTCTGTAAACTTTCTATTCTTCAAAATTTTATTCATTTCACTATATACTTATTTGCAGCAGCGTTTTCATGTGCAGAAAAAATACTCCGGGGACCGGTATTTTGGCTTGCTATGGAGGAAATCTACTTAACTTTCCTGGGTGAAATTTTAACATAAAAGTTACTATTGATAGTCCTTCATTTGGCTGTATGTACATGTTTTACTGGACCTCTTGAATAAAATAAAATTAATAAAAAATATTTGGAGCCATTGCTTCTCTTTGCAATAATAAGACGACAGCTTTGTCTTTGATTCCACATTTTATTCTTGATCTTCCTTTTCGGCAATAAAAAGTACACCAATGTTTCGTCATCTATCACTTAAGTTTATCAAGTCTTCTTTTTTGTAAAAATGTTTATACTTAAATAGACCATTGGCACATTTAACGTGTGTTTTCTCTTAGGCATTTGTAAAGAAATAAGGCACCTATCTGATAGAATTATCGTTAGATTTATTTCATTTGTCAGAACTTTATAAACTGTTCTGACGATGAAATGTTTTGTGCTTTAGCAAAGTTTATCAACGGAAATTTGGCATTTTCAGATATCTTGTTGCTCAAAGCATTCATATTTTTGGTGCCCCTTTAGATTTCGATCGACAACTTTGCGATCTTTTTATTGTACTTTTTTTGTGAAAATTCCGAATCCATCTGAAAACTATACAGTGTAAAAGACTAGTCTTTCCACATATCAAAATCATATCTTTTAATATGGGTTATTCAGCTATTTATGTAATGAAGCAAATAGTTTTCACATCCGCCCTCATTTTCATTTTCTTGGCAGAGATCATTTTTGAACAGTTTTCAGCTCAGTGTAGTGACCATGCGTACTCTAAAAGTGAATTCCTTTGCGACAATAGGAAAAAGCAAGAGGTTTTCTATTACTAGGAGTTCTTCAATAGAACTTTTCAACTGTTAAAAAATAAAACTAAATACTTCTACATTTATAATCATAAACTGTATATTGCATTACTTATTGAATGAACCTCGTAAATTCATGGTAGATAAATCCTTGTCAAGTGTAATCTCCAATCCAATGAAAACTAAGTGAACAATACACTAATTTATTCACATATATACATTGAGGACGCACGGTACAAACCAAAGATGTTACATTTATGCTAGCATATGTACTGTCTACATCTAAGTAAAGAACTCCCCATTTCTGAAAATTTCACACATATTAAATAATAATCTTAGTTTCAATATATGATAATCTGACACATTAGTCCAATTTATTAATTAACTCCATCTCTACATATATCTTTATCAAATCCTCATCAAACTATCCTAACACTAACTTGACCTTAACTCAATACACGGCTTCCAGTTCTACTAACAGGAACTCCCATGGCTTTCGTAATTCTTGACCACACTAGACATTGCTCGATTCGTAATTACCCTAACATTACTTAAATAGTCTGGGGACACGCATCCTTATATCTGTAACTCTAAACATCTAATCATAAATCACTTCTTACTTTGGCAACTGAAATTACTACTCATCATATATATATATATATATATATATATATATATATATATATATATATATATATATATATATATATATATATATAAGATACATAGGCTTGAAAGCGTTGACGTCACTAGCGTAATACTACTTATTTCATACATTTACTGAATATTACTAGAGGGTGGCATTTTGATGAATGATTAAAAAAAATCGAATACCAAAATAAGAAATAAAAGCAATTTATATACCTGAAGTTGTTCATTAAACTGGAATAGTTTCAGAAGTTTGAGACATAAAATTCAATTCTAAAAAGCATTGCACTACATTAATTTACATTGGTCGAAATTTATTTTTGTTTGTTAGAAGACTATTGTAGTTTTTTTTAACATAAACACCATATGCAGATGCTAGCAGAATATTTCAACATAAATAAAGAAAATTGACGACTGAAAAGCAGGTGATCTCGTTTGTCATACACCTTGATTGTTAGTTGACACTCATTGTCTACAGTCACTAAAACATCCAAATATGAAACAGATGTGGCAGATTCTGTTGTGTCTTTTATTTCGAGTTCACTCGGATATATATATATATATATATATATATATATATATATATATATATATATATATATATATATATATATATATATATATATATATCCAGTTGACATATGAATGGAAGTAACTATTGTTAATTGATAAAAGTCGTCGAAATATCTGAATGTCTAGATGAAGGCCATAGAAGTATTTTCTTCTTCCCATGTAAAAGTTTTTCAATAAATTCTACTACATAGGAATATAAAAATGGGTCGGCTAATAACGGAGCATAATTAAATCCATCAGAATTCGAACAATTTGTTGGAAGACCTGGTTAGGAACTCCAGCATCCTTATATCGACTTCAGTGTACTTATGTGTAGAACAAGAGTGATTTTTAGCAAAGTAATTTTGATGAATAAATCACAAGATATGAATATTTTCGAGTTCGATTTTTATTAAAGAAGCAGTTGTGTATGATATCAAGAAGCATAGTTTTTAATTTATCGTGAGGAATGGTCGTATAGATAGAGGATATTCTATGTTTTGTAGTTGGATATGGAATTTACTTTACGAGTGGGACAGGATTTTTCAAATTAAAATAAATTCCATATCCAACTACAAAACATTGAATTATCTGTTTATGATATTTTCCCTTTGTTTCTGTCTTTTCGTAACACAGTGTCATAGGCTGTGACGTCAAAGTGGAGCGATTGAGACATCACAGCTTAGCAATTGTGAGATTGAAAACATGTAACATGGATTTTAGCAACATATCTGGGAAGAAATTGGCAGTTTTAGTCTCTGTCAAGACGGTTTAGTTACTATCTTTATGTTATGACAGACCAGAAATTGTTTTTTACTTACTTTGATATCCTTTCACACTGTGAGAGAATATCACTTTAGTATCCTTTCACACTGTGAGAGAATATCACTTTTATTCAAATAAATCACAATATTTCATTGTAGGAAATATAATAAAATCTAGAAAAGTCAAAAGTTTTGATTTTAAAAAGAACTCGATCGATTGATGGAGAGAGAGAAGTTCGAAGTCCAGCATTACATATTTTTTCCGACACATGTAGTATGCACTATAGACAAAAGTAAACAAGCGAAAAGCAAATTGAAGGTAAGGAAAGCTACCAGAAGGAATTCAGACTTTGTCAGAAAAAGACTGTGATGGCTGTTATATACATGTATAAAGTAGTCAAGGATTAAGATAGCCGAATAAGCCAAGAGACCATAGCTGAAGGTGGAGAAAGGAAAAATGATAAAGACAGCGGCAATGTGGGAAACAAAGAATGGACTAGGAGGTAAAGGAAAACAGAAAGATCTTTCTCATAATTTATTTTAAGAACTGTATATTATGACATTTCATAAACTTGTTGAATTGCAAAAGATGAATTTAAATAAAACATTGATGCACCCAATGTTAACACTCTGATGTACAAATATCTCTCTTATATTGTGAACCAGTACTAATTTTAGATAAAAGTGTTATTTAAAATATAATGTGTTCAAATTCTATTTTTAGTCATATATTATCTCTACCTAAAATAATTACTAATAAGAGAAAAATCAAATTATCTCTATCTGAAATTTAACCACTTAGAGAAAAATCGATGTATGTGCATTGAAAACGGAAATTTGCCTTTAATATCGCTTGGAATAAAACAGAAATTGCAATGGTACCTTACCAAAATAAAAGGTTGGAAAAGGTCATGGAATTCACATAAGAACAATTTGCATATATATACATTGTATTAAATTGGCATCAACAAGCATTCTGAGAGTATTGCATTAGCAATACTAGTCCCCTACCGGCAAGTGTAATCTGGTTCCCGTTAAAAATTGAAAAGGCCATAATTCCGTCAAAAATCAATGAAGCGGGACGAAATGCAAACTTGATTTATAACTAATCAAGGTAAAGTCACATACCAAAAATCAGCTCAATATCTGAAAGCGTTTAGAAGAAAATTGTGGAAAACCCTTAAAAATTGAAAAGGCCGTAATTCCGTCAAAAATCAATGAAGCAGGACGAAATGCAAACTTGATCTGTATCTCATCAAGATACACTTACATACCAAAAATCAGCTCAATATCTGCAAGCGTTTAGAAGAAAAGTGCGGAAAACCAAGTGGGACAGACTGACAGACAGACAGAGGGACAGACGGACAGACAGACAGACAGACAGACGGACGGACAGACTCAGAGGAAACCTATAGTCCCCTCCGCTTTCACCGGTAGGGGACTAATAACGTTTACTAGTATGTGCACATGAAATCCACAAATCACATTGTAAACTATACTGAGACATTCAATTATCTAAAAATATATATATGAAATGGAAAAATAAAGAAGAATATAGATTATAGACATGAAGTTTACACAAGCAACATTAGCATTTTACAAATATAACATGCTCATTTAGAATTTGGTTTCCTCTCTGTTTCCACGAGTTAATTTTGGATGCCCGTTACCCACAGTAATGGAGCAGACATAAGTTCCATCTGTCAGTCCGTCGAGTTTTGGTCGATCCTGAGTGTTGGTGACCATGTTGCTGTATGTCCCTGTATCAGACTTTGTCAGTGGAGTATGATTGCTGACCACATTGTCAATCACCGAATCTGCACGATCACACAGAGGGTGTCCATGGCTGGAGCTTATATCAGACAATGTATCCTCCAGGTCACTTATTGAATGACAGGGGCTTAGATATGAATGACTCTCCTTTCTGTTTCTGAGAGTGGGCGAGGGGATTTCATCCGGAGATACAAGTTCTTCATTTTCCTCAATGATTTTGTTTTGGAGAATAAAGTTTTGATCCGTCATTGTAGGAGTGTACACTCCTGCATTTGATGATGCATTGAGAAAACTTGATGTACTGCTCCATGATTGGTTAGATTCGCTGCTTGAATGGGCGGGGTCAGCACTGACTGATCGCTGAACGACATTTCGTGGCTCTGAATTAGTAGCAGAATGTGTGGCTTGGTACTCCATTGATAGAGACCTTAGTGGTCTTCCCTCCAACAGACCGGGAGTCGAAGCACGTGCTCCTGAAAACAGCGCCCTCTCCCTGTGCATACGCAAAGGAAATAGTAAATTAAAGAATATTTCTTTTTTTTTTATTTTTGATAATGAAATTGGCACTTGGCTATACATGTAATAAGCAAATTATTTATATCTATTTAGAATACAATTTTGTTCTTTGATAAATTCAGTTTCCAAAATATGTGAACAATGATAAAATATAAACTACCATCTGAGAAAAATGGTAACAAATCAAAAGTAAATAAAATACACAATACACAACAATGGAGAAATGCAAGTATTTTAAAGCATACAAGCAAAGTAACGAAAGTGCAGTTTAGTTCAACCATTCAAACTTTTATGTGCCAAGGTAACAAACATTTACCTGTCCAACCACAGCATGCTGTGACAAACAATACAGAAGGTATCAAAACAATGACGTAAACATACATCCAGCAATCATTCTTGTTGTATGAAATAGGTCCTATTTACTCTTCCAAAAGACATCTTTCCATCACAGTCTGAACTTGTTACTACATAATTTCAAATTATTTTTATGTTATTAAAGAAATTAACTGGTACCTTTCTTAGCCTGGTTCTCTGCACTTACCGGTTAGAATCTCCTGGTTTGAATTGAACATGGGCTTTTTGTTCATCAGATGTATCTTTATTTTTGCTTGAAAGAATTCCCAAGCTTTTAGCCTGCTGGATTTTCTGGAATTATTAGTATGTTAGTATGTAAACCCTTCCACTGTTAGCTATAAATTCAACAAAACACTAGACAAATTATAAACAATCATTACACAATCAATTATATGTATATGGATTAAAATAGAATTAGACAATTTTTTTTCGTCAAGTAAGCAACACTTACATGCAGATAAGTTTTATATCATTTATTTGATAAAGTGCTTGTTTTTTAGTGAAGACATTTCAAGAGGCGGACAAGAACACGATAAGGACACCAAGAGCCTTTAGACATTAAATACTCCCATTATTACATGAAGCAATGTGTCAACACAGCTAAAGTTAAATAGCCATACCTGTTCTTTCTACTATTCTTTTTAAGAGATTCCTAAGTAAAGGATAGAGGAGAAGTGTTATAACTAATTACTGTTATAGCTAATTACTATTATAACTAATTAATGTTATAACTAATTAATGTTATAACTAATTACTGATATAATTACTATTATAACTTATTACTGTTACAGCTATAATTTCTGTTATAACTTATTTCTGTTATAACTAATTAACTCCAATATAGATAGATTAGGATTGTTATAACTAATTTAATTTCGTTATAGAATTAAAAAAACTATAACACAGCCTTTACCGTGTAGTAAGAAATGTTAATAGCTATGACTGTTATATAACCTACAATACTGCAGTGTTGAAGTTGAGTTTTAGACATGTGTTTTATTTGTCTACTAGTCTAAGAATATGCAATTCGTCTATCCACTGATGTATCCTATTGTCATATGGAAAGAGAGAACTGAAAGTCCAAGTGCAATTAAAAGGAGATGGTTAACTTTTAAATCAACTACCATGATGGATAATTTTATAACGTACACACAAATAAAAAAAAAATAAACAATTCAACAATAAAAATGAGCCAGAAGTCTCTGATGAGACTGTAACTCTACTGGTCTGTATGTATAACAAAAGAAAAGTAGCACTTGGATTTGAAACTTTGCAACATGCAACAATAAATAGAATTATGTATCTTAATGTAGTCTACTTCTGTGCCAAGTTAAATTGAAATCAAACGAAAACTGTAGGAGGAGTAGCATTTTGAAAGTATTTCACGGAAATTTCTATTTTTAGTAACCAAGACAACACCATTCACCGAAATAAAAAAAACAGAAATGCATATTATGTATCGAAGTGTATTCTAACTGTGTGCCAAATTAGATTGAAATCAGACCAAAATTGTAGGAGGAGTAACGTTTTATGGGAATTTCACAAAAAATTCTATTTTATGTAACCATCAGACTAAAACTGTAGCAGGAGTAGCGTTTTAAAGTAATTTCACAGAAATTTCTATTTTTAGCAGGGATTTATCAGTACCTTCTCAGGGGCCGAAATTCGGCCCCATTCCCAATTGAAAATGAGTTCAATTTTTCCCAATTTGGCAGTATTTTTTCCCAATTGGTGAACAATGCTTTTATATTTAATTGTCTTGGAAAAAACTCAGTAAAAATGTCAGATTGTCTGTAATTTTCATCTGTTTATCTCATTTAGCAAAGCTACAGTCATAACACGTTTAAAAACACTGTTGGTAAATATCGCCGACTTTTAATCCGAATTTCCTCCGTTTTTCTGAAAATGGTGATATTGTGTAATAATATAGATTTATTAAGTTATTTCCACCTATTCAATTGATCTACAAGTGAATGGTAAGAACTGTAGGCATATATTTCAGATAGAAAAATATATTTTCAATGCATTTTTACATATTAATAAAAGGGGACTTTGAGAAAATGTGTACTCAGTATCATTTTTTGCAGGAGGTTTATAATCTCCAGAAATAGATTTTAATCACCTAAATTGGAATCTTATACACACATGTACAACCCTAAGTTATACTTTATACTCATTGAAGTCAAATTTAGTTTTATAAGTCTATTATTGATAATTGATCTTGTATAATTATGATGAAGTTGGATCAATTTATTTAATTGTCTGTTTGGTTGCCCAAAATAGAGTTCATGCTGAAATGTTAAATGAATTACACCTGAATACACATGACGTTAGCAAGATTTTTAAATTTTTCCCAATTTCAGCAAATAGCCGATAATATTTTCCCAATTTCCTAAAAATGGCGTTTCCCAAAATAGGCTGATAAATCCCTGTTTAGTAACAATGGCAACACTGTTCATCAAAATCAAAAACCAATGCACTAAATTATGTATGATAGTGCAGTCTACTTGTGTGCCAGTTATATTGAAATCAGATCAAAACTGTAGGATGAGTAGCGTTTTAAAGGAATTTCACAGAATTTTCTATTTTTAGTAACAATGGCAACACCGTCCATCGAAATCAAAAACCGATGCACTAAATTATGTATCTTAGTGTAGTCTACTTGTGTGCCAAGTTATATTGAAATCGGACCAAAACTGTAGGAGGAGTAGCGTTTTAAAGGAATTTCACAGAAATTTCTATTTTTAGTAACCATGGCAACACCGTCCATCGAAATCAAAAACCGATGCACTAAATTATGTATCTTAGTGTAGTCTACATGTGTGCCAAGTTATATTGAAATCAGATCAAAACTGTAGGAGGAGAAGCGTTTTAAAGGAATTTCATAGAAATTTCTATTTTTTGTAACCATGGCAACACCGTCCATCGAAATCAAAAACCGATGCACTAAATTATGTATCTTAGTGTAGTCTACTTGTGTGCCAAGTTATATTGAAATCGGTCCAAAACTGTAGGAGGAGTAGCGTTTTAAAGGAACTTCACAGAAATTTCTATTTTTAGTAACCATGGAAACACCGTCCATCGAAATCAAAAACCGATGCACTAAATTATGTATCTTAGTGTAGTCTACATGTGTGCCAAGTTATATTGAAATCGGACCAAAACTGTAGGAGGAGTAGCGTTTTAAAAGAATTTCACAGAATTTTCTATTTTTAGTAACCATGGCAACACCGTCCATCGAAATCAAAAACCGATGCACTAAATTATGTATCTTAGTGTAGTCTACTTGTGTGCCAAGTTATTTTGAACTCGGACCAAAACTGTAGGAGGAGTAGCGTTTTGAAAAATTGTTTACAGACAGACAGACAGACAGACGGACGGACGACGGACACCTTACTATCGCATAAGCTCTTCTGGTCTCTGACCAGTAGAGCTAAGAACGATTACATAAGGAATTTGAGGAAAACCAACCAAACAAAAACAAAGAGAAAAAAACCTCAGCTGTCCGTATTTTCTACAATAATTCATTCATAGTTCATTAAGATGTAGCTAGAGCATCGTTTGAAGTAGGACATTGAGAAGTTTTAGCAGAATGTGAGAAACGGTTCGAAAGGTTATACATATGGTAAAGAAATGTCACGGAGGTGACTGAGAAATTATTACAACTTTTGGTTTAAATATGTGTGCCCAAGTTTCGGTTTCAATCCATGGTAGATAAATCCTTGTCAAGTGTAATTTCCAATCCAATGAAAACTCGATAAACAATGCATTAATCTATTTTCATATATACATTGAGGAGGCAAAGTACAAACAAAAGATGTAACATTTATGGTAGCATATGTGCTGTCTAGATCTTAGTAAAGCACTCCCCACTTCTGAGAATTTTACACTTATTAAATAGTAATCTTAGCTTCAATAGATGGTAATCTGACACATTAGCTCCAATCTAATTAATTACTCCATCTCTACATAAATCTTTATCGAATCCTCATCAAACAATTATAACACTAACTTGAACTTCACTCAACACACTGCTCCCACTTCTACTAACAAGTGCTTCTGTGGCTCTAATAATAAAAAAATTCGTAATTCTTGACCACATTAGACATTGCTCTACTCCTAATTACCCTAACTTAACTTAAATAGTCTGGGACAAGCATCCTTGTGCCTATAACTCTTATAAACATTTAATCATAAATCACATCCTTATTTTGGCACCTGAAATTACTACTCATCCAAAAAAAAAGAAAAAAAGAAAAAAAAAGATAAATAGGATTGAAAGCATTGACGTCACTATAGCGTAATACTACTTATTTCATAAATTTACTGAATATTACCAGTGGGAACATTCTGATGAATGAATTATTAAAAAAAATCTAATACCAAAATAAAGAAAAAAAAACAATTTATGTACCTGAAGTTGTTCATTAACCTGCAATAGTTTCAGAAGTTTGAAACATAAATTCAATTCTAAAATGCATTGCACTACATCAATTTACAATGGTCAAAATATATTTTTGTTTGTTACCAGACTATTGTAGTTTTTTTAACCATACTGGAAGAAAACTGAAAATTCACCTTATATTACAAAACATTCAGTGATTGTCAAACACAATCAACAAAAACAGTGTCAAGTCACACTATTGTTAACAGTTCTAGCAAGCTGGGTACCGAGGTCAATTCAATCAATACAGTTACACACACAGGGGGACACACACTTCATACCACTCCCTCCTCCCCCTCTTCTTCCTCTAGGATCGTGGCATGATCTGGTGAAGAAGACATGGTATGCCTTCTCTCTGTGTGTATAATCTCAGAGGAAGGAGTGGTAGTCAATGGGTTTGAAGTAACACAAGGACAAGATTTAAAGCGGGAACGGGAGAAGCCAGAGAATGCAGGGTGGGGTTTATTTACCTTCCACTTGGACATGACTTTGTTCCGATGGTTGGAGGCATGCTTCAGACACAGTTGGCTGATGGACCTAACAAAGGCACCATGGCCATGTTTGGAATCATGACCAGACACATGCTGAGAGTGAGTAGGTTGACCCATCTCTGTCGGAACAATCAGCAGTACTGTCTTAGGACCTTTCTGAGGCTATAGATAAAACAGGTTAATTGTGTGTAATCTTTTGGAAATATCTATATCTTGTTTCTTCTAAAATAAAGAAAAGCATACTAGATAGGACTTTTTCTAAGACCTTCTGCTACTTGCATTTCAGTACCTGAAGTTCTAATTTAAGGACAGTCCAAGGAATGTAACAAGGCGCAGAAAACACTTCTTTAGTAAATACATTCTGGGCATAACCTGAAGGAAACAAGCAATTATAATACAAACACTAAAACAGCTAAAATTAATACATCCACTAGAGCTGTACACAATGCCAAAGAGCTATAAAATTAAGTCACTTGGAATCCTAAACATGTTTAAACTATTCTGTTAGGCCAGATAATCAGAAATTTATTATGAACTTCTTTGGTCTTACCATTAATAAGAACAACATCACTCATGCCAGAATCCACTGTGAAGACATCAATGTCATCAGAGTCTAACAAGTAAGAGTTCTCCAGTTGTAACTTAATCTTTTCCTTCGTCCAACCCTGAGAAAGTTAACAATATGTCTCTCATTAACTAAATGAATATTAAAGCTAAAACATTCATTTTTCTTTGTAGCAAAAAATGAGTATATAGACCTGATATGCGGGTTGTTTCATTAGTATAGACGTGGCGATCCTGTTGGCACACACGTGCCACAGCCTATACTCCAGTGATGGCTCACTGTCTTGGAATTCCTCCATAGCTTTCTCCATGTCCTCTCCACTGATAAACAATACCTAGGAAAATAAATAACACCTTGGAAAATAATCAACACCTAGGAAAATAAACAACACCTAGGAAAATAAATAACACTTTGGAAAAAAAACACCTTGGAAAATAATCAACACCATAGAAAATAAACAACACCTAGGAAATTAAACAAAACCTAAGAAAATAAACAACACCTAGAAAAATAAACAACACCCCGGAAAACAACACCTAGGAAAATAAACAACATCTAGGAACATAAACAACACCTGGGAAAACAACACCTAGGAAAATAAACAACACCAAGGAAAAATAAACAACACCTTGGGCAAAAACAAAACCTGGAAAAAACAACATCTAGGAAAATAAACCAAAACTAGGGGAAAAAAACCAACACCTATAAAAATAAAACACCTATTAGAATAAACAGCACCTTAAGAGTAAATAACACCCGGGAAAATAAACAACATCTAAGAAAATAAACAAAACGTGGGAAAACAACAACTAGGAAAAAAACCCACACCTAGGGAAATAAACATACCTAGGCAAATAAACAACACCTAGGAAAATAAACCACATGCACCTAGGAATATAAACAACACCTAGGAAAATGAACAAAAACCTGGGAAAATAAAGACATTTAGGAAAATAAACAAAGCATGGGAAAACAACACCTAGGAAAATAAACCACACATAGGAAAATAAACTACACCTCAGTAAAAAAACAAAACAAAACAAACCTTGGAAAATAGACAACACCTAGGAAAATAAGCAACACCTTGGAAAATAAACAACACCTAGGAAAATTAACCACACCTAGAAAAAAAAAACACCTAGGAAAATAAACAACACATGGTAAAATGAAAAACCCTAGTAAAAGAAACAACACCTAGGAAAATAAACAACACCTGGGAAAATAAACATCACCTGGAAAAATAACACCTAGGAAAATAAACTGCACCTAGAAAAAAACAAGACCTAGGAAAATAAACAACACATGTTAAAATAAAAAAAAAAGGAAAATAAACAACACAAGGTAAAATAAACAACACCTAGGAAAATAAACAACACCTGGGAAAACAACACCAAGGAAAATATACAACACCTGGGAAAATAAACCACACTTATGAAAATGTAGAACATGACCTATTATCACAAAGAAACAAAATCATGGATCACATTTATCAAAACTATCCTGTTTATGTAAACTCTGTATATTTTTAATCATACCTGAACAGCTGTTTCACAGGTTACAGTCGCTGATCGAGGTCTCTTTGTTAGCAGACCCATCTCCCCAATGATATTTCCAGAGGTCAGAAAGTCAATTAGATTTGCCTTGACTTGAAGTTCTGAGCCACTGGGTTTTCCCTCGTAGATGATGGGTTTTCCTGGCTGTATGGTCGATTCTAGCTGTGGAAAGAAAGATGGATACCGGTGCATTCCTTCCTTGAGTAATTTTGTTTATTTATGGTTGCACCAAAGACCAAGTAAATAATGGTCCGTTTCATACAGGTGAGTAAAATATAGTTTTATTTAAGAAACGGAAGTACAGAATTTATTCAGCTACTATAACATCTAAGCCACTTATGTGTGAAAATATATATATACACAACGGCAATTGAATATGAAAAACTATAGTTTTTATTAAAACATACGTCACTTTATGTAGAAATTACGAATTTCGATCATCTACGACATGATAACTAGATAACTCGCAAGTTAACTATTTAAACTGTAACCTTTCAGCTCTATGACGTAAATGAAAATATACATTTTTGACAAATAAATGGCAAATGTTTCCAAATTGTATTTGGAAATAAGACAAGCTGTAATCTTGATTTCAATATCACCAATTGTTATACCAAGTCATCACAATAACCATATTAACACTTTATGGTTTCATCTTTGATTTGTATTTCAGCTTTTATACATTTTGGATGTGAAGTATGTAATGGATAGGGTATAAATAAATGCTTTCCGGAATGCGTAAATGCCCCATTGATGTTAAGGAACTAGCCAATTTTCTATGATTTTCAAATTTTTCACAGTCGAAATGTTTTATGAAAGAACTCCTAATTACCGAAAACTGCATGTTTTTTCCTACAGTCCTCGCAAAGAAATTCACTTTGAACGTAAGCAGGGTTAGTACACTGTACTGTAAACTGATTTACTTTGATGTCTCCCAAGAAGATGAAAATGATGACGTATGTGAGGACTATGCTTCGTTATAAAAATCGCTGTGCTTCATTATAAAAATCACTGAAGAACCCATATGAAAGAACCGTTTTGATATGTTGAAAGACTAGTCTTTCATGCTGCACGGTTTCAGATGAATTAAGAAATTCAAAAAGTAAAATAAAGGAAAGTTTAAGACTGCAGTCAGACTGGTCGATCGAAATCTGTAGGGACACTAAAAATATCGATGCTGTAAGCTACATGATATCTGAAATTGCCGCATTTACATTGATAGACATTGTTAAGACACCGAACATTTCATCATCACAACAGTTTATAAAAGGTTTTGATAAAGGAAATGAATCTAAAAATATTTCTATCAGATGGGTGCCTTAATTCCTATCAGACAGCTAAGAGAAATTACGCGTTAAATGTACATGTACAATGTTCTTATTTCAAAAAAAAAACCAAACAAACAAACAAATATTTTAAGTAAATCAAAGACTTTGGTGATGAAGTAAAGAAGATAAGATAAACTTGGGTGATGGATGACGAAACATAAAGTGCCCTTTTTAATTATAGCCCAAAAGGAAGATCAATGATAAAATGTGGTATCAAGGAGAAAGTTTTCGTCGTATCATCAGATTATTTCGCAGAGAATCAAGGGCTCCAAACATGTTTAATATAGGTTTTCTATTTATTCAAGAGGTCCAGTAATACATGTAACTACACCCAAAAGAAGAACCATCAATGATAACATTTATGTTAAAATTGCACTAAGGAAAGTAAAGCAGTTTTTCTGTAAGGGCCCCCAGTGTGACTTTCCTGTACATTGTACTTGACAACGGTGCTACAAGAAAGGAAATTGTAAAGAAAAGGAAGTTTACAGACTTTAGCTATCCCCTGCAATGCTAGATCTCAGTCATTGTGAGATCTATTGATTCTAAAAACACAAGAAAACTTAACAATTTCGGGTATGTCATGGGGAGTGTTATCCATCAGTGTCTCTTGAGCATCCCTAAATGTCGTGTGTAAAGGTTAACAGGGAATTCGCTTTGGGAGCCCGGGATTAAGAATATTAAGGAACTGCTTCTCGTGCTTTTCTTACTTTTAGAGGACCTTTTGCATTACTTATACATATGTAATATCTCTCATTATAGTCTCATCAAAGTGTTAAATTAGTGTACGATTGTTCTCAATGAAACTTCTGTATATACTTTACACAATAAATACTATATCCTTTTACGATCGAAGTATTGTGTTTACATAAACTCACAAATTAGCGGTATATTATTTGATATTTGTAAAAAAAATTCTCATTTGTTACTCGCAGGCATTAAGAATTTCAGCGGATAAACTCAAAGTCTGGTTATTTAATATTACACTGAATGAACTATAAAAGTTCATATGAACAATTATTGGAAAGATCTAAATTGCCCTCTTTAAAGACTAGAAGAATGAGATTGCTGGCATTAGAAACATTTAAAATTATTAATAAAAAGGGTCCAGTCTTTCTCCAAGATCTGGTTATAATTAGAGAAAATTCATATAATTTTAGGTATTCTAAAGCCGCAGTTATTCCTAGACCAAAAACTACAAGGTATGGAAAAGGTTCTTTCAGATATGAGGCAGCAAGGATATGGAATACTCTTCCTAATGATATTCGAAACACAACATCCTTTAATTTATTTAAAAACTACATATCTACTTGGTGTGGAAATCAGACATGTAAATGTAGTTTATGTAAACACCAGTCCATGCTGCCTATGTCTGAGAAGCCTTTTTAAGTGTTCATCTGTGGTGTCTCTTTTTATTTCTAATATGAATTTGTTTTATATTCTGTTTTATTTTATTTTCCTGTTCTGTGATTGTTCATATGCATGCTAGTCATATGTATAATTACTGTCTATGTTGCTTTCCTTGTGTTTTCAGTTTTTCTCTTCTATCGGTGCTAGTAAATGTGCTTTGTGATTGTACTTACTTGTGATAGTCTGTACTTACTTGTGATAGTCATACATGTCAATGTTATTTGTGCTCCTTTGCTTATTTTAGTTTTTATTCTTTCCATTAGCATGATCAGTGATAGTAAATGTGTGCTCTGTATTGTGCTTTGTCAGATTCTTTCTTATTTGTGATAGTTATACATGTGCATTACAATTTCTGCTGATATTGCTAGTATATGTGCTTATTTCCTATGGTTTATTTAAATTATGTTTTTTTTTTACTAACTATGTATACTTTTACTAACTTTTATCTATGTAAATTTGTTAAAGTCGGTTAAAGAGCTATCATAGCTCATGTTATTATGTTATATTGTATATATATGCCGACTATAAATAAAATTTACTTGACTTGACTTGAATGTACTCTTAGTATCGGATGAATTTAAATTTAGGTCACAGATATGTATGTCAACACACGTTAAAATGGCGACCAGTGATAGAAAATCTACAATTAGTTCTCAAGAAGAAGAAACAAAAATATGTGACAAACACTGTGACGCCATCGATATCTTCTGTGTGGATTGTGATGAATTCCTGTGTTCTAGCTGTACCAAAACAGAACACAGAGATCACAACTGGGATACTGTAGCCAATATAGCAAATCAGAGAAGAAGAGGCCTCTCCGCATACCTAAGGAACATAAAGCAAGAAGTAATACCAGGTATTGATGACAGGATCTCAATGCAGATCAGAAACAATGAAAACGAGTGTAACTCGGGAATGGAGATGATTCAGAGGAGCTATGAGGAGATCTTAGAGAGACTGATGGAAATCAAGACACGCCAGGAACAAGCCATAAGGGACAATCTGACGATAAAGAATGAACAAGTGAACCGTGTGATAACAGAATTAAGTGAAAAGAGAAAACAATTAGCTGATAAAGTACAATTCACTGAAGATACAAACGTATCTGACGAAAGTTTGAGTGATAACGAGAAAGAGCTGTCTGGACTTTTGTGTGACTTGAAAGTTGACATGAAGGACTGTAAACATTCACTGAGATTTCAGGGTGGTGAAATCAGAGATGATGTATTGGAATCTATGCTTGGACAATTGTCCAATACACACACAGACGAGCTACCTTAATGCAAATAAAACTCACATTCTATCCATAGAATAAATGTGGCAGTACTTTATATGTTTGATTTTGAACTGTGTGATAGTACTAATCAAACAAATGGGTGTTAATTTATAATGCAGTTGGTGTATTTTTATATCAAATTCTTTCTAATATTTTCTAATTCTAATTCTGTGCAATAATGTCATTTTTTCCCCATTCTTGATTTGATAGTCAGTGCAAATTTACATTTTTTCCAGAGATGTTGTGAACACCAAAACTATTCAAATGACAGCGAAGCTTCGAGTTTCATGCAATGATGAACTGAGATTGTGCTATCAATCTCTCTAAACCTGCCAATGCACCCCAATTAGATCTTTTCTCTGTCCATAATTAGAAATAAATGAAATACACTGCTCTTCTACTGGGGGGCAACCTTACTAGGGTGTCCATCTCTTGTATATAACTCTGTTAAATATAAATGACTCCATTGTTGGCTGGTATTTGGCCATTGTTTCAACTTCTGTTTTCACAGTGTTTTTCAACCATCATGAATAACATTAAAATGGTTATCAAACGGTTATCAAATGATTACACTATTGTAAACAACACATTAACCTGTCTTTCTACTTCTGGTCATCCTGACCCACCCAAGCTGTCAACCATCATGAGACATACTAGAAATGGTGATTATCTGACCTTTGTTTCCACCTCTGGTGAATGTCTATGTTACAGTCGTCATAGACCCCATCTCTGAATGTCTTGAATTTCCAGTTACAAACTTAGGATACAATTTGCTCTCTAATTCTTTGAGTTACCCTCTTTGAATTACACTATTTGATAATTTACTGGCTATAATTCCTTGATATGTCTTTAACATGCATCAAACATATTCAAGAAAATCTCTAAGAAGTGTTATAAAACATAATTTCAGTGCAAAAAGAGGGTCCTGCAAACTATTAGATAAATGTAAGCGTAGAGATCAAATGTCTGAAGAAAAGAGCCTTTAAAAAGTCCAAGTTCATTACCAGTATATCTAATAAATAACTACAACAACAAAATAATGGTTTTAAAAAAATGAGAATTGCGAAGTATGTGTAAGCACTATACTATATGTTTTAAAAAAGTAAAAATTGCAGGCTGCAAGGATGTAAAAATGGGGGATTTTATAATTTATCCATCTAAATTATAAGGATCAAAACTAGGCAGGAAATGTTCTATATATATTATACAGTGGGCTGCTATTCCACTACATTAAGCAGCATACAAACCTTGAATGTGAATTCACATTGTATAGCTTTAGTGATCTGTAAGGGGAAATGTGCACTTGAACTGATCTGTATATGGTTATATCACAGACTTTGTTGGTAGGTGCAGGGATTTTGAGTTAAAACATGTTTTCTGTATATAGTGGGATTGGGAATTTGGAGCTAATATGTTATCTAAACATTGTAGGATTGGGATTTTAAGTTACATGTTATCTGTATATTGTAGAATTGGAAATTTTGAGTTAATATGTTATCTGAATATTGTAGGATTTGAGTTAACATATTACCTGTATGTAGTTAGGACTGGGAATTTTGACTTAACATGTAATCTGTACATTGTAGGATTAAGAATTGTTAGGACTGAGGATTTTGATAAAACATGTTGTGATCTGTATATACGTAAGCTTGAGAATTTTAAGTTAACATCTTGTGATCTTTATGTAAGTAAGCTAGGGGATTTTGAGTTAACATTTTGTGATCTGTATATAACTAGGTTTGGGAATTTGAAGTTAACATCCTGTGATCTTTATATAAGTAAACTAGGTGTTTTGAGTTAACATTTTGTGACCTTTACATAAGAAGCCAGGGGATTTTCAGTTAATATTTTATGATCTGTATAGCATATTAATAAGATTGGGGATTTTGAGTGGACATTTTGTGATCTTTATATAAGTCTAGGTTTGGGGATTTTGAGTTAACATTTTGTGATTTGCATATAAATAAGCTTGGGATTTTCAGTTAACATGTTGTGCTCTTTATATAAGTAGGCTTGGGGATTCTGATTGGTAAATTGATGCACTTACCCTCACCATTCCTGACACTATGATGTAGATTCCTCCCGGTGGATCACCCTCATGGATTATCACATCCTCATAGTTGTAGCTGATTAGCTTGGCCTGATGCTGTCAAATATATTGTATATATATATATATATATATATATATATATATATATATATATATATATATATATATATATATATATATTTTGAAAAATCAATATATTTATTGTATTAACAGAATTATAATATATTGTTTGGTTGTTTTTTAATTCATTTGATTTTTTTTTACACATAACAAAAAAGAAATATTCTGCAATGTAATTAAAATATAATATTTTAAAATGTTTATTTAAATTTTTTTTTTATTTCTAATAGATAAATAATGATCCATGGCTTTGATACAAGACAATGATGTTTGGCAGTATTATTAAGTAAAAAGCGTAATAAATTAAGGTAGCATACTTTGATGTAGCCAATGAGATTGTCATCATTGCGGAGCCAGAAAACATGCTTCAACATATAATCAGGAGGTGGGAGTGGAAGACTTGGTGGGAAACTTAACAACCTCTTCATCTTTTCCTCAATCATCTATAAACAAACACAACTCACTGGATATACTGTGAAATTACTAATTTTTGTGGGGGTTAATATCTTCATTGTTTTTGTGGCTAGGAGAGACCCACAAATTCATTTCCCCAACAAATGTAAAATTTCATACATAGTAAAACTCAATATTCCTTCATCCACGAAACAGTATTCCCATAAACCAATAATTTTATCTCAAAGCGGAAAAATTTGATCCCAAGATAACATGGATAATAAGTGATTTTAAAAGTGTATTAAATTGGTCATCCAAAAATACCCCCCTCTTTTCTGTTTCATCATCTTAATATTGTCAAACCCTCTTAATGATTGTTGCTGACAAGTGCAATATGGTTGATATGACATCTGTGTTGACCTTTTCTAGTTTGGTTCCCTCGGCCTCCTCTAGGATTCCGTCCATCAGAAGTTCGTGGACGCCGTCCCTGAGGTTGTTAAGGACACTGCGGATGGCCTGGCGAGTCTTGATGGACAATGCAATATCAGGATGCTGCTTCTGTAACATGCCTGTTGATGTAAAATGCTTAACAGTTGAATGTGTGATTTGTACAACATTGCTCAACAAATTAACAAACAACAATCCTCCTGTATTTTCTGGAAACACTTCAGAAATCTATCTAACTTCTAATTCCTTGCCAAATAACTATAAATACTTACAAAGACTAAGATAAATACCAGTGCTTACCCAGACACCTGATGACGTCCAGTCTCCCGTTGTCACTGGACTGTTTAAGATTCTTGGCAATGTCTTTCTGATCCACCATGTGATCAATCAATTTCCTCACCTCCTCCTCCCCGGCCACATATCCCCTCCCCACGTCATAGCCATAACTTAGATGTTTACTGATTTGTCGCTTCAGGAGCTTCACCACCAATGGCATCAGGGGCTAAAAATTAAATGCCATACATTCTGACTCAGCTAGTGAATATACACCCTGTTTTGATACTTTATTATCCCCTTGGAAGAAAGTTGGAGGGGAAAAAGTAAGGTGGGGGGAGTGTGTACATAAAAAAAGTTACGCAAGTAATAATTTACATGTATATCAGGAATGGGGGTGGGGGTTCAGTATGTGCAAAAACAGAAGTTACACAAGTAATATTTTATATCGGGAGAGAAGTACTCTTTTGCGAGGGGATGCTTTGCATGGCGGTGCCCTTGTTTGTTTTATCTTTCTTTTGTTGATTTTATTGTTAATACCAACCTCTAGAAGTCTGAAGAGTCTGATGATTCTGAAGAGCATGAAGATGACGATGACCACAGTCACAACTTTCCTATCATCATCGTACACTGCCGGGAGGGTGAATCCCACGATTATATCCACAATACCTATAGAGATGATGGTCAGACACAAATTGTTCCAGCCATTCCTGATGTACTCATGTCTCTGGACAAGCACCTGTCACAGTATACCAGATAATTATTGAAATGAAACCACAATGAATTAAGCTTTGACATCATTAGAAAGTTGTCACCAACAATAATACAAATGTGAAAATAAAAGCAGTACAGTGATTTTACCTTTGCAATACACTCCATGATGTATAACGCCACAAACATGACATTGAGGCTGCGGAAGATGTTACGTTTGTCCTTCCACGCAGAGTGATACTGACAGACAATGGAGAAGGCAACGTTAACCATGTCAATGACAATGATGGAGACCATAGTGATATAGAAAGCTTGGTGTTGGGTGATGTGATACAAATGGCGGAGAATCGGAGACTTTGGGCGGGGAATATCTACTCCACCTATCAGCTTGATGAGATAGCTTTTCTGAAATTTATAATCAGGGAAATAATATCATTACATCTTTCACAAGTGTTACCAAAAAAAAAGTTTACTTTATGTACTATCCATTCATTCTGCATAGACCCAATAAACAATTTATTTCCATAATGTGTAAAGCATTCAATACATGTATTCCTGTTTACTTACTAAATTTTCATAAAACTTTGGTACATCCCAACTTTTCTTTATTTCATCAACATCTATGAATCTGAAATAATAATTGGAATGACAGGTTAGAATTTGTTTCTCAGGATGAAGTAATGGCTACATCAATCAGTCCTTGCCTTCTGTGCTTACTTTCCCTGCTTGTCTGCTGACGTGTCCGTACAGTCATGTAACTTCCTGACGGCTTCTCTTGACAGCATCCCTTGTTCAAACTGTCTCCAGTAACTCATCTAAAATAAACAAGCTTTAAATTATTTTTATTTGTTACTTTTCATATGATTTTCAAGTCTCCAGTATTATTTTTAGAGATTTCATTTTTGAATATTGGAATTTTTTTCACAGTTAGCATATGTTCTCCTGTTATTGACAAAGGTAGACTATCATATGCCAAACTCCTCTCAATTAACAGGGGTTGAAATAAACGGTAGTCTGACACCCAGGGCTAGTCATTTTAAGACTCAGGCTAGCTAATTTAAATGTAACAATATTCCGTCGGGCAAGCAGATTGGAAAAAAAATTCTTTCACATTAAACCGGGCTGTATATGTAAAAGCACCTCCAAATTCATTTTTGAATCTTAGAATTTGTTATTTTTGTATTTTGAGGCACACTGATTCATTATGTATCTTCTCTGCTTTAAGCATTCTGAGGAGGGCTTTGTTGGTCATTTCACTACATACATTCTTTGCTTTGAGCAACCTGGGGAGGGCTTTGTTGGTCATTTTACTACATACCTTCTCTGCTTTGAGCATTCTGAGGACGGCTTCGTTGGTCATTTCTCGTAGTTCCTTCCTGGTATACTGAGCGGGGAGTTTGGCATCACACTCGGGACAGATGGAGTTTGGTCGGATGTCAAGGGAATCCTCCACATCTGCTTCCTCCTCCGTTGTTTTATACGGATCTTCTATCTCACAGCTTTTCTCCACTACATCCCAATCAGCATCAGCCAAAAATCTAAACACATAACGATTTAGTCATGTACATTTACTACTTGTAGGACTATACTCATGTATTTATACATGATCACATTTACCATGCTGTGCAGGGTTGTACAAAGGAAGAAACGCAAAGTGTATGAAGGGACATGTCAGCAGTTTGAACGTATATATACAGGAGTTTTTAGTGGGTCACATTACATGACCCTGTATAATGCCATTGTACAATCAGTTGTTGAGCATGGGCTTTTGATTACATGTATAATTTTGCCTCATATCCAAACACAAGGCAAAACTTTGTTGAATGATGTGTAACAGGGACTTGAACCCGGGCCCCCTGAATCTCCAGTCAGGTGCTCTACCAACTGAGCTATCTGGCCACCGGTGATTGAAGCCGTCTGACCACTGCAGATTTGAATAATAGACACATCATTTTACACACTTTCATACATTAGTTCCTACATGCAGTCAAACCTTGATATCTCAAACTCAATGGGACCAAGAAAAAACTTCAAGATATCTAAGGATTCGAAATATCAATGAGGCCTCTTACTACATTAGTGATGGTGCAGTAGTAGTCATACCCTGCTACAAATCAATGAGCCCTCTTACTACATTAGTGATGGGGCAGTAGTTGTTATACCCTGCTACAAATCATTGAGGCCTCTTACTACATTAGTGATGGGGCAGCAATTGTTACACACTGTCACTGCTACAACGAGCCCTCTTACTACATTAATGATGGGGCAGCAGTTGTTATACCCTGCTACAAATCATTGAGGCCTCTTTATACTACATTATTGATGGGGCAATTAGGGTTGTCACAGTTCCAAAATTTTTTGGGTCGGGTAGGTTCTGTAAATTTTCGGTTCGGTTTCGGGTTTTTCGGGTCGGTTATTTACATCTATTTTAAACCTTAATTTCATGAATTTAACTTGAAAAATCTTTATTTGTTACATTAAATTTACATTGAAAACAAGTCTTAACCATGTGAACGTCTAGACATCGGTGACTTGGCCTACTATTAGCCACAATCTGACCATTCCTGCTCGTTTTGATAATTATCTAATGCTCCCGTGACAAGTGTTTTGTCATGGAATGAAGTAGATTTCAGTTGTGATGTTTATTTATCACTGTTATAGTCATCATTCCTTTGATTTCGAGGCCATTTTTTGGACTGAACAGACTCTAATATATAAACCAGACCTGAACCGAAATCTGGAAAAATGGAACCGGAACCGAACTGAACAACTTGGACCGCAGTTCTCGGTTATTTCGGGTACTCGTAACAGCCCTAGGGGCAATAGTAAGTATATCCTGCTATGAGGCCCTTACCTGTCTGATTTTAACATGTTCAATGTCTTCTCCCTCATGTCCTGCATAAATCTCAGAGAATTAGCCATGGACATTTTCTTTGCGGGGGAAATGTCACTCATGCCTGCAATAGGTAAATATTAACAAAATACATTCTTATTTGTAGCTCTTATTTCTTCTGCATTATATTTCTAGTAAAAATTGCAGAAAATATAAAAAGTTTAAAAATAGAAAGTGAGAGAGTAAATGGGCGAATCTCAATCAGTCAAGTCCGTGAATAGAGCTTAATTTCTCTCACATGAACTAAAAAATAGCTAAAGATCATTGTGAGGCATGAAGTGAATATTCTTCCTTAAAAGCATGTATCATAATTTATACAAGTTTCTGCACATCTTACCCAAGGCTTTAAGAAGAGCTGAGCAGGTTGTAGCATTGATTAACAGAGTCAGAAACACTATCCCAGAAACATGGATCAGAACCTGAAAGAGGAACATACCATTCAAATATCACAAAGCAATTGTACTCAGTCTCTACTGGAAATCATATTGAATAAATCACAAAATCTCTGATGAGACTGTAACTCTACTGAAATGAACTTAATTATAATAGTCAGTAAAAATAAAATTAACCCTTGAATTTTATCATTTCTTTTTGAGTTAAACATTAAAAAAGAGTTATTTTACATAATGTTTTCTACACTGTCTTCAAACCAGACCAAAACAAAAGGAGGAAAAACACAGACATTATGTGAACAATCTATAGTACTTACTCGAATGCCAACAGTCTCAGAGTCAATTTCATCATGGTGGGCCACCTGTAGGGCTAGGGCAAGCCCGACTGCCCCCCTTAATCCTCCCCAGGTCATCACCATTCCCTCCTGCCAGGACAATCCGTACCCTGTGTGCTTCAGGATTGGGCTGAAGATTGCAATCACAAGTCCTCTACAACAGATATGGATAAAACCAACCCTAACTCAATAGTCCAAGAAGGCTGAAACCACGTGAAAATGATAAATTCAAAAATCTTTGTACACAGGATCCATCTGTAGATACTACAAACTAAAATTGGTTGAAATTGTTTCAGCCAATTCAGAAAAAAATGTTCTTACAAATGACATATGAGAACCATAGCAATAGGTCATCTGAGTGACCTTTGGTGACCTAAAAATTTATAATTATGCTTTAAACTAAGGCAATGTCTGTAAGCTTCAATTCATAAAAAAATTTCAATCGACTTTTGTTAATTTTGTCATGTTGATGATGTCAAGAAAATGCCATAAAGTAACAAGAGGCCCATGGGCCACATCGCTCACCTGAGCACATTGGCTAGGCAAAAGCACAATCAGTTCGGGGGGGGGGGGGGGGGGGGGGGGCTTAAATGGCTTGAATTTTAAACTACCTGATGATGCTTCCATGTCAATATAACAAATGGCTTTGTTGTACTTGAGAAGATTTTTTTTAAAAATTCCCATATATTCCTTTGTAAAAATTTGATCCCTCATTGTGGCTCCTCCCTATCCCAGGGGTCATCATTTGAACAATCTTGAATCTACACTACCTGAGGATGCTTCCATATCAATATGACTAAACATAGCTTTTCTGTTCTTGAGAAGAAATATTTTTTCTATATGTTCTTATGTAAAACTTTCCATCCCCCATTGGGCCCCATCCTACCCCTGGGGGTCATCATTTGAACAAAATTGAATCTACACTACCTGAGGATGCTTCCATATCAATATGACTAAACATAGCTTTTCTGTTCTTCAGAAGAAGATATTTTCCTTTATATTTCTATGTAAAACTTTGATCCTCCATTGTGGCTCCGCCCTACCCCCGGGGGTCATGGTTTGAACAAACTTGAATCTACACTACCTGAGGATGCTTCCATATCAATATGACTAAACATAGCTTTTCTGTTCTTGAGAAGAAATATTTTTTCTATATGTTCTTATGTAAAACTTTCCATCCCCCATTGGGCCCCACCCTACCCCTGGGGGTCATCATTTGAACAAAATTGAATCTACACTACCTGAGGATGCTTCCATATCAAAATGACTAATCATGGTTTGCAGTTCTTCAGAAGAAGACATTTTCCTTTATATTTCTATGCAAAACTTTGATCCTCCATTGTGGCCCCGCCCTACCCCCAGAGGCCATGGTTTAATCAAATTTGAATCTACACTACCTGAGGATGCTTCCATATCAATATGACTCATCATGGCTTGCTGTTCTTGAGAAGAAGATTTTTAAAGATTTTTCCTTTATATTTCTATGTAAAACTTTGATCCTCCATTGCAGCCCCGCCCTACCCCCGGGGGTCATGGTTTGAACAAACTTGAATCTACACTACCTGAGGATGCTTCCATATAAATATGCCTCATCATAGCTTTGCTGTTCTTGAGAAGAAGATTTTTAAAGATTTTTCCTATATATTTCTATGTAAAACTTTGATCCTCCATTGTGGCCCCGCCCTACCCCCGGGGGTCAAGATTTGAACAAATTTGAATCTACACTACCTGAGGATGCTTCCATATAAATATGATTCATCATGGCTTGGCTGTTCTTGAGAAGAAGATTTTTAAAGATTTTTCCTATATATTTCTATGTAAAACTTTGATCCTCCATTGTGGCCCCGCCCTACCCCTGGGGGTCATGATTTGAACAAACTTGAATCTACACTACCTCAGAATGCTTCCATATAAATATGACTCATCATGGCTTTGCTGTTCTTGAGAAGAAGATTTTTAAAGATTTTTCCTATATATTTCTATGTAAAACTTTGATCCTCCATTGTGGCCCCGCCCTACCCCCGGGGGTCATGATTTGAACAAACTTGAATCTACACTACCTCAGGATGCTTCCATATAAATATGACTCATCATGGCTTTGCTGTTCTTGAGAAGAAGATTTTTAAAGATTTTTCCTATATATTTCTATGTAAAACTTTGATCCTCCATTGCAGCCCCGCCCTACCCCCCGGGGTCATGATTTGAACAAACTTGAATGTACACTACCTAAGGATGCTTCCACATGAGTTTCATCTTTCCTGGCCCTATGGTTCTTGAGAAGAAGATTTTTAAATGATGCCATTATTTTTTCAGTAATTCCTAATTATCTCCCCTTGAAAGAGGGCGTGACCCTTCATTTGAACAAACTTGAATCCCCTTTACCCAAGGATACTTTGTGGCAAGTTTGGTTGAAATTGGCCCAGTGGTTCTTGAGAAGAAGTTGAAAATGTGAAAAGTTTACAGACGGACAGACAGACGGACAGACAGACGGACTACAGACAAAATGTGATCAGAAAAGCTCACTTGAGCTTTCAGCTCAGGTGAGCTAAAAAATTAAATGAATAGATGTTGTAATTCCTTAGTTTCTTGAAACATGTATTAATTTCATTCAGTCATTATATTTTACCAATAATTAGAATACATATTTTACTACTGAAGTTTTGCATTGTTACACTTTTTGATTTTTGGAAAGATTAATTAATACATTAAACCCCTTGCTCTAATGTCCTTCTTTTTTTGTAGGTTTCTTTTTATCAAACTGTTTTCCTCATTTTGCTTGTGATCATTGGACAAAATTATAATGAATAAAGGACAAAAAATAGTATACCAAGTCAAGAAGGACTACTGACATTTATTTACATATAAGATCCTTTCCCCCACTGTATGGTACACCTGTATCAGTCAGCAGTTAAGTTAATATTCAGTGTTTAAAAGCCACATCTCACCTGACAGTCACGTATACCTGGACACTTACATTACAGACAGGTAACTATGCTCTGATGTATGGGGTCATTAACATACAACACAGACATTTAATTGTTGTTTATTTAATTACCTGCACTTAAGATAACGACCTCATTTTTCAAACTCCTCTAACGAAAATATAACAGCTCCCAACAGTCAATTGTTAATATGTATGACCCTTTACGTTGTTCTAAAGTTCTTGTTTTTCATAAGATTCTGTCCCTTCTTTTTAAGTCAAAATTTTCAATGAAAAGGAGTACATTTTCATAACAATAATCTTTCCCTTGTCACCATTTCAGCTAAATAAATGCCTTATTTAAAAATTCTCTGAGTTGCAGAGACAGACCTGACACCGATAAATGGAGACACTATTGGGTGATCTGTGAATCCCACTGTCAATATAAATCGTGATGTAGCAACATGCTTTGTTGTCTTACATAAGATATATGCTTTGTTACTGAATAAATCTCCATCAGAAATTATAGTTACTTAGGGAAAAATGAAATTTAAACCCACAATTTATAGTTTAAATTTTTATGTCGATGATGTCATAGCAATTCATATGCTAGAAAATATGATATATAGCATGTCAAATTTATTCCAAAATGTATTAAAAATACGTACCTGATGACAAATATTCCAAAGTAAAGAGCAAACATATAAAACCAGTCAATGCCATGGATTTCAAAAATAGCTTTTTCTGCGATCACCATGCCAACAATGATGAAAATGAGGGTGTTAGCAATGTATGCCAATGTCTCCCAAAACCTGATATAATAGAAAAAGTTACTCATCAATAAAAAAGGAATTTTAGAATAGTTTATGCATAGAAACCTTGTTCAAACATGCACATGTAGATTATCATCAAATAGAAAAATCTTATATTATGACAATAATCTTAAGTTATGGACAAATTCTTACAGAATTTTCTTAACTTAAAAATTACTCCTCAAAAAACAAGCATTCTGAGAGTATTGCACTAGCAATACTAGTCCCCTACCGGCAAGTGTAATCTGGTTCCCGCTAAAATTGAAAATGCCATAATTCCGTCAAAAATCAATGAAGCGGAATGAAATGAAAATTTGATCTATTACTCATCAAGGTAAAGTCACATACCAAAAATCAGCTCAATATCTGCAAGCGTTTAGAAAAAAGTGTGAAAAACCAAGTGGGACAGACTGACAGACAGACAGAGGGACAGCTAGACAGACAGATGGACAGACAGACAGATGGACAGACAGACTCAGAGGAAACCTATAGTCTCCTCCAGTTTCACCGGTAGGGGACTAATAATGACTTAGTGTTCAAACAAATATGGTAAAGGTGTGCCTATACTCAGAATATTAAAACTATGAGTTTTGTTTCAATATGCCATAATTAACCTCCAAACATATTCATATCCATACATGTGTCTACACATACATATAAACATGTATATTTCCTTGAATTTGTTAATTTTCATAAAATTCCATAACATTGCGTTAACTTGTTCTATAAATTTCTGTGTCTGTATACCTGTGTAAAAAGTGTTCCACCTCTGGGCTGATCATGGTTTTCTCTGAGTTCATGGTGACCCCCAGGACCACAGTGGCGAGTACCCCTGACACACCCAGGTGCTCCTCCCCTGCAAATATATAAAGGACTTACCCATTAGTAATCAATTGCTGTCAGAATATGATTAAAAACAATCACTGATTTGTACAAATACTGCAAACATACTTATTTTAGTGGTAATCATATTTTTGCACTTTTCACACTGCCTCATGTCTGCTTATTCATTTAATATACACTAATGCATGATTCAAACTAATACATTGCCGCTTCGCAAAAATCAAGTGCACTAATGATTGCACTTATCAGCTGAAGAGGAAGACTGCACTAATTTTGAGAAAGTGTGCTAAATTATGTACATTTACATTAGATTTGTAGCACTATAACATTCCAACATAGAAAATGAATAATCTTACTCAAGTATATAGATTTACTAATTACTTATCTATATAGAATTATTTTACTTACCTACATAGAATTAGTAATTACTTATATAGAATTACTAATTACTTACCTATATAGAATAACTTATCTATATAGAATTATTTTACTTACCTACATAGAATTAGTAATTACTTATATAGAGTTACTTTACTTACTTATATAGAATTACTTTACTTACCTATATAGAATTACTTTACTTAGCTATATAGAATAACTTTACTTACCTACATAGAATTAGTATTTACTTATATAAAATTACTAATTACTTATATAGAATTACTTTACTTACTTTTATAGAATTACTTTACTTACTTATATAGAATTACTTTACTTACCTTTATAAAATTACTTTACTTGCCTGTATATAATAACTTAACCTACCTATATAGAATTAGTAATTACTTATATAGAATTACTTTACTTACCTATATAGAATTACTTTACTTACCTATATAGAAGGTAAGGTATGTAGAGGCGAGGGTGATAGTAATTTCTACCAGAGCATCATTGAACACTCGAGACAAACAGAACAAGGTGATTTTTGCCACAAAATATCCCCACAATGGACCCCCTAGGGCAACCTGCAGGAACTCTACTACGATATCCCCACCTACAAAATAAAGAGCATTTATCAAATAAACAGAAGATAGATTGACTTTATTTATATAAACTCTCAACTATTGTTCATAATTGTGTTTACCTTAACCAAAAAAGATTCTTAAACTTACAACAAGGTTGTTTACACATTGAAATTTCAACATATATACATGTATGCACTCTGCTATTAAAACAAAGTTACACTTTCAAAATTTCAATAACAAAAAAATATAATAATAAAAAAAAAATCAGTAAAAATTCTACCACCAATACTGATATTTGGGAGGAAAGCATCTTACCAATATCTTCAGAAGCAATACAGAATTAAATATGCAATCTAATAGTAAGTAAATGTTCAAAATGGCAAAAACCAATGAAAGCAGCAAAAGTGATAATGTCAAAAATAAAACAATTGTTATTGTTACCAGTAAGTCCTTCTTCTGATGTGGCCATCTTAATAAAGACATTATAGAACACAATGGCTGCCCCATCATTGACTAGTGACTCCCCCTCTACTACCATAGCCAGCTGTTTGGAGGCACCTATAAGTAGGGGAAAAAAATCAATCTAGGAAATACATTCAAATAGAATGAAAAAGCAGTCAGTATAACTCTGAAAAATATTAAATTGGATTAATTTGCCAATACAGAGCACTCACAGTCAGGACATAACATGGTCTGTGGTGTGAAGAATAGAACCGCATTGAGTGGGAACTTATCTAGATCTCTAAGCAGAACAACCATTGCTACAGGGTCTGTAGCATAGAGAATAAAAACAAACTGGGTTATGACTTATCTTGATCTCTGAGAAGTGCCACCACAGCTACAGGGTCTATAGCACTTAGAATGGAACCATATTGGGTGGCAACTTATCTATATCTCTAAGCAGACTCATCATAGCTACAGACTTACCATAGCTACAGGGTTTGTTGCACTAAAAATTAAATTAAATTGAGTGGTAACTTATCTAGATCTCTGAACAGAACCACCTAAACCACAGAGTCTGTAGCACAGAGAACAGAACCGCACTTAGTTGTGACTTATTAAAATGTCCGAAGAGTGCTGCCACAGCTAAAGGGTCTGTAGCACAGAAAATGGAACCACACTGGGTTATGTCTGAGCAGAACCACCATGGCTACAGGATCTGTAGCACAGAGAATTGGAACATCACTGAGTCTTGACTTACCTAGATCTCTGAGCTGAGCCACCACAGCTTCAGGGTCTATTAGCACACAGAGAATGGAACCACATTGAGTGGTGACAAGCAATCTAGATTTCTGTGCAGACTCACCATAGATACAGAGGATGGAAAAACTTTTAAAGGTGCCTTACCTAGATCTCTGAGGAGAGCCACGACAGCCACAGGGTCTGTAGCACTGAGAATACAGCCAAACATCATTCCTATGTTCCAGTCCCAGTCATAAGTAAATAAAAACCTAGCCAGCAGACAAGTGAACAGGGATGCCAATGCTACAATGGAACAAATAACCGATTCATTTAGACATTGCTACATGTACAACTTTGACTGTGATGGATTTAAAACATTCATGTATTGTCTGGAGATTAAAAAATTGTCAAATCATGTGAGTACAAATAACTTTGATGTTGTACATAACAAGATAAAAAAAAAGTTTATTCAATCTGTACCAACAGAAGTTAACAAGCAGGATGGTCAACCATTTCTTTAAATGACAACATACACAAGATCGGGAACTGAAGTTTTGCAATTGTAAATTAAAGTTTGAAATAAATGTTCTTTTCTTTTACTTACCCAGTCCTGGAATAGCCAAAAGTAACACCTGAATAAAAGTTTTCATAAATGTGTGGACCTCCATCCCAAAAGCTGATTCAAAGATAAGAACTGGTAGAAATATAAACAGTAACAGATGAGGGTCAGTCTCCACAACTCTGGCGTAGGCATGGACTGTGGTGTTGTTAGTGGACAACAGTCCAAACAGAATACCCAAAACTAGCAACACAACAGTGTAGGGCAACTGGATCTTCAAACCATGTATAATCTGTCTCACCAGAGCTGGAAATGAAGTTTAGTCATAAAATATACAAAACAAGTTTATTTTGATCTTGACAAACATCTGTTACATTTTCTTTAACTGAAGTGGTTCATAATATAAATCTTTCATCACTTGTTTCAAAAGCTAGCCTAATGTACTTCTTTGTACAAGAACTTGGCTCAGTAATAACGATTAATTAATTAATCATTCACAAATCTTTTGGCCTTGGTACCTTTGTCTGTTTTTGAAGCTGTGTTTCTGTACAAGTAGCTCGCTAGTCTTTAAAAAAAATTGGATGGACGACCAATTCTTTTCTGACCAGTGAGGTACAGATTTTCCATTCACGAATCAACTTTTGCTGTTATTTATTTTGTGAATTGCTATCTAAACTGAATAGTAGAGGTATTAAGATAACGATTTAACTTACCTCCCAATGCACAGGAAAAGAATATGAAGAAAATGATGTTGAGGGCCCCGTGTGATTCATCGGTATGATAAATGATTGTCGGCGCTTGAGTTGTGTTTGTTAATGAAATATTCACTGTGGTTGATATGTTTGAAAAATTCGACATAATGGATTTTTTCCTCCGTCACCTCTTTACAATATTGTGGTATGACTTATTCTGCAAAAATTGAAAACAACACATTGTTGACATTTCACCGGAAGAAGAAATATAACGTCATCTCTATCATGACTGTGACGTCACGATATCCTTGGGTACACATTTCTCTCACCTATAACGCTTTCAAAGGTGCGTGGTGAAGGGACACCCCCACCTTCGCATTCTGTACCCCAACGGTTCTTTGACCTTTTTTTCAAAAAATACTTTTCTATGTCACATTCACAAAGTACCACAATTGAAAAATCCTAATATAACCTAAAATTAATATTTCATAAAAATTCACACTCTCTTAAGAATGCTAAAAGTGTTCTCTGAAATAGTATCAGAGAGTGTGAATTTTTTTATATAAAAGATTAATTTCAATATTTAGGATTTTTAAATTGTAATACTTTGCATTATAGTAAAATCTAAATCATAGAAAAATATTTTATGAAAAAAAGTCGAAGAACCCGGATCGGAATGCTGGGGGGGGGGGGGTGTCCGTCCCCCAAGCACTTGTGATCTGTATGTATTTCCTCCTCATCTTTCTTTTGCTGAAATTTAGAATTCTTGGCTATCTTAATACACTAAAATTACGAAATTTCAGTAGATCCGCGTTCAAAATTCTTAAGGATGAACTTAATAGCCACAATGTGGAATTCTTTATCTATGCAAGTTTTGTGACAACTCTCATATACATTTTTAAAATACCTGTAACAGGAAAGGAGAAAATGCGACAGGCAAGACCAGAATTCGACCCCCCCCCCCAAACAAGATCAAAATTTGGCCAGTCTATCCCGACCGCCTCATACCTCTGACCAAATTGTGCATGGGTTTGTAAAACAATTAACGGCGGTTCTTACCGATGGCCAATATTACTCTCACTGGACATGTAGTATTATAAACATGAACTATATATATACGGCGTGAATGACAACATCGTTTGTGATAATAATCATTATGTTATAGAGGATGAATTCAGTGGCGTATTTAAGGGGGCGCAAACCCCCCCCCCCTTCAAAAAAAAAATTGTTAAAATTAGCGTTTACAAATTATAGTTTCGTGAAAAATGTAAAATGTCTACTCGGTAGACCTCGTTTTTACCCTACAAAATCTCTAGAATCCAGGAGCTTCAGCGGGCTTCACCCCTTGGGCCCCCGACCCCAGACCCCCTGCCTACTTTTGCGCCCCTACCTTCAATTCCCGAATCCGCGCCTGGAATTTATATATTTTTCAGCGCATAAATATTTTTCATTTGCAACGTGTCATAAGAAGTATAATTCTAAAATACTTTTATATATTGTTAATAAGATGAGAAAATATAATCCCACTTTAAGATTTAATTGGCAACAATAGTTTACAGTACTTGCGTGTTCTAATTTTCACAAAATCAAAATTCATGTTGATAACACTTTTGCAAAAATGTGCCTCTTAAAAAAAATGATGAAAGAAAGTAGCAGGTCTTTATATAACCTTAATATTGAATAATCTAAACAAGATGTTGCTTTAAGGGATCGTCAGAAAAGTCTTAAAAATATAAGATCACTTCTAGAAGTAAAAGTTTTGAATTTCTTAAATTGCAAAGCTATCCATAACAATATTTTAATTTACAATCGTAAGAATTCTTTAAATAGGCGAATAACAATTTTTATATCTGATACATGTACATATTTCTATTTCTCACAGGATTTTATTTTTACTAAAAAAAGAAGTATGCAGTAAATATTGGTAAAATAAAAACTTACCAATCTCTCAAACGCGATGATGAATATTTTTTTTTAGAGTCTTTTAAATATATCTCAGTTAAAACATGTCATAGTCCATGCGACTCCGATCCAAAATACATTTGCAAACTACAGCAAAGATTGTTTTCATAAAAATAGTCCAAAATATATAGAGTTTTTAGCTCTTACATTTGCATAATTCGATGTAAACAGATAGATAATACATGAAAATGATAAGTATATGCAACCGCAACTAAAACCCCAGAAAATGAATGGATTTTAATTAATGTGGGGGTTGTTTCGTCATCATGGTGAATTCTTTGATATAGCTAGGTAAGATTAATAAGTATGTTAATAGATTATGTTTATTAATTATTAGACGGTAGAGTACACGTGTTACTACAGATCTAGTAAAAAAAATCTCCTCGAGCGGAAGTGTAGATAATTTCTCGATTTGTGTTCTTGTCAGTAATGTGGCCTCCAATGGCCCAATCAGGAATGCCACAAATGTTACACATGTTTTATTCATACACCGATGATGTCACTTTAATTAAAATCTCCATTGATTAAAATTATACGCTGTAGACTAATAGGAACAAAGCTATCTGTCCCTTCCTGAGAGAGAGAGAGAGAGAGAGAGAGAGAGAGAGAGAGAGAAAATAATATAGGTGTTGTCAAGGCTACATCTGAACGAATGTAAGTCATGTTTAGTCATTAAAAAGTGGCCTTAAATAAGAAAGTTATACCGATAGACCTTTATAAAAGGTAGAGGATTACTTGTTTATGGGGGATAAACCTTCGTTCTATCTGTCTGACATGAAATAAAAACTTTACATGTACATTTATCTTGTGCTTAAAATCTTAAATAACTTTTGATTTTATGTTGATCCTACCTAGATAACAGAGAGCAGATATTTTGGTCATTAATTTTTGTTATACCACAATCTTATAGTCTGTGTATTTTAGCTATATATACTTCATCTTTTAAATAACTTTAAGTGTTTCTTCAAAAAGACGTATGTCCAATTTCAAGAAAATAAATTTGGTTTCAATTGGATAAATAACTTAAAGAAAACAATTTCACTGTAAAGGGAGATATTTTTTCAATAAAGGTAAAATAAAAAAAAACCATATAATGAATTTCAGCTGACAGAGAGGCGATTTTTTAAAGAACAATTAGGAGAGATCTTTAGGAGTTGTGTGACTTCGCAATAAAGAGAACTCTAGCTTACTTTAATTATCAGACATACTAGTATATATATATATACAGTATCAAAAACATATTATCTGAAGAAAACTTAAAAACATCTTTATCATGCATTGCATGTAACATATAGTTTTTGTTATGAACGAAAAGGAAAAATTCTAGATAACCCTTACAATGAAGAAATACATCTATTTAAAGGAAGATTCCAGAACCCGGCATATATTCAGAATAAGTGTTTTATCAGGTACACTAACAAGTTTTGATATATATTTCAAACAATACACAAAAAAGCAATTAAAAGATCGCCACCTCTGAAACATATACATAAAATGTTCAATTTTTTTTTTACTTTTGTGAATTTTTTGAGTTAATATAATATCGACAAAAAATTCATTTTATTACTTAATGTTATGAAGAAACACGGAAAACTTCGTATTTTGAAGCTACCAAGTCCTAATAAATACATAATTGGGTCACCTTTTTTTTTTCTTTTATCAAAAAAGGTGATGTCTTGATGAATTAGTCGGATGTTTTACTGCAGGAATTGTGTTAAAAAACAAAAACAATACTCACCTACAACTGGTAAAAGTAGCAGCTTCACATATTGATTCTTTTTTGTGTGTCACATCCTCTTATTCGCCTATAATACACGATTATGTCCCCTGACTCTAACCGGATAATCCCCGACAGATGTCCTGATTGATGTTCGCGGGTTTTTGTCAATATACAGGCTGTCTTAACCTGTCACGGTTTATCAGACCAACTCAAGAATGATTTCAGCTCGTGTGGAAAAGATGGCCAGGTTTCATTAATTGTACTTGCTGGGCGGAGCCTTTTTATCGCAGTCCTTTGAAAAAATAAAACCTTTCTCCTTGCCAACTGCAGCTACACGTGAAATTAAACTAAGAGTGAAATTAAACTAGAGTATTGAGATCTTGATCTATGGTCATCACAGAAAGAGTGAAACTCTTTCAAGAATATATATTAATTTACCTCAGTGTTCGGATATTGACTCAACATCACAAGAAGTAAATAAGTTGTTGTACAGATGTAATATTTTTTCAAGTTTGAAAAATAAACAGAAACCGATCGAACGTCATTTTAAAAGCAAACATATTTTGCAAAGCAGCAAGAATTCCTCTTGTGGCTGAAAGGGCAGGTTAATTAATGTGTAATTGATTCATTAATTAACCTGCAATAAAAGGCAATAAATGTTGGACACGGTGTAACCCGGTCCGCTGCTCTTATGGCGAGACTAACGACCCACTTTCTTACGTCACGCATACTTTTTGTACGCCACGAGGGAAATAAAACAACGGACCAATGCACGTTCTGACTTCGTAACTTATCCAGGATTATCCGGCCTCCTTAGAGTCTTTCCCTTAAAAAAAAATCTGCCCCTCGAGATAAGGTCGGTGCGCCTCGATCCTTGTTTTAAACAAAATTTTGACTGTTCAACAGAATATTTATTGGGGATTATGGTACTGAATTCTAATTATGTGATCAGATTTGTCAAAATTAAATTTTTTTTAAATTTATGACCTAGCCCACTTGTTTCTTCGATGCAACCAATTACAGAACTATGAAAGGTGGGCGTAAGAAATAACGGTATGGTTGAAGACGAATGGATATTTCATATTGAATAGCGGTGTAGGAAAATCTGTTTAAAAGGAAGTAACCAAGAGCTAGACCACGAGAAAAACTTGCACCTAATAGGAGCTCTGCTATGGCGAACATTTTGACCTCATGTCTTCAGATCGCTTGGATCCGAAGAACATATACGAGAGTTGATCGGAAAGTAAAGTCACAACTGCATGCTATAAAATCTAGAATAGTCACATGTTATCAAAAAAAATTGACATACAAATTAATTTGTCCCTTTAAATTTGATTTTACAAAATACTCTCTAAATATTAGGATAAACACAACGTTACATGTTGGTTCTTCTACAGCCACACGGCAAGAATGTTACCGACGTCGTTATGACGTTACTTTTCGGCTCTCATCTTCAGTCCATCCCCATATCTTTTAAACCCCTCACATGCTTCTTTTAAACAATCTTTACTGCTTTTTAGGCTATAAACCGTCTTGTTTTGAGTTGTAGTATTAATATCATTTAAATTTTGTCCAAATGCTATTTCTAGATTGATTTCTTTTTACGTAAATCTTATATATATTACATGTACATGTGTTGAAGAGAAGCGTCGGTACATTCTTGTCGTGCGGAATAGAGGAAAGTTTTTAGGTGTGTTTATTGTATATATTTTATGAAGTATTGCATACATCTAAATGAAATTTTAGGGCAAAAGTCATATATATATATATATATATATATATATATATATATATATATATATATATATATATATATATATATATATATATATATATATATATATATATATATATATATAAAACAAGATTCTGTGGTTCATTTGAGCTTGAGCGTTTTGACTCTTCCCAAAACAGTCTCTCATCGATCGCATGGATCTGGATTAAAAAAAACAAAAACAAAAACAAAAAAACAACAACAACAACAAAAAAAAACAAAAACAAAAAAACAAAAAAAAACACACACACACAAAGGCAGACTAAAGATCTCTTGGATCCCCCACAGGTGTTTCAAAAGCACAAAATGAATGGTAGAGTGCAGAAAGACCAGCTGAGCTTACTGGGTACTGTACATGAGATCAATGAGAGAGTGCAGAGAGACCAGCTGAGCTCACTGGGGACTGCATAGGAGATCTATGGGAGATCAATATGTGCTTGAGAGATCACGGAGAGATCTTGGAGACTGGTGTGAGATCTGAGAGAACCCGCCTCGGTATTTTTCATTCTAACAAAAAACGGACTTTCCATGTCTCTCTCAGATTACCGAGAGCTCGGTCGAACTTTAAATCTACAAGTCTCATCAACGATTTCTGTCCGTGTAAAGGTGTCTTAACGAACTGATGTCGAACGCAAGATGCACCAGAATTTTCGATCTCTCTCTCTCTCTCTCAAGTTTCATATCGTTTGTCTGGTTATCATCCACTTTCACTGAAAGTAGGGGATATTAATTTGGGTCTGTTCGTCCGTCTGTCCGTGTAAAATGTGAAGATAACAGTGATGAACTTTTGTTTTCCGGACAATATTTTAGAAAGCCTTTGAGCATTTGCAATGAAATTTGATTACAATTCCTTATGGCAAAGGAAATACCCCTGTTGATTTTGAGGTCAGAAAGATCAAGATCAGAAACAATCATACACTGCAGATGATAACGTTAGTGTTCTTTGAGTTTCATTCAATAAAATTTAATATAACAAATTCCCATGGCCTAAAATGACTACTTTTGATTTTGAGGTGAATAAGTAAAATGTCAAGGTCAGAAATTTTTTTTTGTCTGTTTGTAACTTTCGTTTTCGTTTCCGGACGTTATATTAAAAAAATCTTAAGGCCGGTTTACACGGTAAAGCAAGCTGTATAAACCTTGTCATATACATCAAAATGCTACCGTGTATACGGGGCTATTACACGGAATTTAAACCTTCCCGGAGTCATATATTCCACGCGTTCGAATAGAGCGTGTCTCTATTCTGTACAGCAAGTCGTATGAGACTCTCTATCTTTGGCCAATCAGTGGTCTGGGATTTGGGTGATCTATTTATGCTTTACTAACCAATTCAATATTTTAAAAGAATATTTCAACATTTTTATACGTTATGGCTTGTTCAAATTTAAAATGTATTTTTTTTTTTAACATTTTCGCTGAATAAATTTGAAACAAATCGTATCAAATAATTAAGAGCGAAAATCAATCTTTCAATGCTAAAATCTTAGTTTAAAATTGATGTTTTGAAGATCCATCAAATAAATTTTGGTGTAGCATTCCTTCTTAAATATATTTCAAATAGACGATTAATTTTATATTTGACCGGTGATCAAAAAATTTACGCAGTGTAAGAGTAAATCGTTCTGCTGCTGAAATTGAATTTCTCATTAATGTGTCCCGCTTCTTTATAAATGGCCGGGGATACTACGTTCAGAAGATCATCAAAATCTGCCATATATCCATTCGCAGAAAAAGTGGTTCTGATATGCACCATAGTGATCACTCCCCTCCCGATCCATTGTCTGACCCGTGGCCTTCCTCTAGATCTCCTTGCTGGCACAACAGCGAGTGGAAATGAAATTATCAAAATGCACATTAAGATAACTATCTTCCTCTTCCTGTCCTTCCATGTTAACAAAATGAAAAAAAAATCTGTACTTCTTCAAAGGGGCGTTTTGTTTGTTTAAATAACAAAAGAGTGGAATGTAAACCTGTTTTACCGTGTAGACATATAAGGAATATATTACAAAAGTTGTAAACGACAAGTTGTATACGACAGGTATTACCGTGTAAACCGGCCTTTAGAGGCTAGCCATGAAATTTTATATCACAACTCTTTATGGCCTAAAAAAGACCCCTACTGAATTTCAGTTCCTCCACTTTTTTTTTTTTTTTTTTTTGGCTGAAGTGGGGGACGCAAATTCTCTGAATGAGGTTTCCATTCACATTCAGTTCATCTGAGCTGTGAAAAATAACACATAGCAAGAAATAATTAAGATGAAGTAATATTCTTTCTTTCTCTGTTCCATGTTTTATCTTACTGCCCATGGTCTCCTTCTTATTATTCAAACATACCTGTTAGTTTATTTCTTTTTTTACCTTAGAAATGAAAATTCAATAGTACTAAATATTTAACCAATTAAGTCACGACTTGGAGGAAGAAAACACCGGTAAGTATCTTGTTAGGTGTAATGCAGACTGAAGGAAGGTTTCTCATAATTAACAATTAATTAACAGCTGTTTTGTTGATTGTCATTCGCAGTAGGACGAATCATAAATCAAATTTTTAATGTGGAAATAAAGTACACTAATATACATAACCGTACATTATATCAAAATGATATGCAAGTTGTAAACAACGGTATACTCATTTTATATCATAGTACATATGATTTATTAAGTTTCTTTTGTTTTTGTTTCTAAAGTACAGTCAATTAATTATTTGGGTTTCGAGAGTTAACAAAGCAATTTCAAACATTATCAAACTTAATATAATACCTAGGTTCATGTAACAATCCATATTGCAGAAAGCAAATAAATTAATACTTCTGTTTTTTTTCCTACTATAAAGGTTTAACAATTTTTATTGATATCAGATAAATGCAGTTGCATCTTATAAATTAGTTTCCTTCTTTAGTAATCTATTCATGCGTAGTTATTCCTTGTGAAGGAAATCCAAGATCTTACAGCAATCTCAATAAATAAAGTATCAGTACGTGTATGTGTGTTGAGTCAGAGAGACGTTAGCTTGTTGTAGGTCAAAGGGTCACTTGATGCCCTTCTATAGAAGTATTGTTTGTTATCGAGATAATTTTTGATATATTTAGTATTTAGTCCTATTCCTGTAGAAAATCAACATACACGAATTCCATATAATTGTTAGTGGTAATAATAATAATGTTCTGTGTTCTACAATTTAATATTCTAGCTTGTAGACTGCTTTTTTTTTCTTTTCAAGATCCAAGACCTTTTTTATTTTCTTCTTCATCCAGATGAACTTGGTCAAGTGGTTGACCAATGAATACAGGATGTGTTTCAGTGTGTGCTTGTACAGTGATGTACAGATCAAGTTTAACTTTGGAGTCTCGTGGTCCACATTTGAAAGGAACACAACTGCGGTCACAGATTGGTGTCAAACAGTCATGACTTCATTAATTTAAATAAAACATTTAATTATATTTTTATCAGCAACACATTATTGATTGCTTTATTGTATGTTGTTTTACGTCCCATTCAATAATTTTTCACTCACAGAGAGACGTCACCATACACCGGTGAAGGGCTTCAAATTTAGACCTTTACTGAGCACTCGGGGCCATAGAGCAGTGAAGGATCTTTCCTGTCAACGCCTAACGTGATGCGGAACCTCGGTTTTCAAGGTCTCATCCGAAAGACCCGCAATTTCCACTTTAAAGTGCCGAGCGCTTGGTGAAGGAACAGTTGCCAACTATTTTTAACCGATGTAGGTCTGACGCGACCGGGGCTTGAACCCACGGCCTTACGGCTCCACCGAGCTACCGTCACGATTCGACACACACTTTTAAGAACGGGATTAAATCTACATTTTAAAATACAGCTGAACTCGCTATCTCGAACTTCAATATCTCGAATTCCATGAATATGTTGAAGTGAGTTGAAAAGCCAATCATCATTTTCCCTCAGTATCGAACCCTGTCGAAGTTTTTTTTCTGAGTTCAAGATATTGAGGTTTAGATGTACATTAATCTATAAAAGAAAATATCTATTAGCAAAGTCTTTGTAAATAAAAAAAATTAAACTGTACTCACAATTAAAACATACATACTCAAAAAAGGGACATTGTCATTTTTAGTTTATTTATACAAGAACAAAATGTAAAATCACCTCCATCACTGAGGTAAGAACAAGCAAAATAAATAAATACTTCAATAAACAAGTAGTCTCCAGAACGTTATCCTACAATCCTTAGATAAAACACAATCACTGGCTAATAACTGGTCCTAAGATATATACAATTCAAAAAACTCAAACAAAATTTTGAAGGATATGGTTTGTACAATTCAGAATTCTTATTGAAAAGTTTTTACATTGTGTATAAACCACTGATTGCAAAAAATTTGTTACACACATGAAAATAATAATTCTGGTCTTCAACTAAGAATGCAATAACTGCTATACATTGAAAGTACCAGGTAATTGGCAACAAAATACTTTTGATTGTTAAAAGTTTCTTCAAATAGTATAAACTTTAAATGTTTAAATTTCTTGACAATGTTTAAATGCGATCTATTTAACATTTTGTAATAATGATGTACAGCTTGTCTCTATTGGCAAGTTTTCAATGTTCTCTGATATTCTATCTTAGTTCCTTGTTATAATATCATGCTTCACACTGAGATCTGTCTATTGTCAGTATAAACTGACACATGTCTATTGTCAGTATAAACTGACACATGTCTATTGTCGGTATAAACTGACACGTCTATTGTCAGTATAAAATGACACACGTCTTTTGTCAGTATAAAATCTGGAGACTGGAGTGTGTACCATAACTAAAACAGAATTTGCTGATTGTGTGATGTGATGTAGTTCAGCTCTGGCACCACTCACAGTAGTGTGTGGGTTAATTACTACATAAAAACAGAATTTGTTGATTGTGTGTGATATAGTTCAGCTCTGGCACCACTCACAGTAGTGTGTGGGTTAATTACTACATAAAAACAGAATTTGCTGATTGTGTGTGATGTGATGTAGTTCAGCTCTGGCACCACTCAGAGTGGTGTGTGGGTTAATTACTACATAAAAACAGAATTTGTTGATTGTGTGTGATGTGATATAGTTAAACTCTGGCACCACTCACAGTAGTGTGTGGGTTAATAACTACATAAAAACAGAATTTGTTGATTGTGTGTGATGTAGTTCAGCTCTGGCACCACTCACAGTAGTGTGTGGGTTAATTACTACATAAAAACAGAATTTGTTGATTGTGTGTGATGTAGTTCAGCTCTGGCACCACTCACAGTAGTGTGTGGGTTAATTACTACATAAAAACAGAATTTGTTGATTGTGTGTGATATAGTTCAGCTCTGGCACCACTCACAGTAGTGTGTGGGTTAATTACTACATAAAAACAGAATTTGCTGATTGTGTGTGATGTGATGTAGTTCAGCTCTGGCACCACTCAGAGTGGTGTGTGGGTTAATTACTACATAAAAACAGAATTTGTTGATTGTGTGTGATGTGATATAGTTAAACTCTGGCACCACTCACAGTAGTGTGTGGGTTAATAACTACATAAAAACAGAATTTGTTGATTGTGTGTGATGTAGTTCAGCTCTGGCACCACTCACAGTAGTGTGTGGGTTAATTACTACATAAAAACAGAATTTGTTGATTGTGTGTGATGTAGTTCAGCTCTGGCACCACTCACAGTAGTGTGTGGGTTAATTACTACATAAAAACAGAATTTGCTGATTGTGTGTGATATAGTTCAGCTATGGCACCACTCAGAGTGGTGTGTGGGTTAATTACTACATAAAAACAGAATTTGCTGATTGTGTGATGTGATATAGTTAAACTCTGGCACCACTCAGAGTGGTGTGTGGGTTAATTAGTAAATTAAAACAGAATTTGCTGATCGTGTGGTGTGATATAGTTCAGCTCTGGCACCACTCAGAGTGGTGTATGGGTTAATTACTAAATTAAAACAGAATTTGCTGATTGTGTGATGTGATATAGTTAAACTCTGGCACCACTCAGAGTGGTGTATGGGTTAATTACTACATTAAAACAGAATTTGCTGATCGTGTGGTGTGAGGTAGTTCAGCTCTGGCACCACCTGAGATTCCCATGCAGATTCCATGTAGGGATCGTTTATCACCGAGTCCTAAAAAGCAACATGATTACATCTAATGTTAAATTTTCTTTTAATGTGGTCTCTAAGCTTTGTATGTAAGATTTCCTTCCATTCTTTAAGTAATGAAATGTTTAATGCCTTCACTGTTATCCAATAAATGCTAACTTAAAAGAGACAATCCTATAGAGGAATATTATAACTTTACCCATTGTCTGGAATTTCAGTTTCCATTGCTATGCTTACATTTACATGTTCATCACAACAAATTGTCATAAAGTTATTAATCTGTAGTTTGCATAAGCCTTGAAAACTGCAGAACAGCATTGGTTGGTGCATGAAGATTTTTTATCATCTAGGGGTTAAACTTACACCAAAAGTCCAGTCTCAATCAGTAAAAATGTTGTAATTTATACTATAAAACCTTATGGTACTTACGTCACTGATAGCAAAGAATCCTGTGTCATTGCATGGGTCCTCATGTTTTATTTTAGGAGATTGGAACTCAACCTGGACGGGAAGTGACGTGGGGATCAGATCAACATGATTGAAGAAGGAGGATCCAGGAACCACCTGGTTCACCTCTGATGTATCTAGAAAAAAGGAAACTACTGTTATGTCACAGAAAAAGAAGTAGAAATTTAAACACTAATGGTATTTATTTTACAAACTGTAAGGTACAAAATACATCTTGAAACTCTAATCTGCTATTCTGTTTGGCTGACAAACTTTCTCCTTTCCTTATGATTGGTTAGCAAACTCTGTTGTCACCTTGTGATTGATTAAGAAATGCCTCTCTTACCGTTTGATTGGCTGACGTACCTCCTGACTGCTCCATATACTACATCTGATTAGCTGTTTGTCCCTGACATCTGATTGGCTGTTAATCCTTACCTTGTGATTGGCTGACATGTACCTCCTGACTTCTCCAACTACTGACATCTGATTGGTTATTAGTCCTTACCTTGTGATTGGCTGACATGCACCTCCTGACTGCTCCAGCTACTGACATCTGATTGGCTGTTTGTCAGCGATGCCATGTTTATATAAATGTCTGGTTCTGTCACTTCATTCCACACTGGGTAAGAATCCTCAGCCAGAACAGAGAACTTCTCTTGATCCAGATGATGACAAAACATAGCATAACTGTATAAAACACACATTTATACAGAAAACAGTCACATAGACAATATACTGCATATATGTAGATACACAAGTTTGACTGTTTCCAGTATGCATGCATTTTATACCAAAATCATTATCATTATTAGTTTCCATGGTTGACCTATGAATTTCTGAAAATGTTAAGCTTTTCCCTATTAAAATAAGTTTTGATATGAATCATACAAACCCATCATTTTCTTTCTGTGAATCAGCTTCAATGGAATGAGCATCCTCCACATTTCTCTCTTCATGAAAACTCCTAGTCACAAAAAATATGATTTGATCACACTAGTAAGATTTATTTTGCTGGTTTTCTATGTGTATATATACATGTACTTTGTTGCATTATGTTTTTCACTATAATGAGTCAGTATAAATGACTACAATAAACAGGAAGTTTACATACTTCTCTAGCTGTCGTCTACATTTCTTCTCTCGAGAGCATTGTTTGTCTGTAGAAATACTTCTACTACGACCACTTCAATGGAAAATTTTTATCATTTTTACACATAAGACTGGCTAACTTCGCTATGGTACAAGATTTAAAACTTGACAAAGTCTCAAACAAATTTTATTCTTTCATTGTCTGTTCTGACCAAGATTGTTAGACCTTAGTCCAAATTAACAGATCTTACCGGGATTTTTCATCCTTGTCTTTCTGCTTTACTCTGCTTCTTCTGTGGTTTGGAGTGCTGAACAGAAAATTAAACATGTTTTTAGAGTATTCACCATTCATATTTACTGTACAGTAAACCACACTTGAAAATTGAAAATCATTTTGGTGTAAGTGTCAATTCATTATAAGTGTGTTTTTATAAGCCTGTTTTTCTGTATACAATCAAAAAACTCCTCACATATGATTAATTTTTAACATTTCACATCATGTGTGGTGAGACGGATCACAGTGTACATGCACAGGTATTACTGAATACATTATATCTGACTTTTTCAATTTTTTTTTTAAATCTGAAATTTCAGATTTTTCCCAATTGATATAAATTCTCATTTTCTCTTTTTTCTGGGGATTTTTCTCTGACATCTCTTCTGATAAATTTGATATCTTTCCTCTAGTTTTTAAATATCATATCGGATTCTCTCTAAGGGGAATATCTGATTCTCACTTTTGACTTCCTCCAAAATCTGTTGTTTTCTATCAAGTGAACATGACTGTTACCTTTTCTGATACTTTTTGAGATATTTGGCTGACATCCTAATGCTGGCTTACTTTTAATGCTGTTTTGGGATATCTGTAATTCTGTCTCACTTTTGATTCTGATTTGGGATATCTGTGATTTGACTCACCACTGATTCTGTTTTTGGATATATGACATCTGTGATTCTGTCTCACCTTTGACTCTGTTTTGGGATATCTGATATCTGTGATTCTGTCTCACCTTTGACTCTGTTTTGGGATATCTGATATCTGTAGGGCTGTCACGGTTCCAAAATTTTTCGGGTCGGGTCGGTTCTGTAAATTTTCGGTTCGGTTCCGGGTTTTTCGGGTCGGGTATTTACATCTATTTTAAACCTTAATTTCATGAATTTAACTTGAAAAATCTTTATTTGTTACATTAAATTTACATTGAAAACAAGTCTTAACCATGCGAACGTCTAGACATCGGTGACTTGGCCTACTATTAGCCACAACCTGACCATTCCTGCTCGTTTTGATAATTATCTAATACTTCCGTGACAAGTGTTTTGTCATGGAATGAAGTAGATTTCAGTTGTGATGTTTATTTATCACTGTTATCGTCATCATTCCTTTGATTTCGTCGCCATTTTTTGTATTGAACAGACTCTAATATATAAGCCAGACCCGAACCGAAATCCGGAAAAATGGAACCGGAACCGAACCGAACAACTTGAACCGCGGTTCTCGGTTATTTCGGGTACTTGTGACAGCCCTAGATATCTGTGATTCTGTCTCACTTTGACACTGTTTTGGGATATCTGATATCTGTGATTCTGTCTCACTTTGACACTGTTTTGAGATATCTGATATCTGTGATTCTGTCTCACCTTTGACTCTGTTTTGGGATATCTGATATCTGTGATTCTGTCTCACCTTTGACACTGTTTTGGGATATCTGTGATTCTGTGCCACCTCCGATTCTGTTTTGGGATATCTGTGATTCTGTCTCACCTTTGACTCTGTTTTGGGATATCTGATATTCTGTCTCACCTCTGATTCTGTTTTGGGATATCCTCTTCATCCTCCAGATCCATTTGCTCTATGCTCTCTGTACACAACAGATCTGACAAACTGAGGTTTCCCTCCTCTTCTTCATTACAAAGCTTCTACAGAAATGTAGTCTTAATATAGTGATCCATAAATTATCAGATTTAATACAATTTTCTATGTCATTTTCTCCCAAATACATCTTAGTACATAAAAAAATAATCAGTGCTTTAAAATGATCAAAATGAATTTAATATTAACCTGATAGTAATAGAACTTGAGGTATCAAAATGTCAACAGTGTAAAAACAGGATGTTCTATTGTCCTCTGATAAATGAAAAACTTACTCCACAGATGAGAGTAAAAGGTGATGCAGGAACACCTTGATCATCTGGTTCAGGTAACTTTACAGGTGTAAATCCTTTGTTGTCAAACTGCATCTATATGGAGCAAGTAAGTTATAATGTAAAAAAAATATGTGATAACCACAAACTAAAGAAATCCATGACTTTCAAAACCAAATGACATCTGTGTAAACATAGTAGGTATTCAAACTGATATATCCACTTGATAATTAGAACCTCAAAATGTATCGATACATTATCTATTTAACAAGAGGCCCAAGGGCCTTAACGGTTCACCTGAGTACAATACAACAATTTAGAGGATCCATAAACTGAAAAATGAAGCTTTGTTGCCCAAAAGCAAGAAAAATAGTATGATTAGCATCAACAAAATAACTGGTCTAGTATCTATCTGCCTATCTGACTTTCCAAGTCATTAAATCTATGAAAGTACTTTTTCATTATACAATAAATTATCTTGCATAATTCTCTTATTCTATTGAGCTTTCAAATACATTATTTACATTGATTAATTATCAAAGGTGAATGGCAAAGGGGAATAACTTTGCTCAGCAGAAAGAGCCCTGGCCAGGACTAGAACACTTGACTAAATGGTCCAGGTGTTCAAAATTCTGGTAAAAATACCCTTGCATATTAAAACTTTTACTTTGTTTCAGGGTTCGAAATTCACTATATACAACTCGCAAAATGCGTGTTAGAATTCCCAAATTGCGAGTTAAAAATTAGGTAACTCGCAAAAACTTGCGAGTTGATTTTTTTGGCACTGAAACTGAAATTGAAAATTATATATTATGACAGAACACAATGCTTTTGATTTAACTCAGTAATTTAAATTGAAGTTGCACTGTAGTTGTATTTTGTGTATTGTACAGTAGTTACTTTTTCCTTAAGTTACATGTTTTTAATTTATATAAATTTAACTTTATATGAAAATTGCGAGTAGTCTTATAAAATTGCGAGTTCACTTTCTTGGTACTCGCAATTATTTGCGAGTTGTAATTTTAGGGAGTTTCTAACCCTGTGTTTGCCTTGAACATCCCCAGAAGCATAGAAGATTTTCAAAGAAATACATTTTCACCATATTATTAAATAAATAAAGCCCCATCCTCACCCAGAACATCTGACCCATTGGCCACGAACTCACAATTCTGGAAGAAGCACCCTTTCTCATTATAACTATACACTTGTTTCTTTACTTTATAACCAGTAGTAGAAAAAATATTTTGAAGAAATTATGCATTTTCACTATATATAATCAATAGAGCTCTTCCCCCCTCACCAGAACCCCTGACCCAAGGGCCATGAGGCATTCTTCCTTATCATAACCATGCACTTCCATTGTTTGAAAAATACCCAGGCGCACAGAAGATTTTGAAAGAATTCATGCCTTTTCCCTATATAATCAATAAAGCCCCGCCCAAACACCAGAACCCCTGACCCAGGGGCCATTAAATTCATAATTTCTGAGGCAGCCATGCTCATCATAACTATGTACTTAGTTTATTTAATATCCACGAGCAGAGAAGAAGATTTTCAAAGAATTAATGCAATTTTACTATATAATCAATGGAGCCCATCCCTAACACCAGAACCCCTGACTCAAGGGCCATGAAACAATTTCTGAAAAGGCAGTCATGCTCACCATAACTATGTTCTTAGTTAGTTTATTTAATACCCAGGAGCAGAGAAAAAGATTTTCAAAGAATTAATGCAATTCTACTATATAATCAATAGAGCCCTGCCCTAACACCAGAACCCCTGACCCTGGGGCCATGAAATTCACAATTTTGGAAGAGGCACTCCTGCTCATCATAACTATGCACTAAGTTACTTTATTTAATGCCCAGGAGCAGAGAAGATTTTCAAAGAATTAATGCATTTTAACTATATAATCAATAGGCCCCGCCCTAACACCAGAAACCCTGACCCTGGGGCCATGAAATTCACAATTTTGAAAGAGGCACTGTTGTTCTTCATAACTATGTACTTAATACCGAGGAGCAGAGAAAATTATTGCAATTCTACTACATAATCAATAGAGCCCCGCCCTAACACCAGAACCCCTGACCCTGGGGCCATGAAATTCACAATTTTGAAAGAGGTACTCTTGCCCATCATAACTATATATTAAGTTAGTTTATCTAATACCCATGAGCAGAGAAGAAGATTTTTAAAGAATTAATGCCTTTTCACTATATAATCAATAGAGCCCCGCCCTAACACCAGAACCCCTGACCCTGGGGCCATGAAATTCATAATTTCAGAAGAGGCACTCTTGTTCTTCATAACTCTGTACTAACTTAGTTCATTTAATATCCAGGAGCAGAGAAGAAGATTTTCAAAGAATAAATAACATTTTCACTATATAATCAATAGAGCCCCACCCTAACACCAGAACCCCTGACCCTGGGGCCATGAAATTCATAATTTCAGCAGAGGCACTCTTGCTCATCATAACAATGTACTAAGTTACTTCATTTAATACCCAGGAGCAGAGAAAAAGATTTTCAAAGAATTAATGCATCTTCACTATATAATCAATAGAGCCCCGCCCTAACACCAGAACCCCTGACCCTGGGGCCATGAAATTCATAATTTTGGAAGAGGCCCTCTTGCTCTGACATCATAACTATGTACTAAATTAGTTCATTTAATACCCAGGAGCAGATAAGAAGATTTTCAAAGAATTAATGCATTTTAACTATATAATCAATAAAGCCCTGCCGTAACACCAGAACCCCTGACCCTGGGGCCATGAAATTCACAATTTTGGAAGAGGCACTCTTGCTCATCATAACTATGTACTAACTTAGTTCATTTAATACCCAGGAGTTGATAAGAAGATTTTCAAAGAATTAATGCATTTTAACTATATAATCAATAAAGCCCTGCCGTAACACCAGAACCCCTGACCCTGGGGCCATGAAATTCACAATTTTGGAAGAGGCACTCTTGCTCATCATAACTATGTATTAAGTTACTTTATTTAATACCCAGGAGCAGAGAAGAAGATTTTCAAAGAATTAATGCATTTTCACTATATACTCAATAGAGCCCTGCCCTAACACCAGAACCCCTGACCCAGGGGCCATGAAATTCACAATTTTGAAAGAGGCACTCTTGCTCATCATAACTATATACTTAGTTGATTTATTTAATACCCAGGAGCACAGAAGAAGATTTTCAAAGAATTAATGCATTTTCTCTATATAATCAATAGAGCCCCACCCTAACACCAGAACCCCTGACCCTGGGGCCATGAATTTCACAATTTTGAAAGAGGCACTCTTGTTCTTCATAACTATGTACTTAGTTACTTTATTTAATACCCAGGAGCAGAGAAGAAGATTTTCAAAGAAATAATGCACTTTCACTATATGATCTATATAGCCCCACCCTAGCACCAGAACCCCTGACCCTGGGGCCATGAATTTCACAATTTTGGTAGAGGACTCAATGCTTATTACAATGATGCCAACAGTTTGACTGCTTGATGTCCAGGAGTAAAGAAGAAGATTTTTAAAGATTGCATTATTTTTGGTGGTTTAAGCCCCACACCTCAGGCCCCAGGGGGGCAGGGACCATGGAATTCACAATTTTTGTTCCCCTTCACCCATAGATGCTATATGCCAAATTTGGTTGAAATTGGTTAAGCGGTTTCAGAGAAGAAGCTAAAAATGTTCAGATGTTAACACACGATGCACGACGCACGCCGACGGACGAGAACGGATAGCAATAGGTCACCTGAGTGACTCAGGTGACCTAAAAAGTCAATGCAGAAATTATATTTACTAATAAATCATTTTCAGTCTCAAAACACTGACTTGGATACCATTTTATTGCCCAGACAAGTTTTTTTAAATACTTTTTCTGCCAGTGACCTTGAACTTGACAAAATGACCTTTGGGTCAAGGTCAAAACACACCCTCAGGTCATGAACAATCTTTGTGTCCCATTAAAAAGTTATACCCTGGACATGATTCCATGGACAGATGGACAATGTGATTCCTATATATATGTGCCCCCCCCCCCCCCCCCCCCACTTCATGCTGCAATGTTACAACAAAGAAGTTGAAAGAACCCATTTCAAAGCATTTTGTTGTTTAAATAACACACCTCCCACCCTCCATCTGGTGACTTTGTACCATTTACAATAGTTCCTTACCTTACGAATCACTTTCTCTGTTGGAGTTTTTGATTTTCCCCTTCTCTCCGTGGACGGAGTCCTGTCCAGAGCTCGACCACAGAATGTGCGTATCCCCGGGGGAGGGCTGATGAAATGCTCCGTCAGGATCTGATGGACAGGCACAGCTCTGTACTTAGGAATCTCCTCAAATAAAATTACAATATAAAAACAGTGTGTTAAAGGAATCTCCTCAAATAAAATTACAATATAAAAACAGTGTGTTAAAAAATCTCCTCAAATAAAATTACAATATAAAAACAGTGTGTTAGAGGAATTAAATAAAATTACAATATAAAAACAGTGTGATAGAGGAATTAAATAAAATTACAACATAAAAACAGTGTGTTAAAGAAAGCAATAAAATTACAATATATTAAACAGTGTGTTAAAGGAATCTCCTCAAATAAAATTACAATATAAAAACAGTGTGTTAGAGGAATTAAATAAAATTACAATATAAAAACAGTGTGTTAAAGAAAGCAATAAAATTACAATATAAAAACAGTGTGTTAGAGGAATCTCCTCAAATAAAATTACAATATAAAAACAGTGTGTTAGAGGAATTAAATAAAATTACAATATAAAAACAGTGTGTTAAAGAAAGCAATAAAATTACAATATAAAAAGTGTTTTAGAGGAATCTCCTCAAATAAAATTACAATATAAAAACAGTGTGTTAAAGGAATCTCCTCAAATAAAATTACAATATAAAAACAGTGTGTTAAAAGAATCTCCTCAAATAAAATTACAATATAAAAACAGTGTTTTAGAGGAATCTCCTCAAATAAAATTACAATATAAAAACAGTGTGTTAGAGGAAGCAATAATATATTCAAGTAAAATTCATCCAATGCTAAACCAAATATAAATGAGATGCACTGCATACCTTGATAGGTGTAGTCATAAAGAAGTGATGGGGGACGTCATGATCAGATCTTGGTAAGAGCATTGTGGTTTGCTGATCCATGGGAAGGCCATTACAGAGGTACGATTCTGTGTTGTAGGACATTCCCTCAGTAGTGTGGGATGATGAATCTCTCTTTTGAGGCAGTTTTTCCATCTCGTTGGATATCTCCAGTTTTGCCGAGTTCTGTGGTTCAGAGGATGTGGCCGTGGGTACCACTGCTTCATCCAACTGATAGAAATAAAGAAACATACTGACTTACCAAGGTTACATAATATTTTTTGATATGAAAACCCTTTTTTGAGGCATTATGGCTCTGGTTAGTGAAGAAATGTACTTAAAACTAAAACTATGTAGCCATCTCAAGACAAGGTGTGTTACAAAAGACTCTGGAACCAAGGTCATCTGGTAATGACCTTGACACATTTAAAGTCCCTGACCTGAGAAACATTGATCTGTAAAAGGTCAGTCTTCAGACACTCTGCAGGTAACACCATCAGGTCACAGAGGGACGACCTCATGTTGACCAATCCTGATTCCATGTCTGACGGAACATTACATCGACTTCTTTTACGCTGGGCATAATTCCTATTAATATAGTTAACAGTCAATACAACATATAGAACATAAATGCTGGAATTTTTTTTCTAAATGGTTTCAAAAGCAGTAAAATTACAAGAACCTCACAGATACAAAAATACACTATGAATGTGAACAGCTCATGACAAAAGTTTCAGGTACCACCTAAGCTGTAAGTCAGACTTCATTTTTTTAAATGAGGGGAAAAAAGTTAAATCTTTACAACTGAAGGGCAACTTTAAATACAATAATTCAAGAGTCTGGAAAATGCTTACATGAGCTACATATTGATAGACAAAGAGCATTATAATCTTCATAATAAATAACAAGACTTATCACTACTGAATTATACTACAGGTACAGCTTGACTCACTGCAGATACAATTCCTGTTGTTTGAGAGAGAAGTGGTTTTTCAGGTCCATTACATTTGCTTCCACCAAACCCTGCTCTGTCTTATATAGAGCTGCTTTATTCTTCATTTTTACTGAAATCAAATTACTTTGAACTGTATACATACTGTCTATACCGGTACATCATGAAAAAAAATTAAAAAAACAAGAAGTCTGTGAGACAATGCTCACCAGCAATACCCCCACTCTAAGTGAATATATGCTTTCATAAACCGCAACATATGGAATGCCTAAACAAAGACTGTGATAAAATTTCAAGCATCTGTGATGAGTAGTTGCTGAGAAAAAACTGCGACAGAAATTTGGTACGGACAGAGGCACAGATAAACAGGAAGTTGACATTGGATTCGTACAGAAATGAATCCCACCATTTATAGCATGCCTAAACAAAGAGTTTGCTAAAATTTCAAGCATCTGCAATGAGTAGGTGCTGAGAAAACTGTGACGAAAATTTGCTATGGACAGACACACAGACAGAAAGATGGATGGAAAGACAGACAGACACACAAGGGTAAAACAGTATACTCCTCTCTCTTTTAGAGCAGGAGCTAGTATAATCAACTAGACATGAGATAATGCATCACATGCCCTTCTAATTTTATGAAATTATTGTTTAATATTATCACTTGTAGAAATTTGTAATAATGAAAATTAAATCTAAAAGATGAGTAAATTTGATTATACCTTTCTGGTCCAGAATTTCTTGGAGTGTTCTTTCAAGGTTTTGAATGTGTTTTTCTGTCTCTTGTAAAACATAAGCCTTTAAAATAATACAGTAATATTTCAAGTTAAAGAAATAATTTTAAAAAAAAAGAAAGACTTACAATAAAAGAATGATTCAGGAAAAAATGTAAAATCATTATTAATTTGATAAACACAGTTTGACTGCCTTTCGTTGGATATCAAACACTCACATGTCTCAATATGATTTAAAAGTAAGGGGTTGTCAAGTGCAACATAAAACTTATATTTGTGATTTGTCAGTTTTAAATCCATGTGCATGATTCTTAAAATAATTTATGCTACTAACAGAGGAAACTTTCTACATCAATACACAATAAAATAAATGGTTTTAAGTGAGAAACATTCATGTGAAAAAAATAGTGAAGCTTGCAGAATATTTATCGCATATGAATAAATTTGGTTTACATGTACTTAGTCAGCATTCACTTTTTCGAAAGCACAGAACTGTAGCATTATATACCAGTAAGCTACAGATCTGCGCAAAACAACATCAACCTGCTACATGTATGAATTAATTCCATCTTGACATATAGTACAACTAAGATATGTATGCCACCAATGTGAAGACTATTGAATGCAAGTTCCAAAGACAAATCAGCAAGAAATCGTGTTTATTGTAATTCTTCATGAAGCAAGTATTCTTTGACTTTGTAGCATCGTTTTACTACTTAGAGTATATTTCAGATGAAAAAAAAAATTGAACAGAAATATATGAAATTTTGCTATAGGTTAAACAAAAAATACAAAATTAAGTTTTCAAAAACAAAGAAAACAAATATACCTTGGATATTTTCCGCTTCGACATTTTGTCGCTATTTGGGATAATTGATTTGAGTGTGTCATAACACGTGGCAACACTGGCCCTCCACTTGGCATCTGACTGCCTCCTTCTGACTCTCATAGGAACTGAACCTTTAGCCATATCTCTGTAAGAAATTAGACCATCACTCAGTGTTTGAAATAAACGTGCACCCGACTGCCAGAGACGTACAAATTTTGCCGCAGATTAAACAGATTTGCACATATCAATGCCCAGCTGGACGTTTTTTTGGCCATAAATTAAAATTCATATATTTGATAAATATCTCTCAAAATCAACTACTAGTATTGGTAGTTCAGTGTAACAAGCAAATGGGTAGAATTAGTCAGCTTATAGATTTGGACGGAAGTTATGGTGATTGTGCCCCATTCACATTATCCCTAAAAACAAATTTATAAAAGACTTTCATTTTCTCGGGCTAGTAGAGTTTTGGCAAGGCTGACAACTTTCACTCAGTCAGCCCTGTATGTCGAGCTAATACTACCATGAGTTTCAAACACAGCCATCACTGCACTTAAATACACAATGTACCAGTAATTAAAAACTAAAATTATTGCTTTAAATAAGTAAGTAAAAATTGTCATTTGTCAATATTTTCTCACTTAAAGGTGCTTCAGGACACAGATTTGAAGTTAATATTTTCTCAGATTTTCTGTATAATTTAGTGACTTATATGTTGCTATAGAATTTCATACTAAAATATAATAAAAATCTTATTTCATCTCGAAGTTATTAAAACTTCAAATTTCTGGACACATTGGATTGACACATCCTTGCGCTTTCACATATTTTAATTTCATTCTTAATACTTTAGAAAAGTGGCAATTTTGTTGTGTATTAATGAAAAATATTAAAACTATAACCCAGAAAATTCAGAGTAGAAATGTTCGAAAGCAAAACCCACTCACAGTATTGTAAGTCCATGCTCAGTGGTGTGTGCAGAGTTTAACAATTGAACACACCCCGTGAATCGTAAACATTAACAATAACAGAGCTCGTGCCCTGTTTACAAAAACAGTTTACGTTTCACAGGTGTGTTCAATTTGTTAAACTCTGTACACATCACAGAGCACAGACTAACAATACTGGTGAGTTGGTTTGGGTTTCGAACATTTCTACTCTGAATTTTCTGGATTATAGACGTAATATTTTTCATTAATACATAACAAAATTGCTTCTTTTCTGAAATATTAAGGAAAAGTTAAAATTTGTGTAAGTGCAAAGATGTGTTAATCAAACACGTCCTGGAATTCATAGTTCCAATAATTTCCAGATAAAATAAGTTTTTAATTATATTATCGTGTGAAATGCTATTGCAAAATATAAGTCGTGATATTATACAGAAAATTTGAGAAAATATTAAGTTCAAATCTGTGTCTAAGCACCTTTAAGGATAAATAACACAAACACACTTTTTTCAGAAATCAGCAATATTTTTCATAGATTTATATTCATATAGGTAACCTGAATGATATTTTCTGGGTAAAGTAGGAGAAAATTGTAAGATTTGTCACAATGTCAAAAATATGTGCAAAATTTTGCATAGAATTAGATAGAAAACAATACAAAGTTGCTTATCTAAGCACCAAAGAAAACTTACGAATTCTTTAGATTTGAGGGTTTTATTATTTAATATGTCATTTCCATTGAAAATCAGTCAAAAAATATATATCAACCCATGCATCGAATTTTTGTTTGTGGTATGTACCCTTAACCCTTTAATGTTTTTTATCCAGTGTCCAAAAAATGGGTCCTACAGGAGAAGTCTTGCTGTAATGTTGCGTTTTTCATGACACTCTTCTGTCATATTACTTAGGGCCTAATGATTTTACGAATAAAAAGAAGCATTCTATTTCTACATAATCGCTATGATAATGAATTGTCACAACACAAGTAATGTTACAGATATATGATAAACACACTACAGGGGCCAACACTAGCTGCTGATCGATTACCGTTTCCAAATCAGATTAATTTTGTCAAGTTTCATGAAATAACTCAAGTTTAACCCAATGACATTCTGTTATCCACATAGAATAGTATAGCTATATACACCCGAGTGTGGACCTATATGTAACCCTTTACTTTTCAGCTTAAACCTGTTTTCTATCATTTTGTGTTCATTATCATCGAAAATTTAGAATGAAATATTCATAAGCCACTTAAATCGTTTTAAGCAAGGGCCGTCGCCAGGTTTCCGGAAGGGGGGTGTGAATGAGGGTCAGGGAGCTGACGAATACCTCCTCCTCTCAGCCATATTTTTTTTAAAATAAATAACTGGTTACCATGTCATAACCATGTCATGACATGTCATGGTTGCTTAGGCCCGGGCATGGTATGCACCTGTACCAACCAAATGGACCTCAAGTAGATTTAACCAACCATGGTGCAACAGGAAAATCAAGCAGCTTTCTAGACAAAAGCAAAGAGCCTTCAAAACATATAAAAAATCAGGCAGGGATAAGGACAGACAGAGATACAGGCGCCTGCAGAAGTCAACCCAGCAGGAATGCAAGAGTGCCTATAATTCGTATGTATCGGACATGGTGCAGGAGGATTCCAACAGAAAGAAACTCTACTCCTTCATCAAGAGTAAGAAGTGTGACAGTGCTGGGATTGCTCCACTTCGCTCCGACGAGAATCTCCATGGAGACCCACAAACAAAATCTTCTCTCCTGAACCAACAATTTTCATCAGTGTTCACCACAGAGGATACATCTGATATCCCACCCCTAGGCACTAGTACCACCCCATCAGCACCTGATATCAGAGTCAGGGAGAAGGGCGTACTTAAGCTCCTGCATGGTCTCAACCCTAATAAGGTGACTGGCCCAGATGAGATCTCCACTAGATTTTTGAAAGAGATGGCTCATCCAGTTACACTCACTAAGATTTTCCAGGCATCCATTGACCAAGGTCAAACACCAGAGGACTGGAGAACGGCAAATGTCTCGCCAATATTCAAGAAGGGTGACAAGAGCAAGCCTGCGAACTACTGTCCAGTGTCCCTGACCTCTGTGTGTTGTAAGGTAACAGAGCACATCATCCACAGCCACCTAATGAATTTCTTTGAGCATCACAATATCCTAACCGACTACCAATATGGGTTCAGGAAGAAGCGATCCTGTGAGTCCCAACTAATAACAACAATCCAGGACCTCGCCATGAGCATTGAAAACAACACCCAGGTTGACGCAGTGCTGTTGGACTTTTCCAAAGCATTTGACAAGGTCCCACATGAGAGGCTGCTCGCCAAACTAGACCACCATGGCATGCGAGGCAGTCTACTAAATTGGATCAGGAGTTTCTTGTCTGGCCGAACTCAGAGAGTACTGGTCGAGGGACATTTCTCACCAACCGCACCTGTTACATCAGGAGTGCCCCAAGGAACGGTCCTCGGCCCACTGCTTTTCTTAGCATATATCAATGATTTACCCTCCAGAGTGAGATCAAAGGCCAGGCTATTTGCAGACGACTGCCTTCTGTACAGGGTCATCAATACAGAGGCCGATGCCAGACAACTCCAAATGGACCTTGACAACCTCCAAAAATGGGAATCTGACTGGCTTATGCATTTCAACCCAGACAAGTGTGAGGTTATCACCACCAAATGGAAGCAACGCACTACCTCATATTACATCCATGGGAAGGCGCTAGCCATTACCACCAAGGCCAAGTACCTAGGGATTAACATCTCCAACAACCTATCGTGGAACCATCATATCGATAGTGTTTGTAAGAAGGCAAACAACACCACCGCCTTTTTACGGAGAAACCTCTCGTCCTGTCCAAGGAACATCAAAGACAAATGTTATAAGACCTTGGTAAGACCCCAGCTAGAATATGCATCCACCGTCTGGGACCCTCACACAAAGAAAAACATTGATAAATTAGAAGCGGTGCAAAGAAGGGCTGCTAGGTTCGTGACTAATAACTACAACACCACCAGTAGTGTCACGAGAATGATACAGGCTAGAATGGGAGAGTTTACACCAACGTAGAATCAAAGCAAAGGCTACAATGATGTATCGTGTTGTCCATTCCCTTATTGCCATAGACCTGCCTCCCCAATTCAGCCAAACAGGAGCAGCCACAAGGGGACACCAACACCGATACAGGATCCCATTCTGCCTTACCAACATCTACAAGGAGTCGTTCTTTCCTACTACCATCAGGATATGGAACCACCTACCTGAAGACACCATCACGGCCATGTCCCTGGAGTCCTTTAAGACCAGGATCCAGGGATATAAAGCACCTTAAAGGAATGCAGTACACGTTTTTATCAGTTTTTTTTAAACTGTATATAGATGCGTGGACTCCCCCTCCCGCACACGTTTTTTAAAACATAATGAGATAATGCCGCAGCAGCGGCCCTTCACTTTAAAGGAAGAAGGAGACCTTGAGTGCATTCTAAATGTTTTTTTTTTTCACATATTAAATTAACAAAATCTACCAGCATTGCTTTGAACAGATGGATATTGAATTTATGATATATTCGACTGTTCCTTGTCAAAAGGGGTGCAATCCCTGTGGACCGACTGTTCAGACAGCCTTGAAAGTATTTTCGTATTGTTAGTAAAAACAATATGGCGGAATACTTTTTGTTCCTTGGTGATCTATTTCTACCGCCGTCCGCCCACGGTACAGTTGGCAGTACATCTTTTTTTTTACCTCACATATCAATTTCCACTCAATTACCTTAAAATTATTTGTGTTTTCGTCCAACAAATACATAAAGTGTGCCAAAACTTTTAAAACTATTTGTCCTTCCAACTTCGGTCACGTGAGCAAGTGCTTTATCTTCTACTCAAATCTCGAACCCGATCGTTTTGACCACGTACTTTATTAATTTCGCTACAATTTTTTCAAGTTAAGATTCGATTTTTAAAATGCAGGATATAATGTGAATAACAGTAGACGAAAGGGTTAGCCGTATAAAAAAATATAGACATAAAGCTAAAACAAAATTGTTTCTGTAATAAAAAAAATCATATCAATATACCTGATAAGATTTTCATTTTTAAAAGCATGTTATCCGGAACATTTTATCCACTTTACATATAGTATTTGAAAGGCAATTAATTAACTGTGCTTTATCATCAGGTCAATCGGGGCATCCCCCCACACATATTAGTTTTTCCCTTTGACATTTGTACCTTTCACAGGAGCAGCTGTGAGAGAGAGTGTGTGTATATGTTTCAATCTATCCTTTTTTCCAGACTGACACGCTTTGGGTAAAAGAAAGAATTCTACACGCCAAGTTTAAATTTTCTAGAACAGTAACTACTTTTATTTGTATTTTAATCATTGTACTTTAAATTACCGTAGGATGACAAGTCTCCCCATGTGGCCAGTCCTACCAGAAGATTATCAGGGATCAGGACCCCCCCCCCCCCCCCCAATCAAAGGGATAAATGTAGCAAATTAGATAACTACGGAAGCCCATTGTTATAACAAAGTTAACAATTTCTTTGAATTCGTTATAACATATTTGTTGAAATTGTTATAACGAATTCATAAATTTGTTATAACAAATTCAAAAACTTATGACAAATTAAATTCATTAAAATGAATTCCTTAGTTTGTAATGACAAATTAAAATCGTACTTAAAAAAACAAATTTGAGAATCCACAATATCGATTAAATATATATTTTTTTCTATAGGCCCTGATGCTTGAATTTGATTAAACTAATTTAATTCGTTATAACAAATTTTAGAATTTGTTTAAACAAATTTAATGCTATAACAAAATTTCAAAATTTGTAATAAATAAATTTAATTCGCTATAACAAATTTTGGAATTCATTCTAATGAATTCAAAGAAATTGTTATAATGAATTAAATTTGTTGTAACAAATTCGACAATTTATTACAATCGAATTCAAAAATATTTTATGATAGGTCCTAAATGGGCTTCTGTAGATAATCCTACAGAGAGTCAATCATTTTTTTCATTCAGTGACCCTTAACATGTTCTGGACTGTAGACCATTTGTTTATGAAGTAGAGAAAAACATTATGTTAAACACACAAAGGCGCAAGTTTTCTGGTGTTTGAATACAAAACCTATTTAAACATACCTGTATACATATATAGTCTAGTAAAAACAAGTCTTCATAGTGAACCTTCTTCATTCAAACTCATGCATGACCTCAATAACTGTATATCCATGTAAGTAACTCTTACCCCCCCCCCCTTCCCATACTAAAGTACATGTATTTTAATCACTAGCCATGCAGATATTGACCAACTTTTTAGTTTCATATTTTCAAAAAAGACACCTTTCAATAAGATGACTTGGATGTTTTGCTTTTCATTTGATCTTTTTCAATCTATAATAATTTTATAAAATGCAAGACTTTACAAATGATTTTATTTTTGAAGTTCTGAAGCCTGACAAGCATCGAGTGTAGAAAATAAACAAAATTATCTTCAGTTACAGGGAAAAAAAACAAAAATTTTATAACAGCATTAGTCAATGATGCAATAAAATTAGATCCTGTACCCTATGTAATGTCATGGTAACATGGCATTATTGTACAACCATCAATCTACATAGCTATTCCACACTTATGTCAGTGCTAAATATCAGGACATTTTTACATTATCTAATCTCAATATTATTTTCTCATGCAGTACTGTGTTGTACCAAGTGTTGGTGACTTTTAAAATGATTTCATATAAATGTGACAAAATTTATCAGAATGTATTCTATCAGTACCATAAGAATGGACACAAAAACATAATCATCTGGTACTGGACATTTCTACATAATATTGCTGAATCAGGATATACATTATATTATTATCATTACATTACATTGTAAGTTCTAAAGTTATTTGATTCTGATAAAACATCATAATACAAAGACAATGAAAGCACAGAGTTGTGGATAAAAGCCTAGAGTCTCATTCTCCTGATAGATCACTGTCACACAGTGATGAGTTCTGTGCTCCAGGGTTTTCCTCCAACTAACGGGAGCTCACTGGCATCTACAAAGGGAGCTAACAGCTGTCCTTTTTAACGCATCTTGTACTTCATTGTCTCTTTCATTTCAGAGAGCTCTCCTTTAAAATCCACCTCAATGGAAAAGTCAAGATCACGCTGTCGGAATAAAAGATAAAATATCTGAGGATTCTGATTTTAAAACAAATTCAAAAGAGCATATAAATGTTAACAAACTCTTTAATGAGGAATGATTTATTTATGCAGGAAAATGATCTGTCAGAATAACCTAACTGATCAGAAAACAAGAACATGCCCTAATAATCATTACCATCAGACCTGCTTCACCTTACTCTGACACATTTTAAGATTTACAAGCTTAAACATCAGTTCCTCGAGATTTCTGATTTGAGTTTTATAACCTTTGACTAACCTTGTTGGTCTTGTTCGGGCAGACACTGACAGTTCCCTGAATTTCTTCTCCCTTCTTCACAGTCAAGTCTAACAGGTCAAAGTAAAACACAGTCTGTTTCCAATGTGTGTAGGGTGCCTCAGGGGCTAAATACAAAACAAAACACTGTCAACAGCCAAGTGTACATGTATATACTGAGAAAAAAAATTCTCAAATGATTTACTGTGGAATCATCATTGTTCATGGGGGGACTAATGTTTTTGGATTTCATGTTGCATCCTTTAATACCCCCAAAGTTTTATCTCCATAAACATTAATTTTGTTAATGTATTGGTTCACTGAATCTACATCATATACCAATAATACACTAATTATATCCCCACGAGCCAGTAAAATTTTGGTTGCCCACAAACATGAACTAAAATGATTCCACGGCAGAATTTATTGAAAGTTCACTTTCACACAGATTCAGTTACATCAGGTATATTATTAGATATTGTGACATTTGATCAGACTTACCTGTAGAAAATCCTGTTCTTTTGTGGCACTTTGTGAACTCAATATTGAAGAATGTAATGAGAGCATGGACGTAGTCGTTCCTCCGACACTGTAGGTGGAAGGGGGCAGTGAAAGTCAGATCCGACTCCTGGACCGTGTATATATCTATCTCCTATAAACAATGCCAGTAGATTATATTGCTTTTGATACAGGTAATTCCTGAATATGCGACACCTGTAATATTGAATACTTTGAAGGTGAAACTGTACCTTGACGAGACAGGAGTTGGTCACCACTTGCTTAGGATCCACTACATCAACTAATGGTTCTGAGATGGCTATCTTTCTGATGGCACTCATGTCAAATCCATACACATTGTCCCAGACTGCAAAAGGAAAGGGAGATAAATGTTGAACAATCCAGAAAACTATTGATGCTAGCTTTTCATTAATTATGCATGGCTGCAATAAATGACCAAATAATCCTATTTCGTAAAGACCATTTTTCTCATTTCTCTCTGTGAAGAAAACAATTTCTGGATCAATAATCTATTTAAGATTATGTGTCTCATTATTTAATCTATGTAATTTTTGGCTCCTGTTTTTAGTTTGATGATCTTACAGTTGATTTTGTCGTCTTTATATTGCCTGTCTTCTATGGCAGCTACATACAGGGTGGCTCTGTCTGGAAATATCAATCCTCCGGGTTTCTAAAACAATACATAATAAACTTTGTGTCATTTCTAAGAAAACTATATAATTAACCTTTGATATTGGTATTTCTACACCAAAATGGTAAAAAACAGGTCTACACCAAAATGGTAAAAAACAGGTCTACACCAAAATGGTAAAAAACAGGTCTACACCAAAATGGTAAAAAACAGAAATAGAAATTTATCTATAATCAAGTGTATCTTAATATACATGTAAAATATGTGTAAATGTCTATACCATTTTGTAATCCTATAAGTTTGTTCTGATCCGTAAATTTTATCTAATCATTGATACAAATGTCTGCAGTGATTTTTCTACATTTTTTAAAAGGGGCCTGGGCCTTTACAATTGGGAAAAATCATCGACATTTGTATCAAATCGGGAAAAATCAAAAAGATTGAAATTTAACCTTAATTGGCAGGTAAAATGAAATACTGGTATATAAGTAAATGTAACATCATTTATTCAATTTATTTGCTAAAAAGTAACAAATTAGACACAGTTCTAAATTCTTAACCCTTTTTTTAATCTTTGAAAGTTGTCATTAATTGTGACCAACCTATATTTCCATTTTTTTTTTTTGGCCATAATGGTAGACATAAGAGAAAATCTTTCTCGTAATAGCCATTGAAGATAGACTAATCTGACATGATAAATGACAAATCATTTTTTTTTTCAAACTAATTATTAAAGCTTTTTTATGACCCTAGCTAATCATAATGCTGCCATTTCTCTGCAATACTAGTTGCATCTGCCGGATGTAGAAACAGTTTGATTTTTATGGAATCAGGGATGCTTACTGTAGAGTTACTAGTACTTGGATTTACAAATAGAGCTACATTTTGCCGGTTCACATGCACATTACACTTTCTTACGATGTATTCATACAACAGGTTTGACATGACCATGTGTTTTTCTAAGTCTTGTAAACGCACGACGTAATCTGCTGTTTCTTACTATTATTTTAAGAGTCTGAATGACCAAGAACAATAGTGTTCCATTTTAGATAAGTCGTACGTAAAAAAAATTCAATATAACAAAAACAACATCGGTTTTGTTTTGGGAAAAAAGCAATAGAAATTGGGAAAAAATCGGTAATTTTTGAGAGGGAAAAGGGCCAATATTCGGACCTAAAGAGGATGTAGAAAAATCACTGGTCTGGTGAATTTAAACTTTCTTACAAACTTAAGGAGGCAAACATAAATCAGCTTTTCTTATCCCTTTCCTTGTCTATTTATACACTTAAAATGTTTGGGTTCTTTTTACCCCTTTCCTTGTCTATTTATATACTTTTTAAAATTTTTTATTATTCACATGTATGCTGAGACAACCTTTGAATCTAACAGACCTGTGCTTACCAGCCAATTACCATTGATGACAGTTTATCTAAGGTGTTTACGATGGTCTACACTTAACAGTCACCGATTGTAAGTGTATATGACAGTTTATCTTAGTATATAATGGTCTACACAAATCAGCCATTTATCTTGGGCGTATATGACAGTTTATCTTGGGCATATATGACAGTTTATCTCGGGCGTATATGACAGTTTATCTCGAGCGTATATGACAGTCTACACTTACCAGCCATTTATCTCGGGTGTGTATGATAGTTTATCTAGGGTGTATATGACAGTCTACACTTACCAGCCATTTATCTCGGGCGTATATGACGGTCTGTAACATGGACTCATAGAACAAACAGTATCCCATCCACTCGCTGATTATAATGTCCACCTTCTCTATTCCCTCTGGTAATTCTACCTCCTCTACCTTCCCCTTCACTAGCGTGACCACTGTAAACAGAGATATGTTAATGCCAGAATTTAATTCCATTAGTAATAATCAAATTTCCCCATATTTTGCACAAGTTTTCTACAGTAAGTCTTCTTAGTGTTTGTAGATATGCTTGAGCTTACCATTGCTGAATTTATTGTCTTCTACTATTTTTCTTCCAAAATCTATGATACTGGAACACTCAATCTGACAAGAGAAATTTTAAAAATTATCATTACTGTTGGAATCATGGTACTTCACTCTTAAAATGATTTGCACCAGTTTCTATTTGATCACAGGAACCAATGAAGGCTGTATGAACATGTTTCTGAAATAGCCCCCACAACCCCACATGTGCACCATATCTCAGAACCCAATCCTATTATATTCACTGGTCATACTTCAGTACCTATATACCCCCATCACTTTATCTCACCCCTTTCTTAATACCTACCCCTATCACTTTACCTACCCCCCTTTCTTAATACCTACCCCTATCACTTTACCTACCCCACCCTTTCTCATTACCTACCCCTATCACTTTACCTACCCCTCCCTTTTTCAATGCCTACCCCTATCACTTTACCTACCCCCCCTTCTCAATACTTACCCTTATCACTTTACCTACTCCCATTTCTCAATACCTACCCCTATCACTTTACCCCCCCCCCCCTTTCTCAATACCTACCCCTATCACTTTAGCAGCTCCAGCCTTGGCAGCAAACATGGAGAGAATTCCTGTACCACAACCTACATCCAGAACAACTTTCCCCTGGAACAGGTGTTTGTTGTAGACCATGGAGTTTCTGTAGGTCAGGGTACGTACTTCATCTTTCAACATTTCCTGTGAAGATAATATTTTACAGAAGTCTAACTTTGTACTATGTACAGCAGTGTTTAAACAAATACCATAACTTTTTAATAGATTGTAAGTTTGTGAGAATCAGAGATTGCTAAACTAGATCACAGTTTTAATCAATAAAGAAGTTGTATAAACTTGGTCTGTAAACAATTGTACATCATCATCCTATTGCAGGAACACTTACACTTTAAAATTATCAATTATTGCTCTCTGTATCCCACTAGGTAACATGAAGACTAAATTGCATTTATTCTCTTATAAACTTTGATATTAACTTTATTAAAATTCAAATGCAAAAAAGTTCAAAAAAAAGTTAAGGTTTTGCCAAAGGTCAACGTGTCCAAAAATTTATTTTTACAATAGCTCCAAAACTATGTGGTTTATAAAGTTCAAACTTTTACAGTTTATAAATATATCATTGATTAACAGATAGAAAGTATCACTTGATAACAAATACTTAAAGAAAGTATTTATCGAGAAAAATTCTTTTTAAAAAATGCATATATTTTTAAAAAATACACCTAATTAATTCCATACTTTTAGTGAAAGCCATCATTGCAGAAACAATACATGTTTATCAATGAAAGGCAAGTTGGACTTCGATAGCCTCTGGAAAGTTGTTTTCCCTGTTTGTTTTGTCCAAATGTTAAGATTTGAAACCGAAAGTACATTGCAAATGGCGGATTTTATAGGGGTCTTGTCTTTATACATGTCATGCTTTCAATAACAGCCTTTCAGAGACCATTCACGTCCAACTTGCCCTTCATTGATAAACATATATTATTTCTTCAATAATGGTTTTCACTAAAAGTACAGAATTAAGCAGGAGCATTTTTTTAAAATATGCAAATTTTTTGAAATTGTTTTTTCTCAAAAAATATATTTTTTTAAATATTTGTTTTTAAGTGGTACCTTCTATCTGTTAATCAATGATATATTTATAAACTGTAAAAGTTTTAACTTTATACCTCACATAGTTTTGGAGCTGTTGTAAAAATAAATTTTTGGGCATGTTGACCTTTGGAAAAACCTTCACAATAAGTCTTTAGAGATAAACTTTTTTTTATTAAACTTAAATTGTAGATCAGAAAAGAATTTCAGATTTTTTCATTACAACTTCATCACTGTCTATCATTCTGAACTTAATCATTTAACCACTGACACTCTAGTTCTTAACCATTGATATTCCTATTAGAACAATACTAAACACTTACCTCATGAATCCCAAAATGTCCATAAGAATCAAAATAGTAGTCTTTGGAGGTCATTTCCTCGACTGGGACCGAGCCGGGGGTCTCCCTAGTCTTGGAGGAATCTGAGGTGGTGGTCACTGGGGTCTGTAAATTACACCAATATCAATTGTATGGCTTTGAAAAATTACGTTTATTGATTTATAATTCACACAATATGTATGTGCCTCTACAGTTATTTTTTCTGTTATGTCATGGAACTTTATGATTGCAGATGCAAGTGACGTTATATAAATGTTACTGTGTCTTGGTTTTCTTTCGGTGAAAATTTTCAACTAGATGTAATATTATAATATACTGAATGTTTTATAAAAATACAGATAACAGTGAACCATGTGCGAATAAATTCTGCGCTGTCAAAATTTTTTGGAATATCATCCATTGTTAACATGGTCAAGCAATGTTGGCTATCATGCTGGAGAGCTGATTTCATCATTCAAAGGGCAATAGTGTTTTTTAATAATTTTTTCTCGACTAATTTACATGAAAGTATAATATTTAGATACAAATTACAACTCTACTGCTAAATTCAACATTTCTTAACTTTGAGAAAATCACTTTTGTTTTATATTGAATATATTTTGAATATGTTTATTCATAGCTGCCATACAAATTTATATTTACCAGATCAAAAAAAATAAACCACACTAAACATTTTAAACTTTGAAGATCTTGATTTTGATTAGGAAGTGTCCAATGTTGGCACAATGGTCATTACAATTATTTTTACTTTTCCCATGATGGTCATGCTAATCACAAATCTTATTCACACAACGCAGAAGAGATAACTCCAACACTTACATGTATATCAATGTCAGTCATTGGTGGAAATATGTACAACAAACTTGTATTTTTCAGTCAAAAAAAAATCCTATAATCCAAAGGAGCAGGAGATGCAATTTACATATAGAATAAATTTTGACATTTGTTTAAGCCAAAATCCACTAAAATACTGAATTATCATTGTGGTCTAGAATAACAAAAATTTATAATGACTTTGGTCCTCTATCATCTCTCAATCAGGTATTTCTAACATTATTTGATTGGTATACTTAAAAAGAAATCAAGATATTTCCTCTCCAAAATTTTATTATTATTTGAATAGTTTTCATATCCTCTCTCAATAATTTATTTCTTTTTGAATGGCTTTTATAATCTCTCTCTCTCTCTCTCTCTTCTCTTTCTACTAACTGTTAAGTTTAAAGCTTCCTCCAAACAGTTTCTACATAATAAAAAGGAATGTTGATCAAACCTGTTTGGAGTTTTCAAATAGACTTTAATTTTAAAATATATATATATATATATATATATATATATATATATATATATATATATATATATATATATATATATATATATATATATATATATATATTAAATATTATATTAATCCAGTGTGTAGTGTTTTTAATTAGTATAGTGTATTTAATTTCAAAGAAAGAGGTAAGAATTCAAAAAAAGTCATGGGATATACTGTGACCATTAGATGTCTGTCAGGATTTTGCTGCTTTTGAACACTTTTATGCAAAAGAAAAGATGTATTTCCATTGTTTTGGTAACTTTATACCTCCTTGTGTGTGGTGAGGCAATTGGCTTAAGTATATTTACTTCATATTGTGCTGAATTTTTACCAATCAATGATCTTGTTGACCACAATTGATCTCTTTTATAATTTATTTAAATGGGGAACTTGTACTGCCTCGCTAGTTAGCTAGCTTTTCTAGTGATGCAGTAGAGTCTCCCTCTATTTCAGGCAAGTTAACGAGGTTGGATCCTGATATTTAAAGTCTTAAATTTTTTTGTCAAGTATATTTTTAGTTTCTACACACATAGATTAATTAAAAATCAAAACAAAAAATGGGGGTCAATATGCTTCTTTTGGCACTACAGTACATTTAATATGACCTTTTAGTACTGAAATTTGTGTCTTAATCAAAAATCACCTCTTCGACTTTTTTCCCTCCAATGTTTTTATCCAAATAAAGCATGGGACAAAAGAAACTATTAGTTTATTTAAAAAAAGACACATTGAAATTGTGACTAAGAAAAAGTTGCAAATTGCTTCGCATAATCAATTATTTGACCTTTCTGCACTCACAAAATGTGATTTTTCTGGCATTAAAAATTTAACAAGCAAAAAAATTATTTTAAAGTCTTAAACTTTTGCTGAATTTAAGCAGATTGATCAAAGTTATCTTATATATTCAGAAAAGAAAAACAAAAGTGGGGGTCTATGATGTAATTTTTTAGATATTACTAAAAAGGTGTTAATTTTATGTTAAAATTGGCTCAATTTTTTCCTGGACTTTCAGAATATATTTACTATATTTGTCACAATATAATGAAAGAATTCATGAGAAATAACTTAATAGATATTTCAGAACCAGAATAAAACATTTCACTGCAAAAAACAGCTCTGTGTGCAACCAGCATGGAAAAATAGGAATTTAAACTTAACAGTACTGTATATACTTCAAAAGGGAAAAATTGATCATTTTCTTCTAAAAAACCTTCCCCCACAAAATACAGTTCCTAGCTTAATCCTATTTGAATGGAATTTAATCACGGTTTTTTCATTGGATATAGTTTAATTTGCATTGTAGAATCCAGATTTAATGTTAGAACTTAAAAAATGATGCAGAATTTTAGAAATAAAGGTCCAGACCAAAATCTGCTCAAAGGCTCAGGATGGAACCTCCTTAAGCAACGGTTAGCCTGTATAACCCTTGGATGGGTGACTGCTTCACGTTACAAAATCAGTGACTTTGGTGTTTGGTAACCTGCTTCAGGAAGTCTTAGAGCTAGGACTTAGTGTCCATTTATGGACTAATTATCCCTAAATGACAGGGACTTGCCATAACTGAAGAGGTTCTAGGCCTGCTTCAGGAAGCTCTAGGGCTAGGACTTTGTGTCCAGGTATGGACTTAGTGTTTGTGGACGGCATTGGTTGCCATTACTGAAGAGGTCTCAGACAATCAGAGGGAACCCACGCTAAGCTTCGGGGCGAACTTATACTGCCTCGCAAGTGAGCTAGCTTTTTTAGTGATGCAGTAGAGTCTCCCTCTATTTCAGACAAGTTAAGCGACGGCGAGCCTGATTTTTTTAAAATCATATTTACATTATTCCATGGTGGTACAATGAGTAACATCTAATTGGACAAGCTTGTCTGGAGATTGACTTGTCCAATAGCAAAATGAATTGGACACAGACAATCAGACATTATTGCTGAGCCCTGTCTCAAGAGGCTGCAATTTGATAAGTGATTTTTTTTGAAGCACTGCTTTCAAAAGAGCTCAAAATTGAAAACTTTCACTGCATCAAAATTAAACTTTTTTACATGCTGAAAAAATGCACTTGGAAAAAAATGTATGATAAAAAGCTAAATCACGTCATTTTGAATAGCCAAATCAAACTATATAGCTATTTCAAGCTAAATTACTTAATCGAGAGATTGTGTCTATCTGTTGTAAATTGATCCAAATGAATTTCTTTCCACAGTAACATCGTTATCCACAATTCTCCATAATATACATATGGCTACCCAAATACATTCTATGATCATAATGTAGCAAATAATAAAATTTCAGGAAAAAATGACAGCATATCAAACTTCTGAATATCAAAGTTAATTCATTTTACCATGCGGTCTCAGATAGGAAATGGATAAAATGTATCATTTTCGGTCCTACCGAGTATTGACATAAACTATTAACAGAATGAAATTTACTTTATGGATGCTCATGATAAAAGTTTCATTTAAGATTTCAATATTTCCTTAAAAGTCGATTAATCACCACCGCTTTACCTGCTCCATGTGGTCTGCCATTTTCTTTGTGTGTAGCGCGTGTATGCGTCATCAATTTTTGCGCACTTATTTTCTGAATTTTATGACTCCCGAATCCGATAGAAAATTGGTCAAACCGAAAATTTAGACATGCAATGCTTATATGGTTAATATTATAGCTTCGGTACACATAAAAAGTTAAAATTTTGCATTATATAGTAAAAGTACCTTGGTCTTGTGTGCCTTTCTTCGTATTTTTTTCCACATAGATGTTATCGCTAATTTTGACATGATTTATGCACAGCCGGATTTCGTGTCCAGCTGTATGATCCTGAAGTCCGAAAATATTAACATCGGGAATTCTGCTTGTGCATTATGTACCGGATTCGAGACTCAACTTTCATCTCTTACGTTTTTTTCTTCTTCAGAACAAGCATCTATGTTTCATCTGGTCAAATCATGTAAATACAGTGTATGTATGAAAAAAAAAATAAAATGCTTAATTAAAAAAAAAAGAGGGATTGAGGGGAAATGATATCCTGTTCGACCCCACCCCTTTAACTGTTTAAAAAACCACTTATACATGAATCGATATGGCGTATTTCAGTATATCATCATTTTAGAATCTTTTTATCAAATATTTGAGATTTCTACTACAGGTCTGTATCGGCGATGACTGTACAATACTTGCCCGTGGGTGTGATAGATGTCTATCTCCCCGCTCCTGATAAAGTCCAGTCCGCCCCTGGGGCCCTCTACACAAAGCTCATCTCCGAAGACAATTCTTTTTCAGTAACATCTCATTAACACTACGCGTGGATAATGTACTTGAATACTCTATTACTTAGTGTATATATTGTGCATGGATTTTCTACAGTGACTTCAAATAGTAAGTTTATAAATACACATTTCCAGAAATATGAAATTATTGTAGGGGCAGTGGTTTTTTTCACATACATTCTTACCGCAGACTAAGTTAAAACTTAAAAACTGATTTCTTTGTTTTATAAACTTAAGGTATATGTTGTTTTTTTTTTCTAAAGGATTATTTGAAATATAATTCTAATCTAACAGAAATTTATAATTTTTTGTGACCTTCTATAGCTTATATATATTTTGTTTTTCATTGGATGAAATATAATTCATATGATACATTGTATTTTGTTAAAGAGTCCACAGAATCTTCTTTAATATACGTGACAATAAAATATTTAAACGCAATTGCAGCACATACACATGAATTTTCTTTATACATTTTCATTATATATTTAGAAATCTTTACATACCCCGATTATATTCTATGCATACACACTTATTTTCTATACATACTAATCAGATCCGTGGGAAACAATTCCAAACAAGGGGGGGGGGGGGCGCATCACAGAAATTTTTGAAAAGCAAAATAAAAAAAAAATAAATAAGATCAACAGACGTTTTTGAGGGAGCACAAAAGGTTAATTTGCTTTGTTTTCTTTGTATAGTATATACAGGCAAAATTAATGAAGGGGAGGGGAGGGCTTCCAGGTTCCAACTGGTCTGCACATTCTATATGCACAATGTATTTTAGAGTGAGACTTTATAAGTTTAACTAAAATTAACTATGATGAAATTTATTTACTTTTTTTTCTTCTTGCAACAACCAGTATTCTATGATAAAAGAATTTATGTATACATGTACAATTAATTTTTTAATTTTCCGCATTATAAGCTGAAGATAACAAGACAAAGATGGCTATCAATGTAAAACAAAGAAACACAACATCAACAACAACAACAAAAATTAAGTCTGTAAATAAAGTACATATTTAACCCCCCTTCCCCATTTTTTTCAAAAGATAAAGAAATCTTTGTCAAGTTTGTGAAATCCTCTTTTTTCCAGGAGTTAAAGAACTACTGTATTTTGAGGAGGAGAAAAGCTGGATAGAAGCGCGGGATGTCTGTAGGAATTATAACGGGAAATTAATGCGCAGCACGATTCTTAACCGGAACATCATCGAGAACTGTGGAGAGATTGACCCAAAGAAGAGGTTCTGGGTGGGAGAACATCGAACACTCTCTTCTTGGTTCGAAATTACAGGTGAGGATCTCACGAGCGCGGATCATAGAATACATGTAGGAGTAGATTGAGGGAGATTTTTGTTGTCTAACATTGATAAAACAGATTTAGATGGCGGTGGAGGTGGAAGGTTCCAATGTACATATTAAGAATTGTAATTACACATTTTACAGGGGAGACTCATGGATTGACAAATTCTATAAGATATGTATATGAATAGAAAGGACACAATGGCCTTGTACACTGAACAGATTAATTTTGAAATTGTATATCATATTTCCAATAATACTAAACTAAATGACTACCCCCCTCCCCTACAGATAAACACTTCAAGTAAAAGGTTTATATATATCCCATAGAATTGCTACAGCTGCTGTCGTATATAATTCCATCAATAAAATATTTTGATGTATAATGTGATGACTGAGATCTTCAAACACTTCTTGATATCCAATTCTCTGCATCATTAGAAAATAATTTTGAACCACATCAAAAACAATTATTTATAACTATAAACTTCATACTTATAGGTTGTTTCGCGGACAACGAGATACAGGCCAACGTAACCTTTGACAACAGCGATAGGAACGAGGCTTCTGTTTGTTACGAGATGTGTCAGGATTCACCTTATGTTGGTCTGAAGGTAAGATACCTTTTTAATTAACAGCATAAGATGTTTACTTTATGTTGGTCTGAAGGTGAGAAACCTACTTAAGAAACAATACGAGATGTCAGGGTTCACCTTATGTTGGTCTGAAGGTACTTGCATGTAATTAACGGTAAGCATATATGTCAAGATTTACCTTCTGTAGATCTGAAGGTGAGATCCCTACTTAATTAATTCAAGACACGACTTGTGTCAGGATTCATTGCATATTGTTCTAAAGGTAAAGTATGGTATTTACTTTTAAAATTACATGTACTATCGATTCAGGAATTTCCAACAAAAATTATTAACACTATAGTTGTAGGATTGGAAATAACACATTATCCTCCAATAAAAACAAAATAAAAAAACTTCTTTTTTTTTTATCTATTAATTTATATAAAAATATTTCACCACTAAGTTAGAAAAATGGGAAATATTTCAAAATCTACGATTTAGTGGGGCACCCTCGTTTAAAGACCATGGCCCATAAAAATGATTGTGTTATCTGAAAGAAAATATGAAACGGATTTAATATTAAACGAAATAAAAGATATAAATAAATAAATAAAAACGGGGATTTTAGCGCTGTATTTATTGCACAATAATATCTGGAATTCTACAAGCAATTATGATTTGGACACTTCATTTAAAAAAAGAAATTAGATGAAAGGCAGATGTTGAAAACCACAGCTATGTCGGACACCACGCCATGAATTGTATCTCTTTATCTAACGTCAATGCCTCGAGGGTGCCACGTGTGATCGATACACAGGTATCAAGAACTAAAAAATGTTACAAAATGGACTTTTGTATTGAATCGTTTTTGGAGTGAGAAAAAATAGAATTCTAAATAAATCTATATACATTCCTGTGCTAGATTTTCTTCGTATTAAGACATGTTGGTTTACCGGAATGGTTTAATCCTAGACTATACTATTGTTTGAATTGTTTCATAAGGTATTTGTAAGCTACAAAATCTTGTTCTGAATTTTTTAATGTAGTGTGATGATAAAACAATTATAAAAGTTAAATTCTAACGCCTTACATCTCACTGGAAAATATCCTTAAATATTTCTAAAATACATAGTTTTTTGAATTTCTCTAAATTTAATATTTTACCCTTATGCAGCTTCTTATTTACTTTTTATCATCATTTGTGGTAAGTTCGATAAATTTTATCAAATGTAAATAAATTTTGACAGCAGGACATAAGGCAAAGACATATTTTATCATTGTACTCACTACTTCCTGAAAATTATGCCTATGATAAAATCTCGACAACAAGTTTAAAAAAACACGAAGTTTCAAATAATGAAGTACATTGCTTAGTCATATTATATATTTTATTTTATTGTTCAAAAATTTGATCAAATAGAAATAGACAAATAAACTTTACTTAAAGGGTGGAGGAATAATTTATCAAATATATTCGATGGAAATCTATAGGCCTAGGTTTATGATTTGAACTACCTTTTTCTTGATTAATTCAATACTTTTCTACTGCATCTTAAAACCAACAAACAGACAAAATAAATGTATCATTAAAGTAATTTTAATATGATAAAAATGTAATTGATGATGACATTAAATGTGTTCATAAAATTACAGAATAACACGTGCTTTTGCATCGATTCGTCGCCAGCCAACCAGGCCGACCTTCCCTGTGACTTACAGTGCCAAGGCAACGAGGCGGAGCAATGTGGCGGTGATGGCGTCGTGAGTGTGTATAGAAAAGGTAAATTGTGCACTAGACATAAACTGTTATAATACACAACACTGAAGAATTGCTCTGCCTTTTTTTAAATAATATTGTTAGATACAGAAACATTTTTGCGAATTTATATTCAAGTAAAACTATTAAAATATATTTAGTTCAAGAAAATATTTTCAAAACACTTTGGAATGTTTTCTTTTTTTGCAATTAAATATGCAGCTATTTTTCATAAATAAATATGTCATGGAGGTGGTTCAAACACGTGCCCTGCAAGAACACCGCCCCTCTCCTTTATTTCCGTTTATACTCACTAGAGTGTTCGATTTGTCTTACAGCTACAACGACGCCTGACAATACCCTCTGTCCTCAGCAGGAAATGTGTCTCTGCTCACAGATGGATTGTCTCCCTTCTGGAGCCTCGTTCTCATCTAGACCCTGTGTCACGGAGTTGTACGGCGCATGCGGTAAGTTATACTCACCATCTCGCCTAGTGACAGCTGTTTTGTTACACTTAAAAGTTTATGAACCATAAATAGCTGTGTCATACACCTGTATGTGATATTTTTGTCTTGGAAGAAATATTGAAAAACGAGTCCTTTAGAACCATTGTATTTTACACGTATCTTCTCCCGAACAACAGTGTTCAACAGCTGTTCAAATAACAAATAGTATGACTTCATAGAACTATGTAATTTTCCCACTCAGCAGTACAATATTATCATATGACACACATAATATCTGACAACCTCTTTTAAGGTTACGGCTACATGACGGACACCAAGAAATCATGGAATGTGAGCAATCATAACTGCATCAAACAGGGCTTTCTGGCAAATCAGGAAAACTCACAAGAATTCTGTAGGAACAGGATTATAACGTGGCCACAAACCTATTGGTCCGGGGTGTTCCGAAGTGTGATCAACAATGTAGATATGGGTAAAGTTATCAAATCAAATCAAACACTGAAGCTTCTTAATCAAACCAAAAACAGCATTTTTCAGTTCAAATTTCATTGTATAATCCTTCCCTGTATTCTTTGATGCATATTAGACCATTTTGATTTTTACAGGGAGTGACGGATCTAGAGATCCGCTCCTATACTGTTTTTCACTTCGGAGAGGATCTCTTCTAGACAAGGAGGGCAGTGTCACCATCAGCCCCGACACGTGTTACAGTGAACGACTGCCTTTCATCTGCGAAATTGGTAAACTGAAAAAAAAAGCTTTACAAATGTAGTATCCACAAAATACAATTTGTAAATGTTAAAAATTCAACATGTTCAATGTCAAAAATATATTATTGCTTACAAACATTTATGTAGTCTTTGGAGACCTTTTTTCTCCTTTATTAGCTGACCTGTTTTTATACCCCGATGAAGCAGAATTTATTCAAAATCTTCTATATGGGAAGAACAAAAAAAACTTGTAGGCCTTCAACTCGACATTTAGATATATCGATAACATGCAACAGTCCTTACATTCATACATCTGTATTCCAGTGAACTCGAAATAAAAGACGCAAGAGAGTCTGCCACAACTGTTTCATACATGTACTTAGATGTTTTACTGACTTATAAAGACGATAATGGCCAACTAACAACTAAATTGTATGACGAAAGAGACGGCTTCAGCTTTTCCATCGTCAATTTTCTTTATTTATGTAGTAATATTTAACTATCATTTGCACATGGTATTTATGTCTCCCACCTTATTCATACACAAGAGCATGCTCCGAATATGATTAATTTTTAAACCGAGACAGACTACTGATAAATAAGTTGATGTTACAGGAATTTGAACAACCTTGTTTAAAGTCACCATTTCGAAAATTCTGTGGTCATTGTAATGACCTTGTTTGCAAATACAACCGTTTATTGGGTTGTATTTTAATTGATATATTTCAAATTAATTGTAAGCCCATTGTTTTATACTAAATTCGACTAAATTCGACGGATTATTCCGTCTACCTGATCAATATATAGGGCACACAGCGGGTGTGACCGGTCGACAGGGGATGCTTACTCTTCCTTGGCACCTGATCTCACCCCTGGAATTCCCAGGGCTTTGTGTTTTATGCCCTGTTCACATATTTGTATTGCCTGTGTAGGCTTTTTGACATTGATCACTGTTCGTTAGCTTTTTCATTATATGTAGTTTATGCATGCATATTTTTTGCAGGTTCATCTCTGTTCGGGGAGGCAAGGTGTAAAGTTCAGAAAGCCCCCACAACCTCATCACCCACGACCACTTATCCATCAACGACGCAGTCTGGATCCGCCCCCTCATCTACATACTTCATCACTAACCAGGTCAAGGATGAAAAAGATGATTTCATCGACAAAAGTAATTACCCGTTTTACATTAATGTTGGTTTAATAGTTGTTCATGATTTGAGATTAATGCTATTAATGTCATATTAGAAAAAAAGCCAAATATGATATCACAATTACATCATATATTGTTCCATCATTCGTTGACAAGTGCCCTGTATTATGACGTCATGATATTGTGTACTTTGCAGTATTTATTGTTGGTATTGTTGCTGGTGCTGTGTTGCTGCTGTTGATCATCATTTGCTCCGCCACAATTGTAACCAAGAGAAGGTAAACACCCTGCAATCAGTATTGACTCCTCTCATTTAAAAGGTTGAATGAAAATATTTGTAAGATATTGAACTGCATTGCAAGTTTTCTGTAAGGAAAGGGAAAAAAACCTGCAATATTTTGTCTTTTCTTAAATCTTCACTGAAAAAAAAACACAATTATAGATTGATGTAAATTTCACAAAATTTCTCTTACAGGAGAGCACATTATGGAAAGAAGTATGGGAATCAGTTCATAATTCGCTCCTATGGAAATGACGTCAATCTAGACGAAGCATCATCAAACTCTAAAAGAAAGCAGAAGCAAGTTACACCAGAATTTTTTATAACTGACGTAACTTCCGGGGAAACGGTACAGGCATTTCCTAAAGACAGCAGCAATATCAGTGTGTCATCATCTGAAATGAAATATGACAGACTGAAAAATGATCGTACCAAGGCAAAATCTGTGGAGCCTCAGCAATATATATCGAATCAGAGTGACGTAAGAAGTGACGTCAGTAGTGAGCACGGCAATGACGAGTCCCGTCCGTTGACAAAAAGGAAAGAAACAATGCCCAGTCACATTAAAACTGAGGGCCAACCAAAAACACAAGCTGAAACTAGTGCTAGCAAAAGTTTGCCACGACAATCAAAGTTATCGAAAAAACCTCCATTTCATTATGTTTATAGCGAGTGGTGAATATGTTGAGTTAATAAAATATGCTTTCTCTTTTCTTTTTTAATTTATATACTAGGTATTACATTTATCACAGTTACATCTGGCTGCATCTACTCAGTTCCTAAAAGGAACCCAGTGAAGTCTGGTTGCAATATTAAAGGATGGATTCTTTGCATATCCATTGTATTTAAAAATTAGTGACTCTCTCACAGACTCAAGACAGTACGATTTAAGATCTATTAGATAACACTGCCAAGTTATGATAAATAATCTAATTAAAATAGGTACCCGAATTTCCTCCTTTTCTGAGATTTTTAAGGAATTATTGAAATGTTTTTTCTTTGCTTCATATATTTAAAGTTTTATTTACACACATGGTGAATTCATACTGTATAGAAATACCAAAAACAATATTGACCATTAAATAAGAGAGAAAGAAAAGTTTTACTGATTTTTATTTCAAATCTGTTCAGTTATAGATTTAAAGAAGCTCTAAACACTGATGAAAAATGCTTTTTGGACTTTGAGAAAAATATATCATATAAAGGTGCACATACTCAGTGTATGTAGTTCATTCTCAACATACGGTGCCTGCCTTATTTCTGCAGAAAAAATGTTCAAAGACAATGAACTATTTGTGAACAGAAATCACTGTTGTTTAGTTGCATCGGAAAAATTAATGGAAATAATGTATTCAATTACTTAATCTTGGTCTAACATAACATTAAGAATACTTTAATTCATAAGAAATTGTGTTATTAACTGTAGATTCCCATTTATTCTATTTTTCTTCTAAGGGCAGATCACTCTAACTCAATAAAACTACCCTACAAAGAGAACTCTTTAGTGTGCAGTGTTTAGAGCTTCCTTAAAGCTTAAAAAAAGTGTACATACACTGTATCTATTTACTGTATTCTAAACTTAAGTCTCTAATTATAATTTCTATTAACATTTTTAAAAAATCCTCTTAGAGTTTTTAAACCATATAAACTAAAAATAATTATTCAGTAGTAAACTTGAAAAGTAAAATATTTTCCTACACTGCTGTTCCGCCGATAATTTAGTTAGATTTTTTAAATTCACCATGCATTTCTGAAGTTGTTCCGTTGTAAGAAGGAAAGGAAAATATGATCTTTTAAATTCCTAATATCTCAATATAAAGGAATAAAGGACATTTATGTGTTTAAATGTTTAAAACTTTTAACATTCCAGTCTACCAAGATGAGTTCGAACTACCCTACCTATACTGAACTTATAAACTTCATAAAAATCCTTTCAAAGATACATTGCCGGGTACAGCAAATGCTCTACCAAGCCCCTATCTTTACTCCGTATAAAAATATTAATGTATTAAAGGGAGAAACTTCTGACAGCTACAGCATATTCTAGAAGTGGTGTAAATCAGATGTGGATTCTCAAAAATTCTAAAGGACTTTAAGAAAATTTTAAATCAACAATTTTTTTCTAAAGTCAATAACATCAAAACGTACGATTTTTCTATACTTTATACGACCATTCCTCACGATAAATTAAAAACTAGGCTTTTTGGTATCAGTAGTCAACTGCTTCTTCAATTTTGAATTCATATCTTGTGATTGGTCATCAATAAAATTACTTTGCTAAAAATCACTCTGATTCTACACATAAGTACTCTGAAGTTGATATTAAAAGGATGCTGGAGTTCCTTTTGACAACATTTTTATAGTCTTCGGAGACCAGGTCTTCCAACAAACTATTGGAATTTCGATGGGCACCAATTGTACTCCTTGGCTGACCTTTTTTTCTATTCCTATGAAGAATTTATTCATAAACTTCTACATGAGAAGAAGAAAGCATTTCCTGTGGCCTGCAACTCGACATTCAGATTTATCAATTAACAATGGTTACTTCCATTCATATGTCGACTTATTATATCCCAGTGAACTTGAAATTAAAGTCTGACACATAACAACTGCATATAAAGCCTGTAAATTTTTATGACTGTTATATAAATGGAATGGTTTCACAATTTTAAAATGATTTCAACGAATTTCTTTAATATGCTGTCCCCCTTTTCCTCACAATTTTTCCACATACATCTATTTCAAAACATACAGGCATCTTTCTTTCTTAGTTAAACAATCTATTTATTTCATCAATTTAGATCTCAACACATCTACTAATAAACGGATATTTCACATGGGAAAGTTTTTAAACTGTAATATGCTTTCGAGAAGACATTATTCGATTTAACGCAATGTTTATTTATGCTTATTTTATTGTTAAAATAACTGGCCACTGTTCCTAAGTAAATATACTAATATTACTATGCGCATTGAATTTCATTATAGATTCACAACCATAAAACGTAGAAAATATTCCTAGTTAAATTCCGTCCTTGTCTAGGGCCGTCTTGTGTAAGGGTATATTATATGACAATCTATGTAATACCGATATACAGGCCTTGAAGTGCTATCCAATTAGCATATTTTATGATAAGCTTATTCCTTATGTTGTATAAATGTAACGGAGTCAGCCGAGTCGAGAAGCGATCTTCATCAACATGGGGGCCGCTTATACCATGACATGGTTCTTTTTTATTTTTGTATATTTATTTACGATTACAGAACAAAATGTGAGACAACGAAGACAAATATCACCAGAACAGTAAGTTATATTAGTTTCCTTTTTAAAACAATTTTCGTCTCCTTAATGCATACGCAGCATTGAAACCTTCGTTATTGAAAATTAAAGTGTACCATATTTCTAAACAAAGTGTTCATGTTAAAATGATGAGATTTTGCAGAAATGACGAATAATTCATAAATGCAAATCTTTTTGATAAAAATACAAAAGATCAGTAAAAAGCTTTTACACTGTTTTGAATAGCGATTCAGAAACAGTCCTCTATGTCAACATCGTTTTTCAAAGGGGGAGAGGTTGGGATGCAGCCAGAAAATACAATTAAGAAAAGACTAAATAAAGATAAAAAAAAAAGAAGATTCACAAAACTCGAAGTTTTTAGAGAGGGGGGGGGGGGGTAAAATTCTATTCTGATATTCGGAAAAGAAATTTTTGGACTTAGTATCATGGAAAAACTCAACCATACTACAACAAAAAGTAGGGTTGGGATGGGTTGACCTTTTAATGAACATTTCCATAAAACATTTACAACGAAAGATTCTTTTTGGACAAGTTAAAGGGGGGGGGGGGGGTACTAGGGGCATGAGGCTGTCAAGCGTAGTGCTTTCTTATGGGTTTCCCATTGTAGTATATACTGTGATTTCTGCATCATATTTTATTTTGTACATATAGGATCTCCCATGATTTGTAGTTGGATATGATTTTTATGCAACGAGTTGTGTGTTGTTTTTTTTTATCCCGAGCCTTGGCGAGGGGATAAAAACACACAACGAGTTGGATAAAAATGATACCCAGCTACAAATCATGGGAAATTTTTTTTATCCCATGTTTTATACATCACTATCGATATTTTACACTGTTCTTATTATTTTACTTCATCACTTTCACGCAAAACCCATTGTGACGTCACAGCAGTGGGATATGAAAAAAAATATCCAATGAGTCATATCCATAAAGGGATAAACATAGGATAAATAGAAATCTGCAATTTAACTGTTTCTGTTTATTTGACAAAAATAAAATAAATTGTCGTAGAGGATATTACATAAATGCAACGATCATGGATTTGTTTTAAGGTATGCAAAAACTTGAAAAGAAGGGTTTCACCTGGGGGTTTTTTCCAGCCTGTGTGGATATAACAATGAATATAAATTGCAATCATCATGGACCATCCTAATAGAAATAATATTGCCTCAGATCGGTGGGCTTAGACGTATTATTACGGGCTACTTAGCTGTTCGTGTCCCCAGCATGGCGAACATTAAGACTACTTTGTCCGTTGTCTGTTGGTTTCCGAGTCACGCTTTCACAAAATGTCACTACAGGTGACTTAGTATCCCCTGAAGACTTTCGTTAAACCACCAATTAAATGAATGACTTTTTCAGTCGCAGCAATCTTTGGACATAGGCTATTCGGTTCAAGACAGGTCGCATCACATTAATGAGATTACATAGGTTCAATGCTTTTAATTTAGTATAAGGGTGGTTGCACCGTAGCCGCACATACATAAAGTTCTATTCCAAAACAGTAAATTCATGATTTTCACTCAGAGTATTATTTTAAACTAACTATTTAAACTATTATTATTATTATTTATTTTAAAGTATTTCGCAATAAGGACAAAAATGGAAAGAAAATCTATATTTCTTAATTCAATAATCTACATGGACGCCGATTCTGTGTACGGCAAATCCTTGATTTTTTTTCTTGGTATACCAAGTAATTGGGCATTTTAAGTTTGATTTCTACAATATGCGATATATAGTTGGGCGAATGGGGGTGGGGGTTCAGTAGTTGGTTCAGTAGTCTGGACCTCTTGGAATTTTTAAAGTTATTAAAATTTTATGCAACAGTAACAAAAAATGACCTTGGACACCCCTAGGAGCCATATATTTAAAGAAAATTGACTTAGAAAAGTGTTTTCGTGTTTTCTCCTTGAAAAAAAATCAATGCCAATTACATTTTAGATTATTATTAGTAAATGTTTAAAACAGATTTCTTTCAATCGCAAGACTGTTCCGACAATGTATATGTAGATTCAGCAGTTTACAAATTAGAACTGAAATAAAAACGCAACAACACTTAAGACAGCAATCATCTCTTAAAAAGGGGAAAAAAGAAAGAAGAAATTTTTGCAGTCAAGGGAACCAGACAATTTTCATATATTTTTTTTTAATTTTGTGTTGATTTATTGAAAATCAAAGAAAATGTTTTGTCAATCCTGTCAATATAATACGCTAGAAACTTTTTCTGGGAATGATAATAAAATTCATTCTCTAAATCACTATTTTCTTGTTTCCAGGCCCCGGATGATGACGATGAACGGGCACCTGATTTTTCAAACAGGAACCAATCATAACATTACATTTAAATCCCAGGGAGGGGGATATGTCAACATCGATGGAGAAAATGTCCAACAATTAGCTGGCATGGTAATTTAAAGAACGATTTTTTTAAAACACAAATTTTATATTAAGTAAACAAACCAATCACCAGGTTACTGGAAAGGGGTCGGGTGGGGTGGATGGGGAAGGTTTGGGATACCCTAACCCTAAGTCAGAATTTATTGCTATAAAAGGACTATTTGGTGGGTTCTGCTCTGGTAAGACGTCTTTCTAAAAAATATTGAATTGGCAAAACTAAGCAACATTACTTTAAACATAGGAACGATAAATTTATTTTGTTTCATAAACGAAATTGTTGAGCTTGTCTGTTTTTATGAAGAGGGTGCGATTGCAACCCCCCCCCCCCCTTTCCGGTGGCCATGGTAAAGTTGCTAGAAGATGAATGTATCCCTAGAGGTGTCTTTCAGAAAGTACAACCTACATGCAATTTTTTTTACCTTTATAAGTGGCTAACATTCCTAAAAATACTAAATTATGAATATTTTTAATATTATACAAGCTTTCAATAAAATAATTTGCAAATTTATATAACTCTTACAAACACATATAAGGAATCAGTGAGGGACCTCCTTATCGGTGGTTTATCGCAGTCGTAACGATCAGCTGATGGCCTCTTATTTGTGATAATTTACATACAGAGAGGTATATTTATGGGGGGACATAGTCGGGAGGCTGGTACTATCACCAGTAAAGTCGTTATCCTGTTTTATGAATTCATTATACTCCCCCGTGCCTTATCACCACTGGCTATACAAGCAGGGACCTATATACTAACTAGTATATAGGTCCCTGATACAAGTCACAATAAATCCCGATAACCACAAAGTCTTTGTGAACCGTGTTTATTATTTTTAATTCAATTTCTATTCAAATTGATAATCTTAAATAGTTAAAAGAGTATACATGTACAAGGAAAATTCAATGTTTAGATATTAAGGAGGTTGGATCCTGACATTAAAAGTAATGAGAATTTTTTATCAAGTATTTTTTTAGAATTTATACACATAGCTTAATTAAAAATCAAAACAAAACACTGGGGTCAATGCGCTTCTTTTGCCGCTACAGAGCATATAGTTTGACCTTTTTGCACTGTAAAAACGTCTTACACATAAATCAACTTTTTAAGTTTTTCCTCCGATATTTTTTATTCAAATAAGTTATGGGAACAAACACAGTTTTATTTCATCTTGAATAGACCCATTAACATTTTTGACAACGAAATTTTTTTTTAAATTACTCCGCACATTCAATTATTTGACCTTTTTGCACTCAAAAAATTTCATTTTGCTAGCATTACAAATTTAACAAGCAAAAAACTCATTTAAAAGTAATGACATTTTACTGAATTTAAGAAGAATGGTTAAAAGTATCTTGTATATTCAGAAAAGAAAGTTAAAAGTGGGGGTCTGTGATGTTAATTTTTAGATATTACTAAAATAGTGCTAATTTGAGCTTAAATTAGGGCTATTTTTTTTCTTGATTTTCACAATATATTTGATTTACTTATCAAATATGATGATTGAATTCATGACAGTTTATTAAATATATAATTTAGGACCAGTATAAAACAGTTCACTGCACAAAATAACTCTGTGTGCAGACTGCACGTAAAAATAGGAATCCAAACTTAACATACTTTAAATACTTCAAAAGAGAAAAAAATGATCATTTTCTTTTAAAAAACCTTCCGCCACAAAATAAAGTTCCTCACTTAATGCTTTTGGTATGGAATTTAATCATGGAGTTTTAACTGAATATAGTTTATTTGGCATTGTAGAATCCAAATTTATTGTAAGAATTAAAGCATTACTCAGATTTTTTTAAATATAGGTTAAAATAAAAATCTGCTCAGGAGCGAACCTCGTTAAGTATATAAATAATACGTGTTACATATTATGCACTTTTTTGAAGAAATACTTCGGCTTGATTTCGTTAGTTCATGATATCAAGTTTAATCATGATGAAATAAATGTCAAACTGAGGTTTTAAAAGAAAAATTTTTAAATTTTGAATAAATGTTCATTGTTAAATATGATTTTTTTCACAATTTACGGAGCATTAATTTTTGCATAGTGTTTCCAGAAATTATTGAGATTTTTTTAAATGATATATTTATCTAAAACTTTGTATTAAATGCATACAATATAAATTAACATAACTATTGTATTTAATGACAATACCCCCTACTTTTTAATGATAAATGCAGTTTTCAGGATAGCCTCCCATTTAAAAAAAAAAAATTAAATATACTTCCTATTGTCTGCTGATGTTCAAAATTACTGCTATCAAAAATAGAAAGCCTATTTTAGCAATGTATTCGTAAGGGATTGTTAAATCCGATGATATCTCTGAAACACAGGGTATTTCACCGTCTACTTTGTATTGTGTGGTAAAAAATATTTAAAAAAAAGCAATTTTCAATATTTTGTCCCACGTGAATTAAAAGTAGACAGTGAAATACTCAGTGTTTCAGAAGTATCTCTAGTTTTACAATTCTTTGATAAAAAAATCAATAGACTTTCTTTTTTCAAAAGCACTCATTTTGAACATTAGCAATCGACCGGAAGTATAAAAAGAAAACGCCAAGTTATTCATGAAAACTATAAAAAAAATTAATTGAATTTATAGACAAAAGATATTTTAAGGGATTTTTTTAGAATAATATAAACAAGCTGTTTATTGTTGAGAGAGAGAGAGAGAGAGAGAGAGATCTCAGATATTCCTTATTTGTTTTAAGAATTCATGATCAATTTTAGTTTCTCAATCGACACTAAGTCTCCTCATAATTTTCCAATGCCTCCCAATTTTCTTTTGTACATGTAAACAGGATCTTTAATTTTGCTATAAAAATGTAGCACTATGAAAGTTAATACAAAAAATACATACTCGAGTAACAGGTTTAATTACTGTTAATATTTTTTTTCAGATCAGAAGCAATAAAGCAGAAATTGATCACCTTAAAACTTCACCAACAGTTGTAAGTATTGTTATAATGTGATAAGTACTACTCACCTTAAAACTTCACCAACAGTTGTAAGTATTGTTATAATGTGATAAGTACTACTCACCTTAAAACTTCACCAACAGTTGTAAGTATTGTTATAATGTGATAAGTACTACTCACCTTAAAACTTCACCAACAGTTGTAAGTATTGTTATAATGTGATAAGTACTACTCACCTTAAAACTTCACCAACAGTTGTAAGTATTGTTATAATGTGATAAGTACTACTCACCTTAAAACTTCACCAACAGTTGTAAGTATTGTTATAATGTGATAAGTACTACTCACCTTAAAACTCACCAACAGTTGTAAGTATTGTTATAATGTGATAAGTACTACTCACCTTAAAACTTCACCAACAGTTGTAAGAATTGTAATAATGCAATAAGTACTATTCACCTAAAACTTCACCAATAACAGTTGTAAGTATATATGCAAAGTTTGTATATTTATCATTTTATTATCAATAAGTTAATGATAAGTAATAAATTATTTTTTCATTACTTAAGATATTATGATTTTTGTTCCAAAGCTTCAAAATTTTTCGCTCTATCTTAAATTGTGATATTCTATCCATATCTTTGTTTATGTATTGCTTGATTACTTCCACGGCAGTAATGAATTAGATCATGAACCATTAACCAGCAGTATCTATAAATCACTTTTCGACCCACTGCTTGTAGTTACTTAAAATATTTCTAATTCATAATCATTAGGATTAAAAACACTGATTCTTGAATCGTAGGGAATAATCATAACATTCTTGGGACCTCAGAACCCCAGACAATGTGAGGACCCACCAGTCGTTATTAACAATCAGTCGTATTGTAACAAGCATAACAATGAACAGGAATATTAAAAAAAAATACTTCATTTGTATTATCTTTTATCAACTTAAGGACAAATGATACCCCCCAAAATGGATGCCTGGAAAAGATCATATTTTTGGATCTATTTTTTGGCTGTAAATGATTCAAATAATTTCCTAAAATATAAGAAATTGCAAAATTTCTATGATGTGCAAAATTATACTGTTCTGCAAACATTCTTATTATTTTCTACAATTTTTTGTCACTAAATCTCTCTTTAAATCCCATTATTCACTTAAGTTGTTATTTTCAAGATTTTTGATAAAAGTTTGTTTGTATCATCTGTCCTTAAAATTTAAATTATTTAGAGCAGTATGTTAAAAAATGTAATATATATAATTCATATGAAGAATAACATACAGTCCATTGGCCACAACGCTCACCAGCGTCACACTGGCCCTGCCATTCTTGAGAATTATTCCTCCCAAGCAAAGTTTTGACCCCCCCCCCCATGTGACTTCACTTTTCAGGGATAATGACTTGATCCTTGGGAATCCTGGCATATCAAAATGATTATGCTTTCCTATATGTATATATTCCCATGTCAAACTTTGACTCTATATTGTGGTACCATCCTAGCTCCGGGGATTTTAATTTGAACTAACTTGCAGGCACTTCAATATGTAACCTATCAGTTCTTAAGAGGAAGATAAATACTGATTATAGATACAGTATCGTCGGTTAACTTATTTATTGTTCATATAACTAATGTAGTGTAGTACCTACTATTTATAGCTGCACTAATGCCATTATTTGGAACCTTGCTTTCAGGCTCCCAGTAACCTGGAAACGCGGGTATCTAACGTAGAACAGCGACTCAATAACCTGCAGCCGACAGGGGAGGTCCAGAATCAGCTGACGTCACTAGGTAACCGGGTCAACGCCCTGGAGATCAGTGTAGGTGGTGTTCCTGTCATAAATCACAGGAAATTCATAAAAAACACAAAAATGAGATTGATGTTTAACAAAGAGGATCTATTATTTTTTTGTGCTATTTCTGTGGTTGACAAATGACTATGAATTATTGATCAAGCATATATTTGGTGATTTTCAATGTCAGGCCCATACTCCTACTTTGAAATAATGTGAAAAAATTCCTTCTGGTATTATAATACTGACAAGAAACTGCGAAAATTTGTGGTACAGAATATGGGCTTTTCCAGGATATTATGTAAAAAGTTAATCAAAAGATTTAATAGTTAACATCCTTGAGGCAATCAATAGTCATTTCTGAACCTATATGTTATCGTACATAGCAATTCTCCCATCCCCTGTGGTGTTTTTGTCTGCTCTTTAGGTGCCCAGCAACTTACCTGTGAGACTGACACAGATAGAGCAACAACTTAATTCCTTGACAACATCTGGTGACCTCCAAACGGCCTTGACTGACATTAGGTCAAGGTTAACTACATTAGAAAACAGTGTAAGTAATTAGAAAGTCGATTTTCTTGAATTACGAGGAGAAAAAAATTGAAGGATGTTCATAGAGATTAGGAGCGAGATTAAAAGTTTAATGTATGTCCGACAAAAATACACAATGCACTTCCTGTGTAATTATCCATATCGGACCCCCCCCCCCCAAAAAAAAGGAAAAACTCTGGGGACTTTTGACCCCCTCACCGTAACTTCATAATTATTTGAATTCAGTTTTTTTCTACCTCGGTCTTTTGATATGGCCCCTTACCATATGCTATGTAGACATTTTGCAAGTACTAATCTATTTTAACTAAAAATGCCAACGCTACAGAGAAATGGTGATTGAGAAGGCACCAAAACAGATTCTCTCGAAAGAAAACAATAAATCAAGTGTTTATTTACACGTACATGTATTTTGTGACATAGTTGAAATGATTTATTGCAATTGTTCGACATTAAGGTGATATTTTAATTTTACACATCATTCGTCATAAATTTGAAAAATATTGTAAGTGTTCTTGCTTCGTAAATTTTCATTTGAATTAAAAAAGAAATAAATATTTAATTGTGTGAATTTAAGAGGTTTTCAGACGTTATACATGTAATACTTAACGATTTCTGTGGCCATGTCTTTCAACAGGTATCTTCTTTACAAAGTCAGGTCTCCAATGGTGACAGCGATACTCTGAGCAGAGTGAGTACAATTCGATGAACTTGTTAAAATTCAGTTAATGTTGCTCTTCCTTTTCATAGGACAGAAGGGATAACTCACGAGCCCGAACTATAAACAGGAATGTTAGAAGACTTCGGAGAAAGGTGACGATTTTAAGTCATCAGCACGGCAGATATACTGCACTGTGCACAATGAGCACATGAAAGAAAAAAAGAACAGAGTGCAAAATCAGCACGCGGATACACCGCACTGTGCACAATGAGCACGCCGGGTACACCACACTGTGCACAATCAGCACGCCGGGTACACCGCAATGTGTACATTCAGCACGCGGATACCCCGCACTTAGCACAATTTGTCTTGCTCATATGCTATTGTTTTCGTTTGTTGCTTGACCAAATATTGCACTCAGTCATATGTATGTTGAGCTGCCAAATTATGTTTTTAATAAGGAATGCTTTACAGATTACCAGCTTCCTCCGAACCGAGCATGACATAAATAATATATATACATGTATACATCACTGATCACCCTGAATGACATATCAAATACATACATGTACAGCACTGATCACCCTGAATGACATATTGAATATATACATCACTGATCACCTGAATGCATTGACGGTTCAGTCCCTTCCTTGCCTCTAAAGCAAAAATACACATCTCTGTTGATAACAACGTAAAACGTTTAATTTAAATTAAGTGTAATCTGTTTCATGCTAATAACAAAGTACACTGAGCTGGAATTTCTAGCTTTCAGCAGGTACATACACTAAACCACTTAACAGTCAGTCACGAATATTGTCGTCTCAAACCATTTTATCCGTATTATTTTTTGTTGATACAATAACATCCGGGAAATTAATTCGCAAAGATTTGTGGGGAGTGAAAGTTGATTTAAAGTATATAAAATTAATTGGTATTTCAGGTGCATGATAATAATGAATTGCAAAAGCATAACGAGTTTTAATATTGTACATGCATGCATTTAAAGGTTGGTGTTTTAATTTTAGAATCGGAGATCTTAAAGAACTCTGAACTATGACCTCTGAACAGATTGACTGGTACTACTATATCTATAAACCTATGTTTTATATGTTACAGGTCAGAACTCTAGAGCAAAACGTCCAGACACTACAACAGGTGCATATTATTGTTATTTAACATAAAATCAATTATAACTTATTCATTAATTGTTCCAGGATCAAGATTTGATTTTAGGTCATTCGTCCCTCTGTTCATTCATATGGAATTTTGCCTTAATTAATGCTAATGAATTTTGAAAACAAATCTAATTATGACTAATAAATGCACATCATTTCGGTATATCTTCCAGTGCTTTGACAGAAATGGCCTATTTTATATCTTGACAATTTTATAAAGGAATAATATTCATTAACTCGGTGAGCTTCATCTCTCTTATAAGAAGGTTAATAAAGCTAAATTGTCTTAAAGGGACCTTGACACAGATTTGAAATTAACATTTTCTCAAATTTTCTGTATAATATCAAGATTTATATGTTACTATAGCATATCACACGGAAAAATAATAAAAGCGTGTTCAGAAACGTCTTTTATGTGGAAATTATTGAAACTACAAATTTCGGGACGCGTTTGATTGACACACCCTTGCACTTTCAGACAGTAAATTTTATCCTTAATACTCAAGAAAAGTAGAAATGTTGTTGTGTATTAAGGAAAAATATTAAAACTATAATCCAGAAAATTCACAGTAGAAATGTGAGAAAGCAAAACCAACTCACCGGTATTGTCAGTCCGTGCTCAGTGATGTGTGCAGAGTTAAACAAATTGAACACACCCGGTGAAACATAACGAAGCTCGTGCCCTGTTTACAAAAACAGATGTTTTGACGTGATGAAAAGAATGTCGTTGTCTTTAAAAAAAATATTTATTTTATAAGAATATTCATGTAAGTTCTATTCATTTAACTAATTTTAACTTTTGAATAAGCATAGAAATTTAAAATGTAAACAACCCAACTGTGTCAAGGCCCCTCACTCACTAAGGCACTAATTTTTGCACAATATCTTATGCTCCTTGTTTCAGCTGCTGACCCAGAATGAGTGTAGCTCTAACCCGTGCAGAAATGGAGGGACGTGCGTGGACAGATATAATGGTTTCTTTTGTCAGTGTCCCCCAGCCTGGAAGGTACATAAGTACTAGTAGATAAGTTAATTAGTTAATCTATATCTAATGAGGCTAGGATTCATCAATTCTAGATCTTCGTTGAATAAATGTTACATTTTGTAGCAAAACCAGTGATTACTATTGAGTTTAACTTTTAATTTTTAAATGCTCTTACCAAATCAAAGTACTGATAGGGTACTGAAAGACAGTACTTTTTTCTTCTGCGATGATTCAATTGTGGTGCTATACGAGCAGCTTCTGTTATGACCTCGACTGACAGGATCACGTGACCCCGTCTAAAATAGTTTTACAAAACCTGATTTTTCTATGTAGACTTAAATCCCCAATATATATTAATTGTCCAGTTTTAAATAAATGGTAAAAGGTGATGGTAATGAACAGTGATCTCATAAATTCAGTAAAAAACAAACCGTGAGCAGGAAAAAAAAATATGGACCCTGGAAACACCAGAGGTGGGATCTGCTGTCTATGAGGAGTAAGCATCCCCTGTCGACCGGTCACACTACATTGTATGACAAACGAGATGACTTCAGCTTTTCCATCGTCAACTTTATTTATGTGGTAATATTTCACTATCACCTGCATATGATGTTTACGTCTCCCAACTTATCCGATACTCAAGAGCATACTATGAGTACGATCAATTTTTTAAACCGAAACACGCTACAAACTGATAAGTTGATGTTACATGGATTTCAACAACCTAGGTAATATTTTGTAAATTCTATGGTCGTTATAATGACTTTGTAAGCAAATATAACCTATCTTTGGATCGTTTTTTTTTTTTTTTGCTGACGTGGTTTATACCATTTGTTAGGCCTCTGTTATTATACCAAATTCGACTACGGAATGTTATGTCTACCTGATCAGTACAGAGTTCTCGAGGCGGATGCGACCGGTCAACAGGCGATGCTCTTCCTAGGCACCTGGTTCCAGTCACTTCTGGAATTTCCGGGGGCCCATGCTTTATACTCTCTGTTCACAGATTTGTATTGGTTGTAGGTTTGTCGAGATCAACCGCTGTTCGTTATCTTCCCCTTTTTCACGCCGCGCTGAGAGCTATGTATTGATCAGGTATACAAAGAATATAGTATAAAATCAATGACATAACAAATGGTATGAAACATGTCAGACAAAATACGAGGTTGTATTTATAAAGAAGGTCACCATAACCGCCGTAGAATTTGCAAAAAGGTGCCTTTCAATTGATTTGTTAAAATCATAGTAACATCAACTTATTTGTCAGTAGCTTACCTCTGTATAAAGAATTGATCGTATTCAGAGCATGCACTTGCGTATCGAATCAATTGGGAGACAAAAACACCATATGCAGGTGATATTAGAATATTGCTACCGGTAAATAAGGGAAGTGGATTTCGAGTTCATTGGGATATATCGAGTCGACATATGGATGAAAGTAACAATTGTTAATTAATAAAACGTCATCAGTATATCTATATGTTGAGTTGATGACCATAGCAAAATTTTTCTTCTTCTCGTGAAGAAGTTTCATATTAAATTCCGCTTTACAGGAGTATAAAAACAGATCGGTTAATAAAGGAGCACAATTAGTACTTAAAGATATTCCAACAGATTGTTGGAAGACCTGGTCTCCAAAACTATATAGATGTTGTAAATGAGGAACTTCAGCATCTTTTAAATGTACATCATATACGGTACCAATTTTGATGCACCTGATGCGCATTTCGACAAATTATGTCTCTTCATTGATGCTCATGCCGAAACGTTGTAAATCCAAAATATTCACGTAAAAAAAACTTTGGAGAGCTGCAACTTCAGAGTACTTGTATGAAAAATCACAGTTATTTTTTTTTTTTTTTTTTTTTTTTTACAATTTTCTAGACGACCAATTGCAAGATATGAAAATTTACGAGTTCATTTTTTATTTAGGAAGCAGCTGTGTATGATGTATAAAATTTTTGCTCTTTATCTCGAGGAATGTCCAATTATCAAATCTAATTCATCAAATGAAATAAAAGAAATAATGAGTTTGCTCAAGTCATATAAGCAGTGATAGGCTGATTAGAATTGCACTCTGGTTGGCTGATTAATCATTCTTGATTCTCAGTTGTGCTATATAGTAGTAGTCATCCAGGGCTCAATACTCCGTCCCATATCAAAAGCTGTTCACATCTATCGATAAAGAGTACAGAGTAGGAGCTTATAGTTGAAATCTAATAAATCACTGATTAATGACCATTTCAGGGTGTCATGTGTGATGAAGACGTGAACGAATGTGCAGAATATGCGGGAACAGACATGGGATGTCAAAACGGAGCAACATGTCGCAACACTCCGGGAAGCTTCACGTAAGTGCTTCACGCTGGGTCTGTTGGAAAGCGTAGATGAAGCCAATATTTAACACTCCTGTCATAACATTTACATAAACATACCTGATTGACAATAACCAATAGCCAATATTTAACATTCCGCTCATACACTTTTACATAAACATACCTGATTGACATCCTTAGTTGGTTTTTCTGAATTTTCTTGGATACCACTTATATTTCAGATGTCAGTGCGCGGCTAACTGGTATGGCATTAGGTGCTCTGAACGTCACGATGACTGCAACCAGGCGTCACACGAAGAACTCTGTGGACACGGAACATGTGTCAATTCTGAACGGGTACAACCTGGGCAGGTAAGATTCTCCAATGGCCTGGTGGATTGCGTTCTAACTCGACAAAACTATAATCTTCAAAAACATCTTCAGCAAACTAAGATAAATAATGTTTCGATGTTGACGGTATATTATAACTTCTCCTTAGCAATTTCATATTTTGGCAGCCCAAATACACTTGCATCTGTGACGATGGGTGGACGACGAGCGGATCTAATCCAATGTGTGTAGTGGACCGTGACGAATGTTCAGAAGCAGGACCTCGATGCTCAGTGGATCCCAGTGTGCCGTGTATAAATGTACCGGGCTCTTTTTACTGTGGCCAGTGTCCGGCTGGTAGGTGGTTAAAGTCCATTATTGATCTACCCAGGTCACGTAAGGAGACTACATGAATTATTATGCTATAGTTGTACTTGTTGGGGGAAGGGAGAACATGGGAAGACATGCCAGACTTATCTCTCAGATAATTCATCTCAACTGATAGTCATGACCTCACTGATTTTCCCTTCAAGATGTCTCATGCATAGTCTTTTTCTGTTTTCTCATGGAAAGTTATGTTATGTTGTCTGAAGATAGTCATGTCACATTTTGTTCTCAGGTAGTCACCACATCACATGATCACTGTAAGTTGGCCCATAGATATGTTGTGGACAGTAATGTCACAGTTTCTTATTGATAGTGACAATGTTTTTTGGGTAGTCATTGGACAATGTGGATAGTCTTGTCTTAATGTCTTATGGATAGTCATAACGCAGTGTTTGATGGATAGTTACGTTACAATGTTTTATGGATAGTTATGTTATGATGTTTTATGGATAGTCATGTGACAATGTTTTGAGAATAGACATTTGACAATGTTTTACGGATAGTCATTGGATAATATCGAAAGAAGAGACTTGACATATTTGTTTCTTGCACAGAAATGACTGTTTCACGAACAAACGCTATTTTTTCTTTTTTAAATTGTCTTAAGGATAGTCACATTTTAGTTCCTTACAGATTGTTTTGTCATGATTGTCCCTTATACACGTCAATGTGCTCCGTCTCCCAAGCTTTCACGATATTTTTACGAACAACGTAGTCATGGAATGATACAAATGTCAAAATTACTGTAGTGGCTAATATTGTTACTACCGTATCACAGAATGTAATGCTGTCATCTCAAATATGATAGAAACATCACAAGATCTCTGAGAAAGTTTTACAATTTTCTATAGAAATGTCCAAGGCTTGTGTCTCATTTTGTAATCACAAATATTTAGATATGCGGAATTACTCACCAAGACACATTTTTTGCTATATCAATTCGTCGGTTTAACACATTTAAATTAATCAGGGTTCTCTGGAAACGGATTTTCCTGTGTGGACATCAATGAATGTGAAGTTAATAATGGCGGCTGTTCTTCGACCCCAAGAGTAGACTGTATCAACACGAGAGGGTCCAGGACTTGTGGACCCTGTCCACCAGGTATTTTCTGTTTAAGAAGACCTTATTTATTTTTTAATAAAAGAAAAGATGTTACCACAGATAACTTGTTAACTTAAAACTGTTCCTAGATTGATTTACGTTTCGACGTTTCGGAAGTTCTTTGATTCTCTCCACGTTTCCCTTTCAATGGATTTACTTTTTAAATTTGTAGGTTACCAGGGTAACGGTGTCACGTGTAATTGGGTGGGGTTGTGTAGCGTTAACAACGGCGGATGTCATCCACAGGCCGCCTGTCAGGAATCTCCAGGTAAAAATTACACTAAGGCGTGACAGAATCACCAAATAAAAAGTCCGTAGTTACACCGCATTAACAAGAAAATCATTGATGTTGATTTGTAATAGAAACGCTGAAATTACCAAAATTATATTTGGCAAGCAATATAACATATAATTCTAGATTAATGAATCTATAGTGAACTATTGATATCTCTAAGCAAGGTTTAATTTTTGAAACCAGATTATTAAATATTGAAGTGAAAGAAAAAGTAAGCTTCCTGTTGAAAGCAGCAGTGCAGAATAATAAAAAAAAAATCTATAAAAGTTTCAAAAGCTTGTAAAAGTAATAAATCAGGATAAACAAATCAGCTATGTTTTTATGGTAGGGTTGTATTTTGACTGATTCACAACAATTGTAAGGGATTGTTTTTAAATTAATTTTACTACGGTTTACTCTGTCTAGCTGATCAATACGTAGGGCTGACGGCTGGTGTACCGGTCTATGGGGGACGTTTACTCCTCCTAGATACCTGATCACACCTTTAGTGTTTCCAGGGGTGTCTCCTTTTGCCCTGTTTACAATTTATATGGTTTAAAAGGATTCACCTTTTTTTTTTTAATTTTTCCTTTTACCTGCCAGGAATTCAGGGTGTAACCTGTACCTGTCCTCCTGGGTATGTAGGTAACGGCCAAGGACCTAATGGGTGTGTCGCTCAGGGGGTGACGGATGGACCGTGTGCCAGTAACCCCTGCAGAAATGGAGCTGTGTGTCAGGTAAGAAAATAAGAACAGTAGTATACACATATAGTAGTATACACCGGAACGTTAGAAGGATTATATACGTAGCCTTTTACAGTTAAGATTCCATTGTTTGTATTTCTAATGTTATTTTGTTCTCTCTCTGTCTAGAACTCTGGGAATACCTATAATTGTGTCTGTCAGCCCGGATATGAAGGGACACAGTGTCAAACCAACACCAATGAGTGTGCTAGTAATCCCTGCCAAAACGGGGGCACCTGTACGGACCGACTCAATGGGTACACCTGTAGTTGTACTAGTTCCTACACAGGAAATAATTGCGAGCAGGAAGCCCAGTGTAAGGACCCAGATTGAAAGAAAAGATGCAACACAGTTAACTAAATTGTGTGCTACTTCTTTTGATGTACTTTTATTACAGGAATTTCATAAGTTCATTGTTAACCTGTTATTTAGACTAGATGAATGAATATATGCAGAAAAATTGAAATATTTAAAGAATTTTCTTCAAATTATTGTGAATTGCCTGGCTTCTTCTCTCTCCTATATAATCTGAGTTATAAATCTTATTGGGATTACCTCGAGCAATTAAGTTTGATGCTTTGAATATTCTAGCTTGCGGCGGCGTTTTAACCCAGGAGTCAGGTACATTACGCTATCCAGAAGAATCAGGAACCACTTACCCCCATGGTGTCAGTTGTTCCTGGAGAATCACCACCACTCCAGGAAAGATCATTAGCGTAACGTTCACTACCTTCAGTATCGAGCAGCATCCTAACTGTGATTATGACTATCTACAGATCCACGATGGTCCCAGTGCCACGGCTTACAAGATTGGGACTTACTGCGGAAGCACGCCCCCAGCACGTGTCAACACGACTCAGCATCAGATGTATATCTGGTTCTACAGCGATCAGTCTGTGTCATCTGACGGATTTTCTCTAAACTGGATTTCGGCTGATCCTAGTAAGAAAGTCTAAGATATACCTTAGCCTTTTATTGAAATCTTCTGACAACCTTCAGTAAGATCTTTTGAGGCCATTATCAAGGTCTTGAATTTTCTGTTGTGTTTTTCAGTATGTGGCGGTTTGCTGAACCAGGGGGATCACGGTTCTATTTCCAGTCCTGGTTATCCAGGAAACTATCCCCATAACAGGGACTGTGTATGGAGGGTGATGGTGTCCCCTGGCAAGAACATCATGTTCACTTTCGCAGTTATGGCTTTGGAGCACCATGACAACTGTAGCTATGACTATGTAGAGGTATTTATAATGTATTACCAGAGTTTCCACCAAATAATTTTATTGCTCAATGAGCTGTTCAGGAATCATTATAGTTAGCAGGGTTCATGTTAAGATAATTTGTGTGTTTCTTTTTGCTGATAAAAATATCCTTAATATGTACAATATTAGCAAAATATTGAATTCCATCAAACTGGATATAACGACTATTCAAAAGTACAAAAGTCTAGAGAAAAAAGATTAAAAAATGATACTGTTACAGTTACCAAAAAGCTCTTACTGTTCCATTCATGAGAAAATAAGTAATGGTTATATAAATAGAAACTGCTAAGGTGCTCTCGTCATTGATGTGTAAATTACAAGCATGATTTTTAAATAGATCCGCGACGGATTAGACGAGAATGCACCTTTACTACGGAAATACTGCAGTACGTCGTCTCCTGTCCCAATAACAACCACCAATCCATATGCTCACATCAAGTTCCACTCCGACGCCTCGTTGTCAGATCGAGGCTTCCTAATGACGTATGCTGCCGTGTCTGGTAAGTGTCTATATCCCTCAGGATGATATAGCGAATCATGAGGTTCATTTTTCCGTTTTCTAACTCTCAAATAATGCCACAACACTAGGGAACGAGAACACGAATTCAACACTGCAAGGGAGCAAGGACGGATGACAACATGAATGTACTTGGCGCTGTCTCCCTTACAGGGTCTTTATCAATGTCCGATAACCCAGACAATGTCTTAGACATCAGCATACATTGATCAATATTCACCACAGTCAGTGTCCGATAGCCCAGGCGATGTGTTAGACATCAGCACACATTGAACAATATTCATTACAGCCACCGTACACATGTCAACACGACTCATTTTATTTAGAACATTGGAATATATTTACCATAAAAAATTGAGAAGCGCGATTTCTTCTGGCCATCCTTTGTTTTTGTATTCATATGTCATCTTCGCTAGCCAAGGGTTTCTGATACGCTACTCTCCTCATGAACCATTGGCCTACGGTGTTAAAAAATTGGGAATTTTTTCTCAAGTTGTGATTGGAGTCGATCGACATCGCTCGACCAATCAGCAATTGTTTTTTGTAAATGACGATATCTGCGTTCGGGATACATCTCGACTCTTTAATCTCGGGAATGAAAAACGCAAGTAAACAACGATCCGTAAGATAACATGTCATTCTATGAGTAGCTATGGTGTCACCCAATATCTTAAGCTATGTGCAAAATATGTAATTAGTAATCTATATTGAAGATGTAGATTTGTACTGTAAATAACAAATAAACATAGCTCAATACTTTCTTGTTAATTATTCTTTAAAATCTTTGATTTTTTTAAATACGCTTTTTTATTTCTGTCGATGACGCCATCTGTGCGTACCTGGTATAGATTCGAGTCACGTGAAGAAAACAATCCCTTCTTTTGACACTATAGGCCAAGGGTTCATGAGAAGAGTAGCGTATCAGAAACCCTTGGCTAGCGACGATGATTCATATGTATTTAAAAGTCATTTCTCACAAATTGATAAAATAATAATTATTGCTCTCTTTACACAATTCTTGTTTTGTGACAAATGGTTTTGAACTTCATTCTGTCTACATCATATCCAGTATGAAAGGGATTTTAGATTCATTACTTCAGATTTAATTTAATCCAGTTTAAAGTTTGATAATTTTCATGATAGTATTTCTGTAGTTTTAATATTTCACTCAAGTGGTCGTTTGATGCACTGCCTAAATCGAATCTTGCTTTAAGGAGTTGAGCGATTTACTGCGTTATGTATACGATGTGTTGTCTTGTTTGATCATTACATTTCAATTTCCAGCTGGACCTCAGTGTGGTGGACAGTTCACGTCATCAGAAGGGGTTGTGACGTCACCTAATTTCCCGTCGCCGTACAATCACAGAAGTGAATGCGTGTGGACGATTACAGTACCAGCTGGTGATACAATCACTCTGACCTTTACTACTATTGATATCGAATTCGATACAACATGTGGCTACGACTTTGTGGAGGTAAATGGCGTGTGATTGTTAAATATTACCAGTTTGTTGGTTTTTTTAGTATCAATAAAATATGAATCTCTACACAGATGAAATATAAAAAATCTGTAGCAGCGTGAAATCTGTTGAACATAGCATTACAAATTACCTGTACCTGGGTCATTGATATTTTTTTTTATCCTAAAAACTAAGCCATTATTGTTCAGAAAATAAATTTGTAAAATAAAAATGTACATATTAGTTATTTTTCTACAACTGAAGATTTAAAAAATCTATCTAGCAAAGATTTAAACGCATCATTGAAAATTCTTATTTGGTACGCACGACTTTTTGTTTGGTAAATAGAACAGAAAATTACAGTGTCCTCTTTTGAACAATAAACCATTTCCAATTTACAGGTGCGTGATGGACCTAACGAAATGTCCCCATTGTTTAATAAATTCTGTGGCACTACCCTTCCCGCCCCTCTGACAACAACAGGAAACGTCATGTTTATAAGATTCTCCTCGGACGCCTCCCAAACAGGACAGGGATTTAGAGCAACCTGGACTACAGGTATTTCATATAGAGAATGCAAATTTCAAAACTCTTAAGAAAGCATGTGCGTATAAGTCTAAGTTTCATAATTTACACGGTACAGAACACAGTATGTAGCGTATTCTAGCTTACTCAAAATTTAACTGCAAACAAGGGTAATGGTTGGCTTATTCATGATTGGATGCTTTCAGTTAACTAAAATAAGCAGAGTAATATTGCTTGTGTACATGTATTTAAACTTTTAAACTCAGTCCGATAGTTTTCGCGCAGACAAAGCGTTAGTACATGTAGCAGTTACTTCAGATTCAAACAACAAAATGCAATAATTTTCTACATATTTCTAGCTTGTGGAGGAACTTTCTCGGAGCCAGAGGGAACATTTAACTCACCGTCCTATCCTAATGCTTACCCCGCCAACAAAGAGTGTTTATACACTATCAACCAGCCCCTGGGGTCCGTGATAACCCTTACTTTTAGTGCCTTTGACCTAGAGGGATCTAGCAACTGTATTTACGATTACCTCACGGTAAAATAAAAACGAAAATGATATAAGGACTTTGATCTCTGGAAATAAAACACTTAACATTTCTTTTTTTCTAAGCTGTTCTTCCAAACCTCTATTCTTTCTGGAACACAGTTGACACATAAAATATTTTTCGGTGGATAGAAATTTTCAGTTTTCTTTCATCGTTATTTAATAGGTGTATGACGGTGGTAGTATGCAGTCTCCCCTCCTTGGTCGGTTTTGTGGTCCTCAGATCCCGGGGCCCCTCTCCTCCACCCAAAACATGATGACGGTCAGGTTTGTCACAGACGGATCAACCCACAACACAGGATTCCAGGCTTCCTACACCTCAACAGCGGCAGGTCAGGGAATGTCACCTTTTAACCTACTTTTTAAACATTGTAAATATACATGGTACTCCATTGTATCATGTCTGGCAAATAACAAACTTAAGGTTTTCATATTATTCATATTTATAGGTAATGCAAATATGTTGCATAATGCAGGTTGATTCATAAATCTTATAATACACATTCTAACGAGCGGAAACATTTGTAAGACAATCAAAATGACTTTTGATATTACTCATTCATTGTTAGAATTGATGATGATCCCAAAAAAATCTTCGCATTTTAGTACTCTGACATCTTTCGTGATTTTAGGATGTGGAGGAATGTTAACAGACCCTACCGGAAGTATATCCAGTCCAGGCCATCCAAACACATACCCTCATGGAGTGAACTGTACCTGGACGATTCAAGCCAGTCCAGGGCTGGTGGTTCGATTGACGTTTAACGCCTTCAGCATTGAGAGTAATGCCAATTGTCAGTATGACTATGTAGAGCTCTATGACAACTATACTGCCAGTTCTAACAGTCTCTTGGGAAGGTAAGAGGCGTGTGAATATTTTTCTTATATCAGAATGTATTTTTTTTTAAAATTCCAAACTGTTCTACCTAAATACAGAACCAGAACTCTCTCCATTTGTATTCCTGTCTATCATTTGAAGAAATGTTCCAAAGTTTTTTTATTACAAATAATGTAGATATGACATGTATCCTGTGTTCCATCGCTAATTGATTGTTTTAGGTACTGTGGATCAGATATGCCTCCTTCTATAACTTCCTCCTCTAACTTCCTAACAGTTGTCTTTGCCTCCGATGAAAGTCTTGCCTACGAAGGATTTTCAGCCGGATACGTCACTCTAAATGCATCCACAAGTAAACGGAATATAGTAGCGTTACTTCACTTTAAAATATACAACAGCTGAAATAATTTTGATTAATATCCACATTAAATTTACACGTATGCATTTCTAAAATGATCTAGATGTAGTGTTTCTTAATTTTTCTGTTTTAATATAAGCATATGAAGAAAATTGCATTTGTACAGTCTAAATGTGATAAACAACATTATCATGCATTAACAAGTTTGTGATTTGATCACATTTGGTGCTCTCCTTTTCAAGAGTTCATTTCTATAGCACAGTACTATATCTATCCTAATGATTTGTTTAAAAATACCATTAGTATTAATGTCATTAATTTATTTGTCTCGTTTTTTATATTATTGCGGGTCGCTGAGTAGTTTACTTACTTTTAATATTTTCATTTACTAATTCCCCCACATTCTGTCACATTCATGCCATTCATGTCGATAACTATCACAACAATGTTTGATGTATACGTCTTCACCATTATAGTCTGTGGTTCGGAACTCACCGATTCTACGGGGGTCATCACCAGTCCTAACTACCCTAACAACTACCCCCACGAAAGGGAGTGTGTGTGGACAATCACTGCCTCGGACGGGAATCAGGTCCTCCTCAATATTACCGACTTTGTCCTGGAGAATCACGCCAACTGTCAATACGACTTCCTGGAAATCCGGTAAGAGAAAGAAGTGACCTTTTATCGCAATAAGGTTGAGAAAAAAAAAACCCTCTATGACTCTATGATAGAGAATGAACGTCCGAATTTATAAAAAAAAATGGATAAAGAAGCTTCTGAGTTTACATCCAGTAACAAAACAAAATAAAGTCGGTTTTACCACATTACAAGGATCATGTTGAGCTTCTCCAAGAGTATGTCAGAGAACATTCGGAAAGTAATTGTGCTTGAACGTAGGTTATTATTGATGGACGTTTTACTGCAATGAATAAGAGAGACCTCCGAGTTTTGCCGCCTTGATATCAAGAGAGTTAAAAGTTTTACTTCACTTTAACAGAGAAACTGTTTTAATTAACTGACAAAGACAGGTTGAGCATATGAAGTAAGTTTTTGTACTAAGACATATGGACGTCGAAGGTTTTCTGCCCTTGATGTCTTTATCGCAGTACACAGGGAAACGTACGGTTCTACACTAAGGGCCGTGTCACACCAAGCTGCGTCCACACGGAGTCATTACGGCGTTGTAAAAATGTTAAAATCACAGTGGAATCGCAGGGAAATCGCACAAATTTCTGTAAAATTTTTACAATGTGAACATGTCACGGCGACCCACGCGTCTCTACGGCGTTCTCACGGCGTGCTACTGCGTTCCCAACGGAGATCTCTTCGGGATTGACTGCGCTTCCACGGAGGTTTTACGGCGTGTTGTTGTCACCTCGCGTTCACGGCGTTCTCACTGCATTTGCTGCGTTCACAATACGTCCACGATGCGTTCTTTACTATGGATATATATTCAGAAGGAGTGTAACACATTTTTTTTAAAGATTCGAGTCACATAGCGAAAGACTTCAAAAATGATATATTTGAATAATTTAGTACTAAATTACTGTTAGTTTTATAATTAAAACCCTTCTTTTTTCAATTATGTCAATGTTTTTTCTTTGATTTTATTATAAATGTAAAAAATAAACACACTGACAAGTTGTTATAAAATTTAAGTAATTCCATCGCAACTCCACTGAAACAACAGAACAGGTTTTGGTGTAATTTTTACTTCCCAATTCTACTCCCATGCTCCTGGCCAGGAGTGCAACAAATACGTTAGAATTATTGCTGATCAAATATGAGGCCATTGCTCTTGTTTTGTGAGCTGGCTGACAACGCTCTAACAACGCCGTGAAAACGCATTGTGATCGCCAACGTAGGCGGTAGAAACGCCAAGAGAGCGCAATGATCGCAGTGACAACTCCTTGTTGTCGCTGTGTAATCGCAGTCAAAAACTTTTGGAAAATTTGAAATCACAAGATTTTACTAAAATCAACGGCTTAAAAACTTACGACTTTTCAACTTTATATATATACACAACCAAACCCCACGATAAATTAAAGCCCAGGTTTTTTGATATCATTGACAGCTGCTTTTTCAATAAAAATGGCACTTGTAAATTTACTCACCTTGTCATTGGTCATTTGCAAAATTATTTTGTTAAAAAACATTCTGATTGTACACACAAGTACTCTGAAGTTGACATTAAAAAGATGCTTGAGTTTCTGATTGACAATATCTGTGTGGTTTTTGGAGACCAGGTCTTCCAACAATGTATTGGAATTCCCATTGGTACCAATTGTGCCCCATTATTAGCAGACCTTATTTTGTTTTCATATGAAGCAGAATTTGTCCAAAATCCTTTACGTGAAAAGAAGAAAACACTTGCTGTGGCGTTCAACTCGACATTTAGATATATCGACGACGTATTGTCAATTAACAATGGCTATTTCCATTCTTATGTCAATACGATATATCCTTGTGAACTTGAGATTAAAGATACCACAGAGTCTGACACATCTGTTTCATATTTGGATATTTTACTTGAAAAAGACGTTAATGGTAATCTAACAACCAAGCTTTATGATAAACGTGATGACTTTAACTTTTCAATCGTCAACTTCCCTTACTTATGCAGCAATATACCTTCATCACCTACATACGGGGTTTATATCTATCAGTTGATTCGATACGGAAGAGCATGCTCTACGTATGTACAATTTCTAAACCGAGGTAAATTATTGACAAACAAGTTGATGAAACAAGAATATCCGCAGTCTCGTTTAAAGTCATCATTTCGTAAGTTCTATGGTCGATACAATGACCTTGTCAGCAAATACAATTTTTCATTGAGTCAAATGCTGACTGACGTTTTTCATACTAGTTGTTAGGCCATTATTTACACACTGAATTGTCGACGGATTTTTCCGTTATTTCCCGATCATGACAAGGAGCACACAGCGGGTGTGACCGGTCGGCAGGGGATGCTCACTCCTCCATGGCACCTATTCCCACCTCTGATGTCTTGAAGGTCCGTGTTTGGTCTGCTCCTATTTTGTATTGTTTAATGGACTTTTGAGCTTGAATACTGTTCGTTATCACCATATATTTCATCTAAGGATGCACACTACCAGATTTGCCTCGAATCTGGATCTGATCTACATTTTTGGATGAATGACCAGGTTAGAGTATTTGGAGCAGATCTGTTTTTCCAAGTAACTATAATCCCTGTATTGACCAAACTTGCATGAATGATGCATCTAAGAATGCACACTACTGGATTTGTTTCTAATGCTGGATCTGACCTACATTTTCCAGATGAGTAACAAGGTTAAAGATTTCGGAGCAGGTCCATTACCAAGAAACTATAAGGCCTATTTGAACCACACTTGCATGGATGATGCATTAAGGGATGAACACATCTTCAGATGCTAGATTTGATTGACATTTTCTGGATGAGTAACTAGTTTAAAATTGTTAGATAACTCCATTCCCAAGTAACTGCAAGCCTTATTAGACTAAAATTGCATAAATGTTGCATCTAGGGATGTACACTACAAGATTATTAGTTTATTGTGGGACTTTACCTTACGTGAAGACAACATTCGTTGAGGTGACCTCTGTAATCTCTGATTACCTATGTTCATGCAAATGAACTTATTAAACGCATAAGGACTATACATATTTTACAGAGAATTTTAAAACATTGTCTTATTTGTACTTGGTATCCACGAAGTGATATAGCTAATACACATTGTGACGTCATATTATCACGTCCTTATTTTTTTATTTCTTAAGGTTATAAAGAACACCAACAAAAACGCAAAAAACAGGGCATACCCTATTTAATTTTATATAGACAAGGTATAAATTGAAGCAGAATATTCAAAGGATTGATGGTGTTGATTCAAAAATATCAACATTTCAATTATTTAGTTATTATTTGTAAAGTTTTGAGTTGAAAATGCACAGTCCGGTGTTAGTTTTTTCTTAAATTATGATCAATCTATACTTATAAATTAATAAATTTTGCAAATAAACTCCGAAACGGGTGCACCAGAGTTCTTACTTACTCCTCTAACAAAACACTGGATACAAGATGATGTCCGCAAAGTATATTTAGATTTCACTCGCATAGTAGGTATTGTACATTAAATAAAAAGTCTACTTTCATATTCTATAAACAACCATCAAATAGCAAAAACGTGAGTACGGTGGTTTTTCCTGTTGGCGAATCTAAGTTACCGGCAATTTTGAATGAAACTGACAACAAACAATTGTTTATTTATTTATTCATTTCATAAAACGTCATCATTGAAACATTCAATCAAAACTTGATTTAAATGATATAAAAGAAATAAGTTGTGAAAACCGATTAAAAAGGGAAATGTGCAAATTATTTTTGTCATTCACCGATCTTAATATTGACGGAAGCTTCTAGAACATCATATAGCATCGAGCCCGATGTTTAATAAAAACTAGTCGATTATAGCTGCATGAACATTAGAAGCTTTTGTGTAAATGGTCATTGAAATGATGGTAATCATTGATAACACTTTAAGTTGTGAATATATTTATATATCGAAAGGCTATTACATATATGATTGCGCCCTTGGGAAAAGGGCCCTTATGGCAATTTTTACACATTTTAAGTTTTCCATGGATATTAATAGAGCAAGGTTAGAAGTTGCCAAATCTGAATTTTTATGGCCCTACGTCAACTCTAAGTAGGTTTTTTCTTCATTTATACCAATGATACTTTAACAGGTAAACAATGACGTCATGTTACTTTCGCACCAACGTCAAAAGTTTCAGAGTGAACATGACTTTCACTTTGCATTGTAATGTTACTACGGTAATAAATATATGTTATTGAGCATTTCCAGAAACATTTTCGAGTCATTGTCTCTTTTAATAATTGTATATGATAATAAATAGTTGTATTAACTATTATCCATCATGCAGTGGTGTATAGAATTATGAGTGTTTGTTCGTTTGTTTGTTTTACATTTCACTATGCTGGAATGTCAGGAAAACCCGAGAAGCAAGCGGCATCTGTTCAATATCAATTTATTCTCTCAAAACCAAAGTATTTATCTCGTGTAAAAATCGTTTGAGAAACCTGTAGAATTCATTCGAAATTTTACGCATGGCTCTCGATTGGACAAGATGTCAATTTTTTATTTATTTATTTATTTTTTGGGGGGAGGGGGGGGGTTGGGGGGGGGGGGGGTGAATCCAGTATAAACGATATCTCTTTCAAAATGTGAAGTTAAAAATATTTCAAAAAAAAAATTCTTGGGAACAACAATAAAATAGATGCTGCTGGGTAGTGAATATTTTTTTTTGTTTTTTGTTATTTTTTTTTTTGTTTTTTTTTTTGTTTTTTGTTTTTTTTGTTTTCTAAATATAATTAGATAGAAAATGTGTGAAATGTAGTGAGTTACCGTATACGCTGTACAACAATTTAAGGACATTAAGTTGATACACTGCATGTTAAGCAATATTCGATAAAAAAAAATTCAAACAAAAAATCAGAAGGACTTCTGCCCGCATGTGGTAACAAAACTTCTTTTTTTTTAAATTGAAATGATAGACATTTGTTCAGTCACAGCAAGGAAAATTTTTGAATAATTAATTTTAAGTAAGCAGGTTGATAAATTATAAACAAATGG